CGAACCACTCCGATCCCCTCTCGTTCCCCGCCGGCCCTCCCTCCCTCCCGGTGTGCCTCTGCCGGCCGGGCCACCCGTCCCAGACGCGGGCGGAACGCCTGGCCGGCGGGTTTCGCCAGGACGTGGCTCTCGAGTTGGGCCGTGGGCTGTCACGCACAGGGGGGACCCGGGCCAGCCGCGCTTACAAACCACATGGTGTCCCCGGGCGCCGGCCGGAGCAAGCACGCCAGCCAGACAGCCCCGTCTCCCGGCCGCCCGCCGGCCCTACCAACTGCTCGGTGAGCTCGGGGCAGGCTGGCTCCCCAGGCCGGGCTGGCTGGCACCGCGAGTCCCCGGCCGTCCGTCCCCGGGACTGACAGCCCGGGCAGCCAATGAGGCCGCGGCGGGCGAGCCAGCCGAGAGAGAGTGGCGTGGCGGGGCGTGGAGGGCGGGCTGGGGGCGAGTGGCACTCACCAGGGACGACGGCGCCCATAACTGCCTTCCGCGACGGGTCCGGAGCCTGGGGCCAGCTCCGCTTCCTCCTGGTGAAGGAGAGAGAGAGCGAGCCAGAGAGAGGCACAGAGCCGAAACCAGTCGCCCTGCGGGAGAGGCAACTTCCGGAACGCGGCCTTGTGGGAAAGGGCTCGCCCCGCCCCCTGGGAGGCGTGTCCTTCGCCCCGGCCCCGCGCGTGCGCGGACTGCGGGTGAGCGTTTTTTTTTTCTTTTTTAGGCTGATCTATGCAGTTGTTTAGGTCGTCCTAGAGAGTGTCAGGCGTGGGGGGCGTCTACGGCTCGGGATGTCTTGGATGGCTACCACTAAAATAGGTTGCTTCTGCAGGACGGCCGAGAGCAACCTGTGAAGGCCTCTCGTTTCCCTTTAATTCTGCCCCATGCACTTCTAGAATTGAGCTCGTAAAATGCCTTGAAAGAGCCTCTCTGCACCCTGCGCAAATAAGAAAGGTAAGCAGCAACAGTGAGTCTTTTTTAAAAATTGTATTTGCCCGGCGTAACGGCGCATGCCTTCGGTTCCAGCACTCGGGAAGCGAAGGCAGAGAAGGAGCTCTGAGCTCGAGGCCAGCCTGGTCCACGGAGAAAGAGGGTTCCAGGACAGCCAGGGCAGCACAGAGTAAACCCTGCCTTGAAAAACTAAACAATAAAGTAATAGTAAGTAAATAACGAAATTGTGTTTATTTTGAGCACCAGTGCCTGTCTGCCAGGCAAAGGACAACTTTCTGGAGTTGCTTCTACCTACTATGTAACTCCCAGGGTAACCTCAGTTACATAGTGGCACCTCCCCCCCCACTACTAGCCATCTCCATAGGCTTAAGAGTGAATATTATCATCGTCGTCACTTTTTTGGCAAACGCCATTTCTAAGAAGCCAGAACAGTCCTCAGACTTAATTATCCTTCCAAACTCAGCCTTCCCTTTGCTGTATCGTAAACCAAAACTGAACGGAATTAAAGTGTTGCCGTGTGAACTATTCTGAATATTTACTGTTCGTTGATGAATTAGTAAGTGCACACTTTGTGCCAAGCCTTCGGGAACACGAATTAAACAGAGCTTAATAGAGACTAATCACTGAGAAGCCAGGCGTTGGTGGCGCTCACCTGTAATCCCCAGCACTCGGGAGGCAGAGGCAGGCGGATCTCTGTGAGTTCGAGGCCAGCCTGGTCTACAAAGCGAGTCCAGGACAGTCTCCAAAACAATACAGAGAAATCCTGTCTCAAAAAACCAAAAAAAAAAAAAAAAAATAGAGTAAGCAGGGGCAGGAGTACCAAAAGAGCCAGGATCTGAGCTAAAGGGGGCCAGGAGGCTAGTGTGAGGGCTTTAAAAATACACAGTGGATATTTATGACTGGGGACTGAGGGGGCCTGGAAGCTAACTTGGACTTTGATACACTTGCAGCTACAGGAGTATGCTATAAAGAATCATGTCCTTTCTGTCAGGGCAAGGGAAATGAGTACTTTGTGTGGGAGTGGGGGTGGGGACCTCATGTTTCTGAGGGATGCTGGCTCTTGTCTAACCACCAGAAATCCCTCTATAGTTCAGCTTAAACTCATTTCTGAATATATGGATATCCTGAGACCTAACAGATTAGAGATGAAATATTCAACATTAGTCATCAGATAAAACTATTAAGATAGTCATGCGGGGTTGGAGAGATGGCTCGGAGGTTAAGAGAACTGACTGTTCTTCCAGAGGTCATGAGTTCAATTCCCAGCAACCCCATGGTGGCTCACAACCGTTTATAATAAGATCTGGTGCCCTCTTCTGGTCCGCAGGCAAACATGCAGGTGGATGTGGATAGAGTTTCTGTCCCACCAGGGTCCCAAATAACCACACCGAGATTGATTTATAAACTGTTTGGCTGATGGCTTAGGCTTCTTACTGGCTAGCTCTCTCTTAATTATTAACCCATAACTATTAATCTATATATTTCTACATGGCCTTATCTTACCAGAGAATGCCCAGGCATCCTACCTTCCCGGGGGCTACATGGTGTCTCCCTGGAGGCTTCTCTGTGTCCTCTCCCCAGAATTTTCCTCCTCTGGTAGCCCCCCCTTACTTCCTGCCTGGCTACTAGCCAATCAGTATCTTATTCATCAACCAGTAAGAGAAACATATATACAGAAGGACATCCCCCATCAAGTAGAACACTGTATACATAATAAATAAGTAAAAATCTTAAAAAAGAGATAGTCTTGTGATAAATGGTTAAATTGGTCAGTGGAATGTTTATTTAAATTTTGGGTAGATCTGATCTTCTTGTTTTTACTGATGATAAAATGTTGTGGGTTTTATTTCACTTATTTTTGAAACAGGATTTCACTTTGTAGCTCTGGCTGGCTTGGAACCCCAGTGTGTAAACCAGGCTGGTGGTGAACTCACAGAGTTCAGCCAGCCTCAGGCTCCTGACAAATGAGATTAAAGATATGCATCACCATGCCTAGGCAGGAGATAAAAATTTAAAGCTGACTACTTTTAAGACCCAATGATTAGTTTTTCCCTTCCTCTTTCCCCAGAATTGCTTTGTCTGCTTCCTTTGCTTGGATTGTTCTGTCCCTCCATTTTATGTGCTTGGTTCCACTCACTCTCTACAAAGTATGCTCACAGGTAATAGTTAAGTAGCCCTACTACCAAGGTCAATGAATCACTAGCTTTTAAGTAGGAGAATCTCTAGAAGAAAAGTCCAAACCCTTGATTTTCCAATTAAAACAAGCAGTACTTTGGGGGTGCACCCAGCACTGGCCAACTAATTATCTCATCCTAAGTCAGGATTTTAAGAGAATAGCCCCTGCTGTCTTCTTGAGGTCCTTTTTTTGTTTGTTTGTTTTATTTTTATTTTTTTGAGACAGGGTTTTATCTGTGTAACAGCCCTGCCTATTCTGGATCTAGCTCTGTAGACCAGGCTGACCTAGAACTCAGAGATCCACCTGCCTCTGCCTCCCGAGTGCTGGGATTAAAGTTCTGGGATAGAGAAAGGACAAAACAAAAACATAGTGAGAGAAGCAGGAGGAGAGAGAGAGAGAGAGAGAGAGAGAGAGGGAGGGAGGGAGGGAGGGAGGGAGGGAGGGAGGGAGGGAGGGAGGGAGGGAGGGAGGGAGGGAGAGATGTTGTGCCAGGTTCACAGAGCCCCAGACCAACCCAAGGAGCAGATACTTCCCATGCAAAAGCAAAGGTTTCTTTTTATTGTTCAAGCTGACCAGCTTGGATCTCACTCTATGGCAGGGAAATGAGATGTTAACCAGCCATAAAGAGAAGCTTTTAAAGGGGAAAACCATAAGGTTGAAGGCCATGCATTTTAGAGTTTCCATGGATGCTTAAGGTAATACAAAGTACAGAGTAAAGCAATAACTATATATCTTAAGTAAGATAAGACAGGGCACAGGGGTTGCAGGGTTGCAGAGTCACAGGATCAGTTAGTTATCCCCTGGGCGGAGGGATCTTTACAACCGAAAGATTGTTGTGCCAGGTTTGCAGAATCCCAGAAGACTAACCCAAGGAGTCGACAGTTCTGATGCAAAAGCAAAAGGTTTCTTTTAATTGTTTAAGCTGGGCAGCTTGGATCTCACCCCATGGTGGGGAAATGAGATGCCAGCCAGCCAAAGACAGAAGCTTTTAAAGGGAAAACGGGAGAGGGAGTTCTGAGACCGCAAGTCTCAGTTCTCAAGGTTCCCATGGCTACAGAGATTACTTAGCACACAAAGTCTCCACACAAGGTTATCATGAAATGAAGAGCCTTGAAGAAGGCAGTAACTGCCACCTGGTTAGGTAAAATTAATTGGCACATCCTGTGATCTAAAAGTTTTATGACCTGGTAGGGCAAGACGCTTTCTGGTTCCCAGTTCTCTCAAGAGGAGGGGTCAGTTGTTGACACAGCTGCTGATGGGTTCGAGCTTCCTCTCTTTATGGGAGCTGTCTGGGGTCTCTAGTCACATAGCCTATGGTCAGAGGTTCCTTGTTTAGCTAGGATCTTTTCTTATTTTTTCCACCACAAGACCAGCAATTAGCAGACATAGGAATATTGAGACAAGTGGTGGACAGTCACCGCCCCTTCTCTGAGAGTGGCGCTCAGGCCATAGCATTCCCAGTTATTAGAAGTTCCCTTTCCAGGACCCACATTTTTAAACTTTTATAGATTTTAATATTTGTTCCTTCAGAGGGGGGAGAGGGAGGGGGAGAGGTAGGGAGGGAGGGAGAGACAGAGACAGCGAGAGAGAACATTGTGAATAATAGAATAATAGCAGGGCTTTTTTAAAATTTTAAATTAGAAACAAGCTTGCTTCACATGTCAGTCCCAGCTCCCTGTCCCTCCCCTCCTCCCCCCACCCCCTCCCCCAGGCCTCCAGCCTCCACCCAGTCCCCACTCCGTTCCCCGGGGAGGGTGAGGCCCTCCCTGGGGAATCGTCAGAGTCTATCATTTCATTCAGGGCAGGGCCTAGGCCCTCCCCCCGAGAGTCCAGACTGAGAGAGGAGCATCCCTCATTGTGGGATGGGCCCCCAAAGTCCATTTGTATGCCAGGGATAACTAGAATAGCAGGGTTTCAAGGAGGATGAGTACCTCCTGTGACCTGGAGAGCGTTTATATATAGAAGGGGAGGAGGTGAGAAGTCCTAGCATGGACTTTGACATCTGTAACTGAGGAAGCCTGGAGGTCAGCATGAACGTTGATATGCTATTAGGTAGGTAGCACAGGCAGCCAGAGGTAAAGGAAATAACTCCCTTTTGTGGAGGGGAACCGGGCTCACAAGTTCCTGACGAATGGTGCCTTTTACCTAATCACCAGACACAGTTAAAATTAAGCTTATTTGCGAATGAGATCATTCCTGCCTCTCGGAGTTTGGGGAATTGGAGTTTGTGCTCTAGACTCTGCTAAGGATTGGTTCTGGAGCCTGCAGGCTGATCTTTCTCGCTGCTCTGAGCGCTCCCACAGTCCCAGCGCCGGGAAGACGATGAGTCCGGGATGGAGAAGTGTTCGGAATAAAAACCCGGACCAGGAAGCACCCGCAGGGCCAAAGCACCCATCCCTTTGCTGTCCCAGACACCGAGCAGCAGCCTAAGCAAGCAGCCAGGAACTTCCTACTTCCGGGACTCGCGTCTTGCCGCGCAGGCGCCTGCCCGCTGAGCTCACTGGCTTCCCTCAGGGAGGGTTCAAAGGTCGCACCGCTCTCTTTGGTCTCTCTGCGGGTAAGACCTGAGCTGCGGGTGCCTCCAGCCCCGGGCAGTGCGACAGTCTCGGCTCTGGGTGAGTGTGGCATGGGATGTTCATGCTCAGCGGAGCTAAGAGCATCTCCCCACGGGAAGGCAAGGGGGAGGCTCGAACGGGCGGCCGAGGGAGCAGCACTCCCGCCCATTGGTCAGAACCGACCTCAGTGTTTCCTGGCCCCGCCCACAGCCTGCGGCCGCCCAGTCACGTGTCACTGAGCCTGCGCGTGGGGGCCTGAGCTTTGGTCTGTCCCAGGCCAGCACTTGGGATGCAAAGGAGAGGGATGCCTGAGTTCTAGGCTACCCTGGTCTACATAACGGGTTCTAGGCTGGCCAGGGAGACCCTTTCTCAAAAAGGAAGAGTGTCCCCATTGAGCAAATTCCCATTTTCATCCACCTTTTCACAGCGATTCCTTAAGTCTTGAGCCAGAAATTTCTTTTAAGCCTGCCTGCCTGCCTTCCTCTGTCTTTCTCCTTTTGTGTCTGTCTCTCCCCCCCCCCCAATCTCCTTTCGTTCTTTCTTTTTTAAGGGAGGAGGACAGGGAAATCTTAGCAAAAATAATTTGGCCAATCGCTGCGTTCCTGCAGCTGTCCACGCATGGATTGCCCGGTGCTACACTTGTAACTTCTGTTTACTTCAAACCCCAGACTGACCAGGGTCCTTCCCCAACTAATGTTACACAGGCTGTGACGGTTGGTGACTTGCCTAAGTGTTTGTATGCCCATAATTGTATACCTGACTGACTGCTGGATATCGATACTGAATAGATGTGTTAGTAGACACTATTACCTAACAAGTAAAAGCCAAGCAACACGCCCCCATAATTATACCCATCTAAATAAATGCTAAACCCATCCTTCCAGGAGTTTAAAGTTTGAGGACATTCTTTTTTTTTTTAAAGATTTATTTATTTATCACATATACATTGTTCTGCCTACATGCCAGAAGAGGACACAGGTTGAATTGTAGATGGTTGTGAGCCACCATGTGGTTGCTGGGAATTGAACTCAGGACCCCTGGAAGAGCAGTCAGTGCTCTTAACCTCTGAGCCATCTCTCCAGCCCCGAGGACATTCTTGCATAGCTATATAATTCATCATCAAATCCGGTTGATTCTACTCTTTTTTACCTTAAAAAATACATAAACTTAACTTAAAACATATATAAATATGTATGTTTATGTTTTGCCTGCCTGTATGTCTGCATGAGGATGTCAGATCCCCAGGAACAGGAGTTACAGACAGTTGTGAGCTGCCCTGTGGTTGCTGGGAATTGAACCCTGGTCCTCTGGAAGAGCAGTCAGTGCTCTTCACCCCTGAACCATCTCTCCAGCCCATACTCTCTCATTTCTAGGACCTGACCATCACTCCTGTTGACCACAGCTACTCTAACCCCCTAAAGAAGGTAACAGGGACAGGATAGATGAATTTTCACAGAGGGCAAGCAGACCAAGAACAGTTTTCTCCTTTCCCGTCTGTTTATCTGGGCTGTCACCAAAAGATGCCTCCCACATTTAGGGTGGGTTTTTACTGCTTGAAAAGAAACTGAGGAAGATCCCTCATGGATGTGGCTGGTAGCTTGCAGTCTGGTTGATTCCAGCCAGATATAGTCAACTTGACAGCCAAGCCTGGCCACAGGTTGCTTTTCCTCATAAACGACATAGACTCACATCCTCAGCTCACCATTGCTCATTATTCCAGCCGTGTCTTTATTCATCACAGTTACTCAGTGAGCACAACAGAACTTTTATTTCTTTTTTATGTCAAGAGCTCCTGTAAAGGAAAGCTTTTTCTTTGCTAGCCGCTTTGGTTTATCACCCACCAATCCCCTGGGCTCTGCCACGTTGTAGTCCCCAAATAACACACAAGACTCTGTATTAATTATGAAGCTGTTGGCCTTGCTTGTTTCTTACTGGCTAGCTCTGACTTAAGTATTTATCCCATAATTGTTAACCTAAGTATTTCTCTTACCGGAGAATAGTTCCGGGCTTCCTACCCCGTGGCGTTACATCTCGATTCACTGTGTTTCTCCTTCCCAGAGTTCTCCAGGAATCCTAGTCCCACCTATCTAGATTCCTATTGGCCAGCAGTGCTTTATTGACACAGGACTTCCACATCAAGCTCCTTTCACTTGATTAAACCTCTGGAACAACAACACTTTACTGACAGGAATCGTTTGTTTTATTTTTATTTGTCTATTTTACACAGAACCTCTCTGTATACACCACTGAGATCTTCCTACCTCTGCCTCCTAAGTGCTGGGATTAAAGGCGTGTGCCACCACCTCCCAGCTTCCTCTGACTTTTGACTACACAGTCTTCAATGAGACTGGCCATTGTAACTAGAAATGTCAGATCAACTGTCTAGACAGCCTACTGTCTAGGTATAGAAGAATAATTTACAGCATAGATTTTTATGAATTTCAATGAATTGTTTCTTAATAAAAATTGTATATGTGTGTGTTTGTGTCACTGAATGTCATATGTCTGCCATTACTCAAGGAGGGCATAGGATTCCAGGGACTGGAGTTACAAGCCATTGTGAGCCGGGCAACATGGGCACTGGGGACCGAACTGTGGGAGAACAGGAGCACTCCTAACTACTAAGCTGTCTCTAGCACTGCCTCATAGTCTTGGTCTTTAGCAAATAATATGGGAAGTAGAATAACATACAGTATGGAAATAGAAGTTTATGTATTAGACTATAACGATGAAAGAGGAAAAGACTTTGGCTGATGTTTTCTCTTATGAAGGAATTAAGTATTTTTAAAGGGAATGCCCTGTGGTTCTGTTGACTCCCCCTAAGACTGTGCGTGTATCCTTTCTCTTACCTGTCACTCCTCAGGACCTTGCAGATGTCTCAGCATGGTTGAGATAGAGTGGGCAGAGGCCCAGCTCTCCGAGTTAGACCTCCTGGCCAGTATGTTCCCTGGTGAGAATGAGCTCACAGTGAACGACCAACTGGCCTTAGCGGAGCTGAAGGACTGTATTGAGAAGAGGACAATGGAGGGACGGTCATCGCAAGTATACTTCACAATCAATATGAACCTGGACTTCTCCGAGGAGGCAGGGGTAATCCCGTTCTGCTTTGCAAAGACCTAGAGCATGTCAAGACTTAAAAGCAATGCTCACAGCATTCTTTCTCCTTCTCTTCTCAGGAGATGTTTTCAATGTCCTGCATTCTTCCCTTTAAGTACCCGACAGTCCTGCCTGAGATCACTGTCAGGTATGTTACAGAGACTGAGTCCGCTGTGCAGCTCAAAATCCATGTGAGAAGAAAAGTAACTCTTGCACTTACTTCCTTTTCCAAGAAAACTGACTATGTTTTTCCCCCTGTGTCTTCCTTCAGATCAGCGTCGCTGAGTAGATCCCAACAGACTCAGCTGAACACAGATCTGATAGCATACCTACAGAAGAACTGTCTTGGAGATGTCTGTATACTGAACGCCACAGACTGGCTTAGAGAGCATGCCTCTGACTATGTCAGCAGAGATACCTCACCTTCCCCCGCCAAGGAAAGCCCAGCCCAGCCCGAGGATCTCACCCTCACCAGGCTCTGGATTTATAGCCATCACATCTACAACAAATGCAAAAGAAAAAACATTCTAGAGTGGGCAAAGGAACTGTCCCTGTCCGGGTTTAGCATGCCTGGGAAACCGGGTGTGGTTTGTGTCGAAGGCCCTCAAAGTGCTTGTGAAGAATTCTGGTCAAGGTGCGCTTTCCCCTGTATCAGACATCACATCAGTAATTATAATTTGAAAGATGATACCAGAGTTGTAGAAATAGGTATGTCCCAGGGGAGATAACTTCATGGGGATTTAGTCTCAAGAGGATGGTAAGGTTGACGTCACATAGAATTGGCATTACCCTCCTCACCTAGTACAATGCACACTCTGTAAATCTATGTTGAATAAATTAAACTCCTCCCCTGATGCCGTCTAGGATCCATCAGTGTCCATGAATGCAATGAATATGATGATATTCAATAGAATATGATAATAATATGTTCCTTATCTGGTGAATATGATAAGCTTTCAACCTATGAAATGGGGATCTTTTCAAGGATTAGGATAGCCACTCGTTTTAATTCCTCTGTTTAGTTTCTGAGGAGTTCCTTAAGCAATTTGAGAGTTGGCGGTTTCTGCAGCTCTGAAATATGTGTAGCAGTGGCCGAGTTTGTAGCGCGTTTCGTAGAGTGCTTGGCTAATATGCACAAGGCTTTGGGTCTGATGCCCTCTCCTCAAATGCAGGCACATGTGCAGACAGAGTACTCTTACATTAATAAATAAGTAAAAGAAAAAGAAAGAATATGAGCCCCTATGAGATTACCTCTTTGTTTACAGGAACAGAAGCTGGCAAGAGGGTTCTCGTTGTTTTGGTATACTATACCTTGTTTTTTCAGACAGGGTCTCACTATATAGCTTAGGCTGGTGTGGGACACAGTATGTAGACCAGGCTGGTCTTTTTTTTTTTTTTTTTTTTTTTTTTGGTTTTTTTCAAGACAGGGTTTCTCTGTATTGTTTTGGAGGCTGTCCTGGAACTTGCTCGGTAGACCAGGCTGGCCTCGAACTCACAGAGATCCGCCTGCCTCTGCGTCCCGAGTGCTGGGATTAAAGGCGTGCGCCACCAACGCCTGGCCGACCAGGCTGGTCTTAAGTTCACAGAGCTCTGCATTCTTCCTCCCAAGTGCTGGGGTTAAATTCATGTACCACTGCTCCCAACTCTGAGAACTGTATCTTAATAGATTCTGCTTTGAAAACCTATTTTTCAGACTCAGAAAACTGAACTGGAAGAGAATTTTAATTCGCCATCGAGAAGACATACCTTTGGGTGGCACAAAGGATGGAATGGAAAATCAGCGGCGATTTGCCAGTTTCGAAGAAAAGGTCTTCAGTGTCCACGGAGCCAGAGGAAACCACATGGACTTCGGTCAGCTGTATCAGTTCTTAAATGCCAGGGGATGTGGGGATGTTTTCCAGATGTACTTTGGTGTGGAAGGACAGTGACCGAGCAGATGGGGCAGTCGGACCTGTTGAGTCACCATTTCTCTGATTATTTCTTCTCATTCTTTCCCGAATTCTAATTTTAGTCCCATCCTAGAATGTTACAGGGTTGGGAGCATATGACGACAATTAACATAGTTGAGATGCATCTGCTAAAGTACACTACGACTGAAAGAAGAACTGAGTTTCAAATTATAAATTACTAGCGGAGCAGACTGGGGAAGTGACGCAGAGGGTACGAGCATTCACTGCTATCACTAGGGACCTAAGTTCAGTCCCCAGTGGCCATGGTGGGCAGCTAATGATGCTCTATAAAACTCTTACCTCCACGGTGTCTGATGGCCTCTGCCCGCCTCCACATAGGTGCATGCACAAACGTACACACATACGTGAACTCAGGGCATCAGATCCCATGGAGTTGGAGTTACAGGAGGTTATGAGTTGCCCAGTGTGGATACTGAAACCAGTCTTGGGTTCTCTGCAAGAGGAATGCGTGCTTTTTAGCCGTGGAGCCAGCTCTTCAACCTGGTAGAGACTTCTTGATATGAGCTGAACATGATGGCACATGCTTCTAATCTCAGCACTTGGAAAGTAGAGAAAAGAGGATCTGGAGTTCAAGGCCAGCTTGGGCTACATAAGGCTGTGTCTTAAAAAACAAAAAGTTATTCACAGAAACTTTTGGAAGACAAATTATATGTGAAGGGAGCTTTGGTGGTTCACCTTGCTAGGCATTTCCAACACCCTTCTGCCTTTACTGAGGAACCTGGGAAAGCTGCCTGCCCTTGGCCTTTGTTGAAACTATATCTGGCTATGGGTTGCAGCTGCAGGATTTCTGGGGACGGATTTGCTTCTCTTTCTGCCATGAATCTTGCAGTGATGGCTGGAGCAGAGGAGGGATGGCCCAGGACAACTACAGAGGTGCCATTCCTACTTGCCATGCGGAGACCCAACAGTAATGCCTGGTGATCTTCAGACCTTTGGAATAAAATGAATTTTTAAACTCTCTGTGCTTGTTATCAGTAGCCAAAAAGTTAACCCTAAACCCCCCCCCAAGCTTTGACTTTGAAATTGTAACCTACAAACAGTAAATTTTTTTCCTCATCAGTGTTTATGGTTCATTTATAATTCTGGGTACTTAGACTCAGCTCCTATTTGTGCTTGTTTCACTGAAGACTGAGGCATGAGCAGAGCTCAAACGCTTTTTTGTTGTTATTATTTCTTTGGTTTTTTTTTTAGGACATGGCCTCAATTATATAGCCCTGACTGGCTTGGAACTTACTGTTATGTCAGGCTGGCCTTGAACTCACAGAGTTTTGTCTTCTTCGGCCTCCAGACTGCTGGGATTAAAGGTTTGTGTGTGACACTACAGCCAGTTTGAACTCAGAATTTTTCCAAAAGTCCTTGAGAGTTCAGATTCATAGAATTTAGTTTTTTCAAATTAGAGTTTGATAATTTTTCATTCTGGAAATGACTTTCTGTAATTTTATTTTATTTGAGTTGATAACCAATCATTTATCTTACAAGCAGTATATATGCCCACTGAATGAGTTAGCAGAGAAAATATAGTATTTATTATATAGCACAGTGTAGAACCCAGAGAGACCCAGCAAGGCCATTTGAATAGATTGGATATGAAGGAGGACAAACACAGATGAGAATCTGAGTGGCTGTTAAGCACAGTGCTTACGTCTCCTGCACCTCCTCGAGTTCCCCCTTGCTGCCCACTTGTCACTCACCCTGGAAATGTCAGTTACTCCTCTGCTGTTAACATACAGCCAGACCTGGGGGGGGGCTGCAGAGATGGCTCAGAGGTTAAGAGCACTGACTGCTCTTCTAGGGGTCCTGAGCTCAATTCCCAGCAACCACATGGTGGCTCACAACCATCTTTATTCAATCTGGTGGTGTCCTCTTCAGGCATGTATGCAGAACACTGTATATGTAATAAATAAATGAATCTTAAAAAAAAAAAAGAGGTGGGGCGTTGGTGGCGCACGCCTTTAATCCCAGCACTCGGGACGCAGAGGCAGGCGGATCTCTGTGAGTTCGAGGCCAGCCTGGTCTACCGAGCGAGTTCCAGGACAGCCTCCAAAACAATACAGAGAAACCCTGTCTTGAAAAAAACCAAAAAAAAAAAAAAAAAAAAAAAAAGAGCCAGACCCACTGTCTTACGTAGGTTTTTTTTTTTTTTTTGGTTTTTCGAGACAGGGTTTCCCTGTATTGTTTTGGAGACTGTCCTGGAACTCGCTCTGTAGACCAGGCTGGCCTGGTACTCACAGAGATCCACCTGCCTCTGCCTCCCGAGTGCTGGGATTAAAGGCATGTGCCACCAATGCCCGGCCTTACTTAGGGTTTTATTGTTGTGAAGAGACACTGTGACCACCAAGACTCTTACAAAGGAAAACCTTTAATTGGGGCTGGCTTACAGTTTCAGAGGTCTAGTTCATTGTCATTATGGTGTGACATGGCAGCTGAGCGTTCTGCAGGGGAAACTATCACTGGCCACACTCGGTGTAGCTTGAGCATGTATAAAACCTCACAGCCCCACCCCACAGTGACTCACTTCCTCCAACAAGGCCACACCTCCAGGACTGGCGTTGGTGGCGCATGCCTTTAATCCCAGCGCTTGGGAGGCAGAGGTAGGTGGATCCCTGTGAGTTTGAGGCCAGCCTGGTCTACAGAGAGAGTGCCAGGATAGGCTTCAAAGCTGAACAGAGAAATCCTGTCGGGGGGGGGGGGAAGGGGGAGGGGACACGACCAAAAAACAGCCACACCTAATAGTACCACTCCCTATGGGCCAAGCTTTCAAACACAGTCTATGGGGTTCACACCTATTCAAACGACCACACCAACTCTCTGTGTTTGAGAGTTCTGACTCTAGCAACTAACAAAGCTGGGTAAAATCTGACATCCCTATAGGCTGCTGCAAGGAATCTGTGCATGTGCGTGTGCGCGTGCGTGTGTGTATGTGTGTGTGTGTGTGTATGTGTGTGTGTTTAATGCATGTGGAGGTCAGAGGATAACTTGTAGTTCTTGACTTCCATCCTGTGGGGCCTGGGAATTAAACTCAGATCATCAGATGTGGAGGCAGACACATTTTCCTGCTGAGCCATCGCATTGGGCCTAATCCTGTTAATTTTATATTGAAATATTTACATTGTCTGGGTGTGATGTGCACACTTTTGATCTTATCACTCAGGAGGTAGAGACAGTTGGATATCCATGATTTTCAGGCCAGTCGGGTCTACAAAGTGAGATCCAGGACAGCCAAGGCTGTTACACAGAGAAACCCTGTCTTCCAAAACAAAAACAGAATCATACAAAAAAAGAAAATATTTATATTGTATAAGAAAGTCAATAAGACAATGAATGGCCATAATGTTACTGTCCAGTTTAAGAAACAAAAACTTTACAGAGTTTCCACTCTTGTGTTGTTGTTGATCCAGTCTAACTCTTGGATGGTTTAAGGCCTCTCATGAAAGTATATAGCACTCTTTTATTTCTCTCACGGCATATATGTGTTTCCGTATGTAATATCTTCCCTTGCCCCCAAGACAGGGTTTCTCTGTGTAAAAGCCCTGGCTTTTTTAAGGTTTAAGAACCCTTGCTGTGGCCAGGTTCAGCTCTAGGGGATGCAATACCATCTTCTGACCTCCATGGGCATCTGTACTTGGGCGCACACAGACAGTGACACAGTCACACACACACAGACACACAGTCACACACACATACACACGCGCGCGCGCACACACACACACACACACACACACTTAAAGTTAATCTGTAAAATAGAAAAAATATAGAAAGATTCAGTTTTAAGTTCACATTCCTCCAATTGGCATATAACTTGATTCAAACGAGATCCACACATTGCATGATCTGTGTTTGGTCTTATTAAATACATTATTTTTCCTTCCCCACTCCCACCAATATATTCGGTAAACCATTTTTGTAGAATTTCCCACATTCTAAATTCTTTGTCTGTGCCAATGTCATTTTATATATTCTGTAAATTAGGTCTGAAGTTTAGCTAGATTCAGTTTTGACTTTCTTTTGAAAGAATACTTAATAGGTCTCCAATACTTTCTGTTGCACTGTCTCAAGAACATAGTAGGGCAGATAGTCTTTTGGATTCTCAGAGGATGCCAGTGATTTATCCAGACTTCTGTGCATGCTAGGCAAGAACTCTCCCACTAAGCTTTATCCTGGTTGATACTGTAAAGGTCTGTCAGATACGACGTTTCATCCATCCCACTTACTAAGGGCTCTTTCCCCTTGAGCCAACTCCGGCCTCATTTTTGTATGGAAGAGATGGGGAGATCTACAAAATAACAGCGTAAAACAGTATCCAGATTTTAGTACGAATGGTAATCTTGTTAAATGGAGAATCCGACTCTCCAGTCATGGGCCTGAGAATCTGTTTTTCTTTTTTTTGTTTTTTCGAGACAGGGTTTCTCTGTATTGTTTGGAGGCTGTCACAGAGATCCGCCTGCCTCTGCCTCCCGAGTGCTGGAATTAAAGGCGTGCGCCACCAACGCCCGGCTGAGAATCTGTTTTTCATGCCGAACATCGCATCACTTCCCTAATAGCACTTTTTAGCACAGTTGCTACCAAACAGTTCTATGGCTACGTCATGCCCAAGTCAAATTCCCACACACTGCGGCGGACCCTAGGCCGGCTTCTCATTGGCCACTGGTGACGCCACTCAGGCAGGCGCGGCTGTCTCTGTGACGTCTCAGGCAGCGAGTGGTCAGAGTCCTGACAGAGAGGCGGGAGCGGAAGCGGGCAGCCAAAGGGTCCAGGTGGGCGGGGAGAAGCTGCTACCATGAGCCCCCTTCCGGCGCGACGTACCGGAAGTTGTGGCCCGGCGGTGTCAAGCTCGGCTCGGCTGACCGACAGCGCGGTCGCCACCGCGACCATGGGCGGGAAGAACAAGCAGCGGACCAAGGGGAACCTGAGGGTGAGGCTCGGGCGTCCGCAGGGCCGCGTGTGGCCTCCCGGCGTGTGCGTCCCCGCGGGTGGGCAGGCCGAGGACCCAAACGACGACTCGCGCCGGCGGTGTGCGTGCGCGAGCGGGAGCGCACGGCCAGGCGTCCCTGGGAAACGGTGTCAGCGTGCACCCGCTGCTGCCTGCCCCGGTGCCCCAGGTTGCCTGCGGGCTGTGGGGACAAGCGAGCGTACGCTTCCTTCGCTCGGGAGCGTGCAGTGGCTTTCCCGGCCCCTCCCGGCCGAGGCCGGAGCCCGTAGATGGTGTGCGCGCTGGCTGTCGGGGTCGCCCCATGGGCTCTCTCCGGCCTCAGGCCCACCTCCCTCTTCCTGCCTCCCCCTGGCCACCCTGACCTCGCCACGTCTTTCTTAGCCTGGCCTGGCAGGTCCCCGATGCCCATCTGTCAGACACCTCATTACGCTCTACCTCCAGTGTAGCCGTTCTCCTTAGGATCTCTCGATCTCTCTCTGTCTCTCTGTCTCTCTGTCTCTCTCTCTGTCTGTCTGTCTGTGTCTCTCTCTCTCTCTTTCCCTCCCTCCCTCTCTCTTCTCCCTCCCTCCCTCTCTCTCTCTCCCCGGTCCCTCTCTCTCTCTCTCCCCCCTCCCTCTCCCTCCTCTCCTCTCTCTCCTGTCCCTATCCTAATGAATGATCTCTCTCTCTCTGTCCCTCCCTCCCTCCCTCCCTCCCTCCCTCCCTCCCTCCCTCTCTCTCTCTCTCTCTCTCTCTCTCTCTCTCTCTCTCTCTCTCTCTCTCTCTCTCCCCCCCCCTCTCTCCCTCTCCCTCCTCTCTCTTCTCTCTCTCCTGTCCCTATCCCAATGAATGATCTCTCTCTCTCTCTCACAGGTTTTAGCCAGTTTGATTTTATAGAACTGTTCCACTGTTCCTGGGTCAGTTAACTTTAGTGATTTCAATATCAAAATATAACAATTACAATAGGTTAATTCCTATATTAAATGCTTTTCTTGTATTCTTGTCTTTTTTTTTTTTTTTTTTTTTTTTTTTGGTTTTTCGAGACAGAGTTTCTCTGTGGCTTTGGAGGCTGTCCTGGAACTAGCTCATGTAGACCAGGCTGGCCTCGAACTCACAGAGATCCGCCTGCCTCTGCCTCCTGAGTGCTGGGATTAAAGGCGTGCGCCACCAACGCCCGGCCAGCATAGTTTTTTAAATCGTTTTACTGTATAACTCGGTCTTTCCTCGAACTCAACTATGTAGACAACTAGGAACTCACAGAGATCTGTTTGCTTCTGCCTCGAGAGTACTATGATTAAAGACGTGTGCTGAACCCACAAACCTCCATATTTATTGAATCACCGACTATTAATATTTGTTCACATTTCATTTTCTCTCTAAATTTGTAAACTTTGCTGACCCTTAGGAGAGTTAAATTCAGTATTTAACACCTTATAAACTTTAAAAACAATGCCATTTTTCATATACCATGTAAAACTTTAACTGTGGTGGGATACTCAGATATGCAGACTTATAATTCTACTAACCTTTATAGTTTAATTCTGTTTTTAGATAATATTTTAAAAGCATTTGTGCCTGTGTCAAGTATCACTTGCTCCCCTTGGCTGCCATTTAAGTCTTTAGATTTAGACAGTTTCCCATTTCTTGCCCCCTTGAGTAGGTCTTTTGTGTCATAATAACCAGAAAGAGTTGGCCATTGCTTAGATATATTTAGACTCATCTGGTTGTTTTCTTCTGTCAATTCAGGTTAAGCCATTTTGACCAGAATACTTCATATGATGCCATTCTAGTACATCTCACCAGAAGTGCACAATACTTGCTTTATGTTTCTTCATCAGTGACATTGACTTAATGTTGACCATTGTAAAGTAATCTTTTTTCTATTGGCTGATAAAAAAAATGTGTGATGTTGTAGTTTGAGGTTGAATAGACTCATCTATGAACTTATCTCTAAAGGTTTTAGAACCTAAGATGATTCTTGCTAGGATCGGTTATTACCATGGTAGTTAAAAAACTTACTTTTGATATTGCAAACGACTAAAATAGTGAATTAATTGCTCTTACCTCACTTAAAAGATGATCTAAGTGGAGTTTATTTGATTAAGTTCGTACAGCCTGGAAGCTTCAGAGTTGGGGGTTGAAGTTTAGTTTTTTAAATGTTGTTAATAATGTGTGTGTAGGTCAGAGGACAACTTTCAGGGGTCCATTCTCCGTTCCCCTTTAAGTGACTTTCAGGATGGAACTCTGGATTGTCAGGCTTGCTTGGAACGTGCTTTTGCTCTCCTAGCCATCTTACTGGGCCTAGACTTGAATTTAAAAGTAGCATTTGTGGCCGGGCGGTGGCACACCTTTAATCCCAGCTCTCGGGAGGCAGAGGCAGGTGGATCTCTGTGAGTTCAAGGCCGGGTTGGACCGACAGCCTCCAAAACAATACAGAGAAACCCTGTCTCGTAAAAACAAAACAAAACAAAACAAAAAGTAGCATTTGTTCAGTAGGTACCACATGTATTTGTAGATCATAGATACATGTCTGTTCTTTGTTTTGTTTTTGTTTTTCAAGACAGGGTTTCTCTGTGTAGCCCTGACCATCCTGTAACTCATTCTGTAGATCAGGGTGGCCTTGAACTCAGAGGTCTGACGGCCTCTGTCTCCTGAGTTGGGATTAAACCTCCACCTGTTTTTTTTTTGTTGTTTTTTTTTGTTTTTACGAGACAGGGTTTCTCTGTATTGTTTTGGAGGCTGTCCTGGAACTTGCTTTGTAGACCAGCCCAGCCTCGAACTTACAGAGATCCACCTGCCTCTGCCTCCCGAGTGCTGGGATTAAAGGCGTGTGCCACCACTGCCTGGCTTTTTTTTTTTTTTTTTTGAGATGGAATTTTCCTGAGTAGTACAGATTGATCTGACTGAGACATCTTAAGTTAGCTCAGGCTGGTCTCAAACTTTAATCTTGTTGCATAGTCTTTAGTGGTGGGATTACAGGTTTGTTCCACTAAAATGGCTAACTGCAGTTCTTTTTGTTTTGAGACTGGGTCTCATATATACCAGGATGAACTTGAACTCATTATGTAGCTGAGTCTGGCACTGGCGTCCTGATTCTCCTACCTCCCCTTCCACATGCTGGAAATATGGGATTACAGATATTCGACACCACTCTGCTTCTGCTTGCTCTTCTTGAAGTATCAGTTTAATGGCAGACACAGATTTGTAAGAAAATACAATGTGTTAAGCTATGACGAGACAGGCATAAATGGAAAGAATAAGAGGAGAGAAGAGAAGAGAATGTTGGCTGGTCTGATGTAGAACAATGTTGCAAACACTAGTGTCTGAAGGATAGAAGGTTGCCAGGCATCCAAAGGAAGGGCCTTTAAATGGAAAGATAGATTATGTGATGATTGTGTTATGAAAGAGCATAGTAAGAGGCAGGCGGATCTCTGTGAGTTCGAGGCCAGCCTGGTCTACAAAGAGACACCAGACTTGTTACACAGAGAAAAAAGAAAGGAAGGAAGAGCGGACTTAGGGAACGTTGAGTGAAATTCACGGTATTGAATGATAGGGGAGGGAAGGATGGAGGGGCAAAGTAAGATAATAGTAGTAGGAGATGAACAGATGGTGGAAGATATTATCTGCTTCAGTTTGGTCTTTAAACCATAGACTCAGCCACTAAATCAAATAGCCTTAAAGAAGCCAGGTATAAAGAATGGACAGATATAGGTGTAGTCTATAGAAACTGCCAAAGATCCTTAAGTGTGTGTGTGTGTGTGTGTGTGTGAGTGAGAGAGAGAGAGAGAGAGAGAGAGAGAGAGAGAGAGAGAGAGAGAGAGAGCGTGCATGTGCACGAGTGCGTACATGCACAGTTGAGCAGAGCGCTTGTGTCCCTTTTGCTTGTTTCTTACTGACTAACCCATAATTGTTAATCTTAAGTATTTCTCTTACCGGAGAAAAGGGTCTGGACATCTTACTCCTCTGGCAGGCTACATAGTCTCTTCCATGTCTCTCTTTCCCAGAATCCTCCTCAACTCCTAGTCCCACCTATCTTGCTTCCCTATTGGCCAACAGTGCTTTATTGACATATTCACAGGACTTCCCCATCATACACCTTGTTTTTTTTCTTTTTTTGGTTTTTTGGTTTTTCGAGACAGGGTTTCTCTGAATTGTTTTTGGAACCTGTCCTGGAACTTGCTCTGTAGATCAAACTGGTCTCAATCACAGAGATTCACCTGCCTCTGACTCCTGAGTGCTGGGATTAAAGGTGTTGATGCACTTCCCAGCTTGCCCAAGGTTCTTAATTTGAAAAAAGAGTGCTCATTGTTAATTTGTGTATGTGCATAGGTGTGCCTGCCCACCTGTACTTGTACGGAGGTCAGAGGACATTCAGTTCTCTCCTTTCATTGTGGCATATGAGCCACGAACAAGTCCGAGGGATTTGGAAATGAAGGATATGACGTCCACCCGTTTGTGCTAAGAGAATTCGTCTGCCACCTTTATTACCAGAGAATGCGTGTGTCTGTGCCGCATCTGTGTGTCTGCCTGTTTGTGTGCCATAAGGTGTGAGCAGCCTTAGAAACAGACCTGGGAGAAACCCCAGGTGCAGGAGCCTGTGTTTGCCTCGTGTCAGTGCGGCAAGGCCGGGGCTGTCAGCCAGGACTAGAGAACAGGATGCACCTGTGGCTGTCAGCTGACAAGCAATGCACAGAGTTCTGTTGGGGTTGGGACCCAACATTTCACCATGTGGGTCCTCAGGCGTGGCATAAGATGCCTTTATCTTCTGAACCATTTTGCTTGGTCCTTAGCTTTGTAATTTCTATTTACCTATGTGTATAAATATTCAACCTGCAGAGGTCAGAATAGTAAAATATTTTATAGCCACAATAAAAGATACCATTTATACTTTAAGGAACTAGTTTTAAATAGGAAGCTGGGGTCTGGGTACCCTTTCTCTTGCTCCTAGTTGATACTTGATACTTTAGTGTTCAATGTAGGCTTCATTGGTTTAATAGTAGGAGTTTGTGCTTTGTTGTTTGGATTTTTGAGACAGGATTTCTCTGTGTAACAGTTTTGGCTGTCCTGGAACTCACTCTGTAGATCAGGCTGGCCTTGACCTCAAAGAGATCTGCCTGCCTCTGCCTCCTGAGTGCTGGGACTAAAGGTGTGTACCACCACCGTCACCAACACTGGCCAAAGCTTCTCTTGACTGCTGAGCCATCTCTGCAGGCTAAGGGTGTGTCTTTTGTCTTGATCATTATATTGATTTTTATGTGTATTACGCTAATTTTTGGCTTCCAGTATGGGGAAATGAGCTTATCTGCTCTCAAGGGATTCAGTCTAGCAGCATATGGCATTAGATCTCTCTTAGTGGGATAAATTTTATTGGCTGAATAAAAAGACTGGACTAATTAGTTTACATCAATATAAGATAATGTGGGTATACAAATATTGTCTATATGGTATTTGAAAATTAAAATTTTTATAAGTGTCTATTGTAGGCTTTAGACTTTCTTTTTCTTTAAAGTGTTCCCAGTGCCCATTATATTGATATCATCAGCCACAAATGTGTTATAACTATAGTTTTCAAAACCTTCTGATGGCATATGCTTATAATCCTAGCACTTGGGAGACGAAAGCAAGAGAGTCAGGGGTTCAAGGCCAGTGTGACTATATGAGACTGTCTCCAAAATCAAGAGTTGTTCTAATGTTTATGAAACTAGAATTGTGAGAGCATTTTTGACAAGCCCTTATTGACAGAAATACTCATCTTCAGTGAACATTTCAGGCTAGGGCAAGAAGCGGTCCAAGTTGTCAGTATACTTGTGGGGAGTTAAAGAAGTAAATTAGTTTCTTTGTATAGCTCAAATATTTGTTTTCTCTTTAGCAAAAGATCCTCTAACTTTTAGAACTAGGCCGGGCATTGGTGGCGCACGCCTTTAATCCCAGCACTCGGGAGGCAGAGGCAGGCGGATCTCTGTGAGTTCGAGGCCAGCCTGGTCTACAAGAGCTAGTTCCAGGATAGCCTCCAAAGCTACAGAGAAATCCTGTCTCGAAAAACCAAAAAAAAACCAAAACTTTTAGAACTAGTGGAATTGTATATTGTAAATTACCAGTCAAACCACCGATTATGATTCAAAACGGGTATTCTTTTAAAAATTACTTTTAATTTATGTATGTGTGGAAATGTGCTCTTTCTCCTGCTTTTCCTTCTTATCAGCCCTCAAACAGTGGCCGAGCTGCAGAACTCCTTGCCAAAGAACAGGGAACAGTGCCTGGATTTATTGGTTTTGGAACATCTCACAGTGACCTCGGCTATGTTCCTGCTATCCAGGGAGCTGAAGATATAGACAGTCTTGTAGATTCTGATTTCCGAATGGTGCTGAGGAAACTTTCCAAGAAAGATGTCACCACAAAATTAAAGGCAAGTTTTCACAAATAAACAACAACAAAAAAAAGATTTAGAATGTTGTTTTACTTGGGTGGTGATGGCACACGCTTTCGATCCCAGCACTTGAGGCAGAGGCAGACTGATCTCTGTGAGTTCAAGGGCAGCCAGGGCTGTTACACAGAGAAAGCCTGTTTCAAAAAAACCAAAACCAAAGCATAGTTTTGTTGGAGTAAATATTAGCTGTATTTATTGTAAAGGAAAATGTATACAATATGCATTTTTGGCACATAAGGTTTTTTTTTCTTCTCTGAAACATTTTGAACCACACTTTGGAATCCTGGCTATGTAGTTTTACTATGTAGCTCTTGGCTGGCCTGGAATTTGCTATGCAGACCAGGTTGTCCTTAAACTTGTGCCATCTTCCTGCCTCCACCTCCTGAGTGCTGGAATTACAGCTGTGAGCCACCATGCCTGGCTATAGATTTTTATTTGTGTATTTGAATGTTTTGCCTGAATGTGTGGGTACCATGTCCATGTGTGTGCCCAAGAGGCCAAGAGAAGTTGTTGGATCCGGTGGAACTGTAGTTATGGCCGTGAATCACCATGTGGGTACCTGGAACTGACCCTGGGTTCCTTTAAGAGAAGCCAGTGCTCATACCTGCTGAGCCGTATCCTCACACATCTCCTTATGTTGTTGAGATGCAGTGTTGAGATGACATGCAGTGTTGAGAGCTGCTGAGCTCGTCTGAGGTGTCTGTAGTCTTCTCAGCCTCTGTGTGGGCGCCACTTCTGACTCAGGTCTGTCCTTTTCATTTGTCTCGTTTATAGTGAAGTTTAAAAGTCAGTGCTAGAGTGGGTAAGGAAAGAAATTTTCATGTTTCCTTGTGGCACAGACGAAATAATGTAGTCTCCTTTTAAATAAAGCACACTAAGCTTCCAGAACAAAAGAAAGAAAATCAGTAGGCAGTGTCCCATTTGTTAATCTTGACGATGTTAATCACTTTCAGGCAATGCAAGAATTTGGGACTATGTGCACAGAACGAGACTCAGAAGCTGTGAAAGGGGTTCTCCCGTACTGGCCAAGAATCTTCTGCAAAATCTCGCTTGTAAGCATTAGAGTTTCTGAGCCTGTTGTGTAAGTGATTCATCTCTGTAGAGTGTCTTTTTTGCTACAGAAGGTTGGGAATGAGCTTGTAGTTACTCAGTCTTTGAACCCATTTTAGATACAATCTCATTGAAAAGGGGGAGAAAGGAAAAATTATTTCATATGATTGTCAGTAAAGAAACCCTAAATCCTCAGTCTTTCAAAGCAAATTTTTTCTTTTTCTCTTCTCTGCATTCTTTTTATTTAGTTATTTATTTATTTAATGGCTTGTAATTGAATCCTGAGCATTGTGATTGTAAGGCACACTCTCCACACTGAGATATTTCCTAGCCTGTCAAAAGTTAGTATTAGTTTGATTATGTGCATAGATAAATTCCAACTGTGAGCCATTGTAGAATATTTACAAATGTTAGTATTTGTTTTTAAACCACATTTCTGTTTTCAATAGGATCATGATCGACGGGTTCGAGAGGCTACACAGCAAGCTTTTGAAAAACTTATCCTTAAAGTAAAGAAGCACTTGGCTCCATATTTAAAAAGTGTCATGGGCTATTGGCTAATGGCTCAGTGTGATACATACCCACCAGCTGCAACGGCAGCTAAAGATGCCTTTGAAGCCGCTTTCCCTCGGAGCAAGCAACCTGAAGCCATAGCCTTTTGTAAGGAAGAAATTACAAATGTGAGTTTTTGGAATCATCCTGTACCTGTGTTTCTCAAGTGTCTGAAGGCTCTCAGGCAGATAATGGTAGCTCTTCTACCTCAAAACAAATTGTGTCACTCTTGTCGTACACAATCAACATAAAAGATTTCTGTGACCTCAGAAGGTATGGAGGGACCAGCAAGATGGCTCAGTGGGTAGAAGTGTTCCTTCCAACCCTCATAAAGGTAGAAAGAGCTGACCTTGCCGCTGTCCCTGACCCGCACGTGGGACAGCACGTGTTCTCTGTGGACCAGAGATGGGGCAGGAAAGCAAGTCCAATCTCCCTCAGGGTTACCAGCTGACTATCCCACGGTACCGCAGTAAGAGTAATGAGTAACAAGTGGCCACAAGCCTTTAGTGGGAAACTTCTCTTGGTGGGAATTGGAGCTGTCTTTACCACAGTAGCAGCCAATATAGGGGAGTAGATAGGAAGAGAAAACTGGGCGAGGTTCAAACCTCTTAGCTATCTGAGGTGGTTTGAGGGCATGGGAATTTTTATTTATTTAAATACTTATTTTTTTGAGACAGGGTTTCTCTCTGTAGCCCTGGCTGTCTTGGAACTCACTCTGTAGACCAGGCTAGCCTTGAACGTAGATCTGCCTGCCTTTACTTCCCAGTTGCTGGATTAAAGGTGTGTGTCACCACTGCCTGCAGAGTATGGGGAATTTTTAAAAAGTAGATTTTCCCTGTATCTGATCATCATAACAGTTTCATAAGACCTCAAGGTTTTGATGGTTTTCTCCTTCAGGTGCTACAGGATCACCTTCTAAAGGAAACTCCCGATACACTCAGTGACCCTCAGTAAGTTACATTGTTTCTAAGTAACTCACAGGTGGCATTTACTTTGTTGGTATCATGTGTAATTTCAGTGTTACATGTTCTAAGAAGGAATTTCAAATACAGGTAAAATTATTTCAGAGAATGCTATATGGTGCCTGCTATGTGCTTTTACTTGAACTTTGGCTGGCTGTTAAATTTGAATTTTTGTAGCTACGTATGTAGTTCTATAGAAAGAATTTTACTTTTTTTCTCAACATTGGTCTTTTGGCAGTCATAGCAGGAACTAATTTAAAGTTTGGCATACTTGAAGTTATTAAGTAGTTCTGTTAAAGAAGTAGTAAAAGGTTTTATATACTTGCATGGTGTTTTGTTTTGTTTTGAGACAGGCTTTGGAGCCTGTCCTAGAACTAGCTCTTGTAGACCAGGCTGGTCTTGACTCACAGAGACCTGCCTGACCCTGCCTCTTGAGTGCCAGGATTAAAAGCATGCGCCACCACCGCCCAGTAGGCATGTTATGTTGTGATTAAACTTTCAGGACTGCATCAGGTAGTCAGGTGCCTCAGCGCCCTTTGTAGAATTGCCAGCAGAGCTGCAGAGAGTACTGTCTGTGTTCCCTTCCTCCATGTGTGGGAGTGAAGCCTTCACTTTCACTTATTTAGCTGCAAAATGTGTGACTGAAGTCTGCTTGTGGGCAGACAGACGGCTCCTCAGGTAAATGTACTTTTGCAGTCAATCCTAAAAGGTGGAATTCGAGCCCTAGGACCTGCATGGTGGAAGGAGAGAAGCCACTCCCCAGTCTGTCCTGACTTTTGTTGTTGGTTGGTTTTACTCTTGGGAGGCCTGCCATCCAGCTCCCCAATAAACCACACATGGAAGGCTATTCTTAATCATAAATGCCCAGCCTTGTCTTGGCTTTTTCTAACCAGCTTATCTGAATTTAAATTATCCCCATCTACCTTTTTGCCTCTGGGTCTTTTCTTTTAAGTCTGTGTATCTTACTTTCACTCTTAATCCTGACTGGCTGTGTGCCTGGCCCCTGGTGGCCTCCTCTCCTTTTCTTCTCCTTCTCCTTTTCTTCCCAGATTTTTCCTTTTTATTCTTTCTGCTTGCCAGCCCTGCCTCTCCTTTTTCCTGCCTCGCTATTGGACATTCAGCTCATCAAGTCTAATAACACAGCTTCACAGTTAAACAAATGCAACATAAAAGAATGCAGCACATCTCGGCTTCATTAAACAAATGCTCCACAGCATAAATAAATGTAGCACATCTTAAATTACTATTCTACAACAGAATTCCATATGTGTATGTGCATTAAAAAAATCCAAAAAACAAAAACTATTTCTTTTTCAAATCCAGAACTGTTCCAGAGGAGGAGAGAGAGGCTAAATTCCATCGAGTTGTAACATGCTCCTTATTGGCACTAAAGAAACTGCTTTGCTTCTTACCTAACAATGAGCTGGATTCTCTGGAAGACAAATTTAAATCACTTTTATCGCAGAATAAGTTTTGGAAGTATGGAAAACACAGTGTACCTCAGGTATCGTAATAATTTTTATTTTAAGACTTCTTTTCTTTTCATTTTTTTACGAGACAGGGTTTCTCTGTATTGTTTTGGAGGCTGTCGACCAGCCCGGCCTCGAACTCATAGAGATCCGCCTGCCTCTGCCTAAGACTTCTTTTTTATAACGTCCCCCTGATTCACTGCATTTATGCTCATGTTCATTGATTGTGTTTAAAATTATGCAAGCACATCTTTGTAGTTAGTTGGTCATTCAGGACTTAGTTCCTCTTTTACTGCTACTCTATTTCCACCTTTGGTGGTGTTGGGTTGAACTGAGTGACATGCTTTAGTAGGTCTGTATTTTCACTGTTCATTCAGGCTGGACTGAATTAAAAGTAAACCACACTACGTTATTCAAGGCACTTTAGAGTTAGTGCTGTATGCAAGACTGGTTTAGTACATCTTACCCCTTTGGTTGCTTTCCCTTTCTCCACCTTCTAACGCTTTTAATGTGTGCATTTGGCTTGTGTGGGCCAGTGTCATTATCCATAGTAGTTACATTCAGTGTTTGTCAGCACAAACACTGAGTTAGAGATACTGAAACATTGTTCCTAGGAGAAATACAGGGTTAGGTTCCTGTGAGTTGTTAGTTGCAACAACTCTCCCAGCATCAGTGTGCCGGCTCCCTCCCCCTTCTTTCTGGGATTAAAGGCATGTACCACCAACACCCTATTTAACAATGTTTTCAAGAGAAAACTTTAAAGTTTGCTGCTTTTTTTTTTTTTTTTTTTTTTTTTTTGGTTTTTCGAGACAGGGTTTCTCTGTGGCTTTGGAGGCTGTCCTGGACCTCGCTCTGTAGACCAGGCTGGCCTCGAACTCACAGAGATCCACCTGCCTCTGCCTCCCGAGTGCTGGGATTAAAGGCGTGCGCCACCAACGCCCGGCAGTTTGCTGCTTTTTAATATGTCATGTGTGGTTAATACTTTGCTGAACTTGATTTTAATAATATTTTTGAAGAATATGCATAGATATTTTGGAAGGTCAAATATTTATATTTTTATTTTTTTAATTATTGAGATTATAATATAGTTGCATCATTTCCCCATTCTCTCTTTCAAATTTATAACCTCTTTGTCTTTGATACACATAAACACACGCACGCACGCACGCACACACGCGTGCTTGTGTTTAATGTTTCATAAATTCCTAAATACAACCTTCTCAGTCTGTAAGTTACTTGTATGTGTATGATTTCAGGCCTGACAATTGGTATTGGATAATCAGTTGCTTTGTTATTTTTGTTTATTTTGTATTTTGAGACAGCCTCACCATGTAACTCTGGCTGTCCTGGAACTAGCTTTGTAGATCAGGCTGACCTTGAACTCACAGAGGTCCACCTTCCTCTGCTTCTTGAGTACAGGGATTAAAGGCGTGAGCCCCTATGCTGAGCTGTCTTAATTGTTAATTACATTTATGAAGGTGATGTGCTTAGCTACCTCTACACAGCAGTTAGGTTTCAGCATGTGAACTGAGCTTGTGGGTGGACATTAGATGTAATACTGGCCTTGAACTTTAAATTTATTAGGTTAATATGTTTTGTTTTAGGAATTATGCTTCTCTTTTAGATCTATGGTCTCTTATCCTGAAAAATGATAGAACCCTTTTTCTGCAAGTTTCTTTAGATAAGCACTGTTAGGAAGTTTGCGGCTGAGTAATTTGACATCTGGATTGCTGTGCTTGCTGTCTTTCTGTTCATGTGGATGATGTTGCCCTGTTTGTGTTTGTTTGGCTGTGTAAGTTACCCTAAACGAAGAGCTGTGCTGTTAAATAGGATTTGTGTTAGAAATTATATTCTTTCTGCCTTTATTTTGCCTTGATAATTCCTAGTGTCTTCAGATTATTACTCTTAAAGATTTTAAAATTTATTTTTAGTGGTGTCTTTAGTTATAGGAACAGGAAAATTGTAAGCCATCTTAACCTGCTCCTACCATAGTTAATTGTATCAAAGGTCAGTAGGCCTTAATGTAATTCCACTTTCTGTTTCTTCTTTCAGATCCGCTCAGCATATTTCGAGTTAGTTTCTGCTTTGTGCCAAAATGTTCCCCAGGTGATGAAAGAGGAAGCTTCCAAAGTGAGCCCATCTGTCCTGCTTAGTATTGATGACAGTGACCCCGTGGTCTGCCCAGCTCTCTGGGAAGCCGTGCTCTATACCCTGACAACGATTGAGGTGTGTAAGGCAGGCCGTGTGGCGCTGTGGGGACAGCTTGTCTTCACACTTGTGTCTTTCATCCCCTCGGCCATATGAGAGATCACTCCATCATGCCATCCAAACCCATGGGACAAGTGCCAAACCAATTCAGCAGACATGCTAAACTGGTCATAAGATGACAAATATTATATTCCCTTCCCTGCCCCTTTTTTCCCTTCCTTGCCCCCCCTTGAGCTTTTGTTGTGTTTGTTTGTTATTTTTTGAGACAGAGTCTGTATACATACTTCTGGTTGTCCTAGAACTCGATCTGTAGACCAGGGTGGCCTGTAGCTCACAGACATTTGCTGTCTCTGCCTCCTGAGTGCTGGGATTAAGGGCTTTCGCCATTATGGGTATTTAAAAAAAAATATTGAAACATCTGTTCACTTTCTCACATCACCAGTGTTAAATCTCAGGAAAGCACAGCAGTGTGGAGTGGCTGTGGCATCATGAGGAGGCGAGTTTGAGTCTTCGGTCAGAGTTTATGACCTTAAACTTTACTTTATGCTTAGTTAACTTTACAACTCAGTCTCAACACTGCAGAAGTGTTTGTGTATAAGATCCCCTTACTCAGTCATTGTACCACTGAACTCTCAAAGGATTTCGGAACCAGAAGTATGTTTACTTTTAAGGAAACAGCTTAATGTTTAAAATGTTTTAAATCTTCCTGTTAGCATGGCAAATACATGGTTATTAAATGTAATACATTTAATTTTTTGGAGTTTTATTTTAGTTGTGGTGAGAGATTTTCTAGTTAAAATATTTAATATAAATTTAAAAAATTGTTTTTGAGTCTGGGTTTCCCCACATCACTCTGGCTGGCCTTGAACTTTTAGAGACTCACTTGCTTCTGCTTCTTGGGTCCTAGAGTTAAAAATATGTCCCACCATACCTGGCCTTATTTATAGTTTTTTGAAATTTTTCTTTGGAGGCAAGGTCTTGCCATGTAGCAAAGATAGCCGTATAGTCTCACAAGTGTTGGGCATATAGGTTATAGGTGTGCTCTGCGATTCCCAGCTAATTTTCAGCTTTGAGATTTGTTTCCTCTTAGTTTGGAAATATAATTTCTAATTTTTTATTGTTATTGTTAGGACTGTTGGATTCATGTAAATGCAAAAAAAAGTGTGTTTCCCAAGCTGACGACTGTGGTTCGTGAAGGTGGCCGGGGTCTAGCTGCTGTCATATATCCTTATCTTTTGCCATTCATCAGCAAACTCCCTGAGTCCATTACAGAGCCAAAGCTGGATTTCTTCAAAAATTTTCTCACCTCTCTAATTACTGGGTAAGCAATTAACATTTTCTTAACTTAAAAATTTGCATTTATTTCTTTATTGTCTGTGTGTGTGTATGTGTGTGTGTGTTCGTGTGCGTGCGTGCATTCACACGTGTCATGGTGTATGCATGAGGTTCAGAATACAGGTTGCAGGAATCTCTTCTGTCTTTCCATCACGTAGGTCCTAGGGATTGAACTTGAAGTAAGTAGTCAAGTTTGGTGGCAAGAGCTGTTAGCCACTGAGCCATCTTGCTAGCCTAAATTTTGTTTTTAGAAGCAAAAGGATTTTTTCTCGTTTTTATTCTTGTAGTTTTCCTTCTTATTTGAATTTCATCATTTTCTTCCCTTCCTCTATTTGCTAAACACGTAAAGCTTTCAGAGAAATAGGAACGATGAAGCAGGACAGGTCTTGCCATGTTGTCCAGGCTAGACTGGGCTCAGATGAGCCTCATGCCTCAGCATCAGCCTCAGCCTCTTAGGTGGCTAGATTAGAGGACATGGAGGTGTAGCCAACTCACTTCTCTTCGAAACCATCAGAGCTTCTCTGAAAAGATAAATACAGTTAAGTGCCTACATGGGAATAGACCATGTTCTAAATGAGTGATGGTATTTTTATATTGACAAATACAGACACCCACATTCATAAAATGAGCTAGTGAAGTTTTTAAATGTTCCGTACCATTACATGTTAGAGCTGTTTATGACCTAGCATGTAGCTCACCTGTCCACTATCATATGTGAGGTCCCAGGTTCTGTGCCCAAGTACCAAAATAAGTTACTTCTGTTTAACACTTTAAAAAGTTCCCCTCGATCCTGGCAGTGGTGGCACACGCCTTTAACCCCAGCACTTGGGTGACAGAGGCAGGTGGATCTCTGTGAATTTGAGGCCAGTCTGGTCTACAGAGTAAGTTTCAAGACAGCCAAGACCACACAGAAACCTTGTGTCTAGAAAAACTTTAAAAAAAAAAAAAAAGTTTGCCTCGGGCGGGCTGGACAGATGGCTCAGTGGTTAAGAGCACTGGCTGATCTTCCCAGAGGATCCAGATTTGGTTCCCAGCACCCACCCTGCAGCTCACACCTGTCTGTAACTCTAGTTCCAGGACTTCTGACATAGTCACACAGACACACTTGCAGGTAAAACATAAATGGACATAAAAATAAATTATAAAATTGAAAAAGTTCACTTTATTTGTTGAGCTTAACAAAATGTATATTTTTACCATTGTCACATTTTAAATATAATCTCTGGTTATGTCATCTTTCATATTTACAGATGGATTAGCATATAAGCAGGAACTGAGTCTTACCTTAGTTTTGAAAATAAGTTTTCTTCTTTTCATAATTGTTGATATTTACATTCTCATCAGCTGTATATTTCGGTTACCCTTAGTTCTTAGCTTTTTGCTTTTTGTTTGTTTTGTTTTGAGGCAGGGTATGTGTGTGTAGCCCTGGCTGTCCTGGAACTCACTCTGTAGGGTCAGGCTTGCCTTGAACTCGCAGAGATCCACCTGCCTCTGCCTCCTGAGAGCTAGGATCGAAAGACGCGCCCTATCATGCCCCACTAGTTCTTGGTTTTAAGAATTTGATTTTAAGTCTTTAGTGTGACACCCTTTTAATGTCTTTGGTGGTTCTGAGTTTTTGTTTTCTTTTGCTAGAATAATTCTGTTATTTTATCTTAGGCTGTCAACCGAGAAAACCAAAGCAAGCTTTTCCGAGTGCTCAGCTGTCACCTCTGCGTTTTTTGAATGCTTACGGTTTATAATGCAGCAGAACTTAGGCGAGGAGGCAATGGAGCAGATGCTTGTCAATGAGCAGGTACGCTTGCAAACCACCCATGCATGCATACACACAGAAGAAGACTCCCGCTCCCTGTGACCTGATGATATTTTTGGTAGTTAGCCTTGCATATAACGATTTCACTTTTAGAAATTGAATAGTGTATTTCTGACTAGATAAGTAAAAATTCTGTATTGTCGGTTGCTAGTGTAATATCCTTAGACTGATTTGCCATACCCAGTCTCTAGATTTAAATCCCTGACTACTTTAGAGGGAGACAGTAGAGAACGGATTTTGGGTGGTGCTCTTGGTGACGGCTAGTGCAGGTTTCAGTTATTTGGTAATAATCTTGTTATTCCTAAAATTCTCAGGTGCTTTTACCCCTTTGTAAATAGTTGTATTTGACTTTGAGATCCAGGATAAAGAACAGGGTCTGCAATTGTAGAAGCCTGGATGTTTGCTAATATCTTAGGTACTGTCTCTTTTTTAAAGACTTATGTGTGTCTGTGCATGTGAGGTAGACAAGTCTAGATGAAGGACTCAGAGCTCATGGACTAGAGTTAGAGCTGGTTGTGAACCACCTGTTAGGGTCCTGGGAACTGAACTCCAGGTATCTACAAAGGCAGTACATGTTCTTAACTACTGAGCCATCTCTCCAGCCCCATTGTTATCATCTCTTACCCATACCTACCTTTCTTTTTGGTGTTTTGAGACAGGGTTTCTCTGTGTAGCCCTGGCTGTCCTGGAACTCACTATGTAGACCTGGCTGACATCAAATTCAGATCCACCTGCCTCCATTTCTTCATGTTATAATTCAGGAAAGGTGTTCTGAATTTTTGGTGCTTAAGTGCCCTAATCTTCCAAATGAGTTATAGTTAGTCTGCTTGTCTGTCTGTCCGTCCATCCTTCGTTTTTTTGTGTTGTTTTGTTTGTTGTTTTTGGTTTTTCTTTTCTTTTTTTGGTTTTTCAATACAGAGTTTCTTTGTGACTTTGGAGGCTGTCCTGGAACTAGCTCTTGTAGACCAGGCTGGTCTTGAACTCAAAGAGATCTGCCTGCCTCTGCCTCTCGATTAAAGGTGTGCGTCTCCACCACACACGCCTGACCCCTGATTCTTATGGTTCTTCCACTTCCCAGGGCTACAATTGTAGGCATACACCACAGCACCTAGCGGGCTTCTGCTCTTGTGTGTTTCTTGTATCTTTTAATTAAGTGGGAAAAATGCAAAAACTGATTGAGTTTAGAAGGTACAAAGAAAACTGGGTTATGCTTATGGTTGATTACATCATAGAATTAGTTGAGGTGGAATAGAGTGAAATTGTCAAACTTTTCGAATAATTGAAAATATTTGAGTTAACCCCTTTTTCAGAGATCTGAGGGGAAAAATCAATCATTCGAGTGTCCATGTTCACGTGTGTGTGTCCGTGTGTCTGTGTGCATTTTTTTTGAGACAGGGTTTCTCTGTTCCTTTGGAGCCTGTCCTGAAACTTGCTCAGTAGACCAGACTGGCCTCAAACTCACAGGGATCCACCTGTCTCTGTCTCCCAAGTGTTAGGATTAAAGATATGGGCCCCCACTGCCTGGCTTAGTGCACATGTTTAAGTGCATATGTGAATGACAAAGGACAATTTCATGTGTCATTTCTCAGGAATCTACTCTTCTTGCTTTTTGAAGCAGGCTTGATATGCAGGTTTGGGTAGGCTATCTGGCAAGTTAACCCCAGGGATCTGCCTGGCTTTTTAAATTAATTTTTTTTCATTAACATAGAATTTGGAGATTGAAGTAAATTCCTTATCCTTGTATGGCAAGCGCTTCAGTGACTGAGCTGTCTCCCTTGCCCTCAAATAGGAGGTTTTGTGTGTGTGTGTGTGTTTTAACCTTGTTTACACTCTCTGAAGTTTTACATTTTTACCCTCTCTTTCAGTTGATCCCATTTATTGATACTGTTCTCAAAGACCCAGGATTGCAACATGGGCCTCTATTTAACCATTTAGCAGAAACAATAAGTTCTTGGGAAGCCAAAGCAGATGTTGAAAAAGATGCTGAAATTGTTTACAACCTGCAGAATGTTCTGCTAAATTTCTGGGAAAGACTATCAGAGATCTGTGTTGAGAAAATCAGTGAGCCGGAAGCGGATGTGAAGACTGTTTTGGGTGTGTCGACCCTAGTAGGGGTCCTTCAGAGGCCAAAGAGGTCGTTGAATTTAAATAGAAAGAGAAAAGGCAGGGTCAGGTTTGCCAGTGAGGAGCCTGAAGCTAAACAGGAGAATGAAAAGTGTGTGTCTTCAGGAGAGAGCAGCGAGGGCTCTGAAGGAGCCGCTGAGTCTTCTGCCACTCATAAGTCTTCAGACCTCATGTCTCCTTTAAGGAAGAAACCTCTGGAAGACTTAGTCTGTAAACTTGCCGAGGTCAGCATTAGCTTTGTCAATGAGCAGAAGTCAGAGCAGCACCTGCAGTTTCTCTCTACGCTGCTCAACTCCTTCTCCTCAGGCCAAGTATTTAAAGTTCTCCTCGGTGATGAACAGAAGGATGCTGTCAAAGCCAGACCTCTGAAGATAGGCAAATTTGCACAAGAAAACCCTGCAGTGCAGTTCCTCTACCATAAGCTGGTCGACTGGCTAAATGGGAGTCAGAAGACCCACGGGAGCTTCCTGGTGGACATCTTGTACAGTGCCCTCGGATGCTGTGACAGTGACATGGAAAGGAAAGATGTTTTGGATGATCTGACCAAGGTATTATGTCATATACCTTTTATAAACATTTTTATGATGATAAGCCTGCATGGGTGCTATCTTCAGATTACTTGAGCTGAATGTCAGTTGCAAGACAAACAAGATTCTCTTCACTGTTTTGGAAACAGTGTTACCACTGGTAACAAAAGAAATTTGGGCTGCTTAGTGTTGACCTTTTGCTTTGGGTGTGTTAAGCTACAGTTGTATTGTTGAAGCTTTCCCATTTGTCCTGTAACTTTCTAACTGTTTCTGTTTCTCTTCCAGGAGGACCTGAAATGGGGTTCTCTTCTTCAGGTCATTGAAAAGGTATTTTAAACCAGCCCCCCTCCCTTTTTTTTTCTTTTTCTGTTTTTGTTTGTGGTATAAACAAATTAAAACTAAGCCACAGTTGTATTTTCACACTGTAGTCAGGTGTCTGATAGAGCATGTCCTTATTCCTGTACACTACGACTTGGACTCTGAGGAGTCCAGTTTGTTTTTTAGCAGTTGATACAACACTGAGTTGTGCTCTAATTGAGACTGCGAGGGCTCTGCTCTTTGTGGTCTTGGAAGTGAGAGGACGGTGCTGCCTCTAACTTGAACATGTCTGCAAACTCTTGCTCTGTGGAGAAGTGTTCAGGATGTGAAAATTGTACAGTTTGCCATTTGATGAAACAAGAAAACCAATAAAAGATGAAATCAAGGATGTAATTTAGGAAAATTTCAAATAGCTTTAGTTTCCTTTCTTTTTTTTTTTTTTAATTTATTTATTCATTATGTACACAGTGTTCTGTCTGCATGTTTGCTTGTACACCAGAAGAGGGCACCAGATTGAACTGCAGATGGTCGTGAGCCACCATGTGGTTGCTGGGAACTGAACTCAGGACCTCTGGAAGAGCAGCCAGTGCTCTTAACCTCTGAGCCATCTCTCCAGCCCTAGTTTCCTTTCTTAATGATGGGTTAAGTGACATATAAATTTTCAACTGTAGGTGCTTATAATCAGTCACTTAAGAGACTTCCCCTTGTGGCATATTTTACTATTTTTTCTATTTTATGTTTTTCTCTTTTAAAATGGTAAAAGATACAAAACAAATTTAGCTATCATAATAATTTCTTTTTCCTTTTTCCTGTGTTGTGATTAAACCAAAGCCTCCCACATGCTAAGCAAGCACTTTGTCACTGATCTGAGCTACATGCTTCAGTCCTGTTGTGTTTTTATGACAGTTCAGGATAATAAGTATAGTCACATTGTTGTTTAAATCCCCCAGACTTTATTTTTGAAACTACATTGTAGTTGTTAGTGAAGCTCAGAGAGAGAACACTTGGCAAGTGCATTTGAGGCCCTAGGTTTGATTCTTAGCACTATAAAAAATAGAGAAAAAAACCTTTTTTTTTTTTTTTTTTTTTTTTTTTTGGTTTTTCGAGACAGGGTTTCTCTGTGGCTTTGGAGGCTGTCCTGGAACTAGCTCTTGTAGACCAGGCTGGCCTCGAACTCAAAAAGATCCACCTGCTTCTACCTCCCGAGTGCTGGGATTAAAGGTGTGCATCACCACCGCCCAGCCAAAAAAAAACTTTTAATTAATTATATTGATTTAACAATAATTCCCAGTTTCACCAATTGGTTTACATTTTATAAAGTATAAGTGCAGAATATCTTTGACTGTTTGCTGATAATTATAATAACAATTATTGACTGTGATTGAGAAGTATAACTTATCAAGCACACAATTTACATTTGCTTATTTAATATCCTGTAAGCAAGCTACATGATGAGCCAAATTAGCTGCTTGATAAGCCTTGAATCAAAACAGGGAGAGTCAGTAATTTTATAAAAGTGAACTGATACAGGCTCAGTGGGTAAATGTGTTTGCTGAGCCTGATGACCTGAGTTTGGTCTGAGGGACCCACTGATAGAAGGAAAGAGCCAATTCTTGCAATTTGTTCTGTGATCGCCACAGTTGTGCCATAGGCTGTGTGTCCATACATATACAGTAAGTCTCACACACACACACACACACACACACACACACACACACACACACCACAAATGTATTTTTTAAAAACTAAGAAAAGAAGGAGTAGACATCTATCCATGCCATTGATCCAGCTGTATCTGCCAGGTTGGCAGGTGTTTGTATTAGTTTAGAAAACCGTCTTTCTATGTACAGTGTTTGTAAGGTCCTAGTTCTCTGGGTTTCTGTGACTTCCCTGGCTTCTTACAGCTGCAGAGAGTCTTTCACTAGCTATGGTAATGCCTTGAGACTCCTAACTCTCATGTCTTGGTAACTTGAGAGGCATTTTATTCAGAAGTTTCTCTACCAGGAGAGAAACTTAGAGTTTCTGTATATTAAACCTATTGGTTTACCAATTAGAAAGTAGGCCCAGGTTTGTTGAAAGATTTGTCAAAGATCTTAAGGCTAGCTTAATGACAAGGCTTAGATGGAAGAGTAACCTCTGATTATCTATATACTTTTTTTAGCATAAGAGATAAGTTTTTAGTCACTACCCAACGTGCACTTGGGTTTTCTTTTTTTCCAGATTGCTTTGAAATGAACCAAGTTGCAAATTCTATTCTTCTCAGCCTTTAAAGCAAAAGAAGCTCTGGGAACATGGATCAGCATGGTTTTGGGGGTGGATTTGCAAGTCTTTTCTCTCACTTCCCCACTCAATGAAAATAAAAAAAAATTATCAGTAGATACTTGACCCTAGGCACTCTGTTTCAGAGACTCTGGGGAGATCATTTACCCCATTGCTAATATTGAAGTGGTTGACTAATTGTTCTTTAATTTTAGAAAAATTAATGAACAAAAGTATACTGTTAAGAGGCCATTTATAAATTTATCTTCAGAGTTCATTCACTGTCCATTGAACATATCTTCAGGGTTAATAGCAGGTATCAAAGAAGTTTAAAACTGTCTTCTGGCAAGGAACTCACAGTCTCATTGGAAAGACAAGACACAGAGATGAAACATTTATATAATAAGACATTTCAGTAAGTGCTTTAGAAAGTCAGAGAGAACTAGTGATCATCTGGAGCTAGAATGGCTGGGGAGATTTTGAAAAACAGGTGGGATTTGTGCTGATTTTCAAAGAATCAGTGGGATTTTGATATGTGGGAGTATGTGTGGTTGGGGGATAATATAACAGAGCACAGGAATGCTTATCCCTGGGGTTACTAGGGGCCATGGAAGACAGTAGTCTTCCCACCACTTGGGAAGGAGGAAGAGTAGAGGAGAGAGTGGGACCACATGATGGAGGGAAGCCAGTAGGAGCCACATAATAATCTGAATACACCTTTTGATGTTGCTTCTAATCTTTAATCTTATGGTTTTTAGGCATGTTCTAGCTCAGATAAATATGCTTTGGTAGCTCCTTGGCTTAAAGGCTGTATTCTTGGAGAGAAATTGGTTGCCTTGGCAGACTGTCTCTGTGGTCAGCATTCCGAGTCTACATCTTCAGAACCTCATTCCTCAGAACAGTGGACTCTGCTGAGACTGGCATTGTCACAACATGTTAAAAACGGTAGGGGCACTTCTGTGTTAAAAACGGTAGGGGCACACTTCTGTGTTAAAAATGGTAGGGGCACACTTCTGTTTTAAAAAACGGTAGGGGCACTTCTGTTTTACAGCGGGCTTGATGCTTCTTTCTGCCTCCTGGGGGTTCTGTGCTTTTAACTTGAATATTGTCGGTTAAGAGATGTTTTCTTAAATACATTTGTTAGAAATACTGTGTGTGTTACATGGTAGGACTTGAATGATATTAATATTATTAATTTTGATTTAAAGTTCTTTGAATATAACATAGCTGCCCACTCTTGGACTTTGTAGACCATTGTTGGGTTTTACTTTAAAATTGCGTTTTAAAACTTGAGGTATTAGAGGGCAGACTGACTTTTTAAATGTTTTGTTGTTTTATATTTATATGGCTTTACAAAACATCAGAAAGATCTATAGGATTGCTAGTCCAGGGTAAGATATTTCAAAATACATTGTTAATACTCTTTCTATTTGTCTGTTTGGATTTTTTTCCTGTAGATTACTTAATTGGAGAAGTATATGTTGGAAGAATTATTGTTAAACTTCATGAAACTTTATCCAAAACAAAGGATTTGTCAGAAGCTGAAAACAGTGACTCTTCGGTGTCTTTTGTCTGTGATGTGGCCCATAGCTATTTCAGCTCAGCAGGGGTCCTGCTAAGGCCGTCGTCTGAGGACTTGTTATTAACTCTCTTTCAGCTATGTGCTCAGAGCAAAGAACAAACACACTTGCCAGGTAATAGCCTACTGCTCAAATGCTTTGTTGGGGACTTCCGGCTCTGACCGTCATAGTGAGTGTAAGTGCCCAGGCTTTATTCATTGAAACACAATGTGTTTGGTAGTTTTAAGACTTTCGAGAAAATAGTACTGTCATGTTTTTAGTTCTAAAAGCCAAGCTAAAAATAAACATATAGATGTTGTTTATAAAGTGTATGATTGACATCAGAGAGACAGTGTGTAAGGGGTCATACTTGATGATTTAGAATCTTAGCCTCTTAGTAGCACTAACAGGACACTTCATTTCTTTAAAGTTCTGTTCATTCATTTTGTGTGTGTATACAGGTGTTTGTGGGCATTTGTGGTTCATGAGTGGGGGCCACTGTGTATGTGTGGAAGTCAGAGGACGACTTGTAGGAGTTGGTTCTCTCCTACCACATGAGTGTCAGGAGTAGAACTCCGGTACTTAGGCTTAAGGCCAGCACCTTTGTTTGCTGAAGACATTACCACCAGCTCGGTACTTCTTTTTTTCCCCTCCCTCCTTCCCTCCCTCCCTCCTTCCCTCCCTCCCTCTTTTCTTTCCTCTCCTTCTTTTCGTTCCTCTCCTCCTCCTCCTCCTCCTCCTCTTCTCCTCCTTCTCTTTTTGAGACAGAGTTTCAGTATTTAGCTCTGGCTGTCCTGGAGTTCAATGTGTAGACCAAACTGGCTTTGAACACAGATCTACCTGCCTCTGCCTCTCCAGTGCTGGGATTGAAGGCATGCACCACCAGACCTGCTGTACCTAATTATTTGTTGCCTCAGTTTCCTTATTTGGGAAGGGATAATAATAATACTGAATCTTTCTTACTAGAGTAAAAAATCACTGAGTTTTGATGTATGAAAACTGAAATTGAGAATTGCACTGTTAGGACTAAGTTTATTTAGGAAAGGGACATAAAAAGGAATATTGCTAAGGCTGGGCATTGTGTGCACATCTTAATCCCAGCACTAGGGAGGCTAAGACAGGAAGGTCTCTGAGTTTGAGGCCAACTTGAACTGCAGGCTAGCCTGGACTATCCAGGGAGACCATGTCTCAAAAAAGAACAATAAATAAAAATACTACTACTGGATAGCTCTCTTCCTCTAATTCTTTTTAAATATTTTTCTGTTGGAAAAGATAACTTGTTATTGTATCCCTTAAAGCTCAATTCCCACCAGGCAGTGGTGGCGCACGCCTTTAATCCCAGCACTCGGGAGGCAGAGGCAAGTGGATCTCTGTGAGTTCGAGGCCTGGCTGGACCAACAGCCTCCAAAACAATACAGAGAAACCCTGTCTCGTAAAACCAAAAAAAAAAAAAAAAACAACAACAACAACAACAACAACAAAAAATTCAATTCCCTTTGGTAAAAGAGTGCAGGATATGGAAAATAGCTGTCTAAGCATTTTGTATTATTATGGTACAAGGTAGCTTGTATTGTGTGAATGTTACAGTGCTTTTGGTAATGAGAGTTTAATTTTGTGTTTTGTTTTAAAATAACATTTTAAGATCTCACATCTGTGGCAAATTTTGTTTCAGATGTTTTGTACTAATAAGAGTTCGTTCAGTGAGATTACACATTGTTGCTAATTCCTTGATTTTTAGATTTTCTGATCTGTAAACTGAAAAGCACTTTGCTCTCTGGCATAAACCTGTTGGTCCATCAATCTTCAAGCACACATGGGCAGAGTACTTTCCTGCGTTTGTCTGCTCTGTGGCTGAAGGACCAGGTTCAGTCTTCAGCTTTGGACAACACGAGGTAACTGTTTTGTTCACAGTTGCACATTGCACATTGCCCTTTATATACGATGTCATTCTGGCTGTGACAGTGCATGTCCATATCCCTAGCACTTAGAAGAATCACAACACTGAGGCTATCCTGGACTCTACAGTGAGAACCTAGTCTCAGAACAAAAGTTCATGATTAGTGTGAGCTCCAGTCTGTTTAAGAAGGTTTCCAAAACTAGATAGTCCAGATTTTTCAGAAAATATTTTGTCTTAACATTTTTCATTTAAACTGTCAGTTGAGCAATTATTCATCTGCTAAAGTATCTGTGGTCAGTGGCATGGTTGTGGTATTATCTCTATTAAAGATTGTGGCTTGTTAACTGTGTGATCTTTAATGGCCACCATACATACTTCTTGTCCTTGGTTGTTCGTTTTTTTAAGATTCTGGATTACAAGAATGTTTTATATAGCTGAACATATAATGACCTTCAAACTATGTGTGTAGTATCATTGGAGCTGGTTTATTTATTTATTTATTTATTTGGTTTTTCGAGACAGGGTTTCTCTGTGGCTTTGGAGGCTGTCCTGGAACTAGCTCTTGTAGACCAGGCTGGTCTCGAACTCACAGAGATCCACCTGCCTCTGCCTCCCAAGTGTTGGGATTAAAGGTGTGCACCACCAACGCCCGGCTGGAGTTGGTTTAAATAATCATGCTTTTATCATTCAGGGAAGTAGTTTTGTTTCAAACATTCCACACCTAAAGATGGCCACCCATCTATTCTGAAATAGACACATCACTCAGCTTCACATTACAAACATTTGATTGTATCCCCAGTTTTGATTCTGTGTGTCTGAGGTATGGTGAGAGGTAGGAAGGATCACCTTCTCCTTTCTGTCTTTCTCTGCTCAGTATGCTATGTCTGTAGTTGGATTTGTCATATGTACTGGATTGCTGAACCTAGTTGTCCCGTAACTGCTGCAGTTCTTTGCATTGTTCTCAGTCTTCAGGTCCTGCTGTCTGCTGTTGGTGATTTGCTGAATACTCTTGTAGAGAGTGGGGACACTTCTCTTCTCGGAGTCTATATTGGAAGTGTAATGCCCAGTGACAGTGAGTGGGAGAAGATGAGACGCTCTCTTCCAATTGAGGTATGTTTAACTCAGCAGAGTGCCCATCTCATCCTGAAGGTTGTATTTCACGCATGCCCCAGTGTTTTATCCTGGAAAGGAAAAATAGTTAAAAGTTGTCTTAGGATTTCTGTTGCTGTGGCTCACTTACAGTTTCAGAGGTTCAGTCCATTATGATTTTGGCAGGAAGCTGCAGGCACATGTGGTGCTGGAGTAGTAACTGAGAATCCTACATCTTGCAGGCAACAGGAAGTTGACTGAGACATTGTACAGTATCCTGAGCGTAGGAAACTTCAAAGCTGGTCCCCAGTGACACACTTCCTCCAACAAGGCCACGCCCACTCCATCAAAGTCACACCTCCTAATAGTGCTACTCCCGATGAGATTATGGGGGCCAGTTACATACATTCAAACCATCCCAAAAGCAGTTTTTTTGTTGATTTTGTTCTTGTTTTTCAAGACATGGTTTCTCTGTGTAACAGCTCTGGCTGTCCTGGAACTCACTTTGTAGACCAGGCTGTCTTTAAACTCTCAAAGATCCACCTGCCTCTGTCTTTCGAGTGCTGGGATTAAAGGCGTGCGTCACCACTGCCCGGCTTAAAAGCATTTCTTGCATTGCTTTTATGTCTCTGAATATGAGGAACAGGTGTTATTAATGCAGATATACCATTTGACAGTGGTAGAGCCTCATTTGAAGAGGACCAGGGTCTGTTTCTGTCCTAGGGCATCCTAAAGAAGTGTGCACGTTAATGCTCTTACAAAAGCCAATCTCTGCTACTGAGGACTCCGTAAACTACATGTTCTAACAGCCTCGTTTGAACAAAGGAACTGGATGAATAATAAGCAATTTAGACTATGTAATGAATTTGCATATAATTTAGTGTGTTCTGTTTACAGTGGTTATACAGACCTCTTTTAGAGGGAAGATTGAGCTTAAATTATGAATGTTTCAAGGCTGACTTTAAGGAACAAGATACACAGACTCTTCCCAGTCATCTGTGCACGTCTTCATTATTGAGCAAGATGATCTTGATTGCCCGGAAAAAGGAAATAGTCCTAGAAAACAATGTCCTTGAGAAAATAAGTGAGTATTTATGAAGATTCAGATGGGTAAAATATGTAAATAAGCTGAACTTATGATTTGGTTTGAGCTTGCTATAGTATTGTTAGCTGTTCATCATAATTTGCTATAAAATCAGTTATTTTATTCAAGCTGGTGTACCATCAGAGTAAGGATCCTCTGTCACATGTCCTGAAGAAAGCAGGTTGCCGCTTAGTGTTTGTCAGGACTCTGAAATTCATCTTGGTTTTTGTACACACATACTTTTATACACAGGGCTCTTAATTATTTTGCCAGCAGGTAGAGGCTCAAATGTTGAATCTCAAGAAGATTTAGAACCCCAGCAAATTTCCCCATTTACAGTATTGTTGGTACTTGAAAACAATAGTTTTCAAGGTGGAAAATTTGCATACATGTGAGGGAAGCATACTCTGTGGAAGAAAGGTGAAGCTTCATTTGGCTGTTGAGTGCCACATTTAATTTACATAAGGCTAGAAGTTGATGATTTATTCTTGTTACCAGTTTTAAGTGGTTGTCCTAATTTTTGTGTGTGCACATACTGGTGCTCCTGGAAGCCAGAAGGCCACTTCAGGTCACCATCGAAGCTAGTGTTACAGGCACTATTGAGTGGGCCAACATGGGTGCTGGGAACTGGATTCAGTCTTCTGGGGGTGTAACAACTGCTTTTAACCAGTGAGCCACACCTCTAGTCCCGTCCCCCCACTTTTTTCCTTTGGAGGTGAAAATCTCAGCTTGCCTCAGCCTATCAATTATGAAGATACTTAACCGTTGTCATCTTTCTCTACCCAAGATGTTTTTTGAGTTGGGTGTCACTGTATAGCTCTAGGTGATCTGCAACTTGCTCTGTAGACCAAGTTGAACTCAAACTCAGAAAGATAGACTTGCTCTCTGTCTCCCAAGTTGCTGGGAATATAGGTCTGAGCCATTATGTCTAGATAAGGGATGCTCGTTTAGTCTTCTTGTTGGCTCTCAGTTAGATACTGTGATTGTTTTTGCTAACTTTTTTGTTTGTTTTTTTGGTTTTTCGAGATAGGGTGTCTCTGTGGCTTTGGAGGCTGGCCTGGAACTAGCTCTTTTGTAGACCAGGCTGGTCTCGAACTCACAGAGATCCGCCTGCCTCTGCCTCCCGAGTGCTGGGATAAAAGGCGTGCACCACCACCACCGCCCTGCTGTTTTTGCTAACTTAACGAGTGTTTGTTAAGGTAGATCGGATTCCATGGCCCCCATGGTTTTTTTAAAGAGTTTTTCTGTTTCTGTGCTAGAAACCTGTGATGGCAAGTTTTCTGCTAAACTCTTGATCCTTTTATTCTCACAAGAGATTTTACTGCAGAGCAGACTACTGAGACATGTTTACTTTTTTTTTGTTGGTTGTTTTAAGGCAGGGTCTTACTATATAGCTTTGGCTGGCCTCACAGAGATCTTCCTTTGTTTGCCTCTTGAGTGCTGGGATGAAAAGCATTGCTCTGTTTGGAAGAGGACGGGGCCTCACTAAATTGCCATACTGGTCTCTAATTTCTCCCACCTCAGCCTGGGACTCTAGGTACATGCCACTGCATCTGTCAGAAGTACTGTTTTATGACTAACAGCTTTTTGCCACTTTCCTATCTAAAGCAATTTGAAAACTAGCTGATAGCTGTTTTTTATGAGTGAGCACAGTTGTTAGAAATGGGTAGAGGATGAAAGTGCTCCAAGGCCCAGCCACCATGTGTCCTGTAGCGTGAGAGTCTATGGTGGCCAGCTTTACATTCTGAGTGAGCAAGTCTGTTAGCTGCATAGCACGCAAAGGTGGAAGAAGAAACGGCAAGTGCCGGATAGAAATGGCATATAGTCAGCAAGTGCCCGATAGAAGTGGAGTATAGTTAGCAAAACATTAAATTGAGCAGTCACGGTGTCTAGAAGAGGTGGCTGAAGTAGCTTGATAGAAAGTGTAAACAAAAGGTAACATCTTCAAATTAAGCTTACAAATATCTAGCAGAGGAGAAACCTACAGAAACAGCTGTCCTGACCAAGTGACAGCACACGAACCCTAGTCGTAAAGCTGGGGAACCAGCGTTGGACCGAACCAAGCCCTCTGAATGTGGGTGCCAGTTAGGAGGCCTGGGAAGTCTGTGGGACTTCTAACAGTGAAACCAGTATTTTTCCCTAGTGCACAGATGGAGTTTGTGAGCCCATTCCCTATGGAGGGATACTATTTCAGCCCAGATACATGGAAGAGGGCCTAGGCACTTCCCCAAATGATGTGCCGACTTTGATGATCCCCCTGGAAGGCCTCACTATCCTTGGGGAGTGGGTGGAGGGTGGGGTAGGGGGGTAGGGTGGGGGTGGTGGGGAGCATTGGAGGATGGGAGGGTGAGGGAATGGGGGGATTGAAGTGTAAAATAAGATTATTTCTTTTTTTGTTTTGTTTTGTTTTTGTTTTTTTGTTTTTTTTGTTTTTTGAGACAGGGTTTCTCTGTATTGTTTTGGAGGCTGTCCTGGAACTCACTCTGTAGACCAGGCTGACCTTGAACTCACAGAGATCCGCCTGCCTCTGCCTCCTGAGTGCTGGGGTTAAAGGCGTGCGCCACCAACGCCCGACAAAATAAGATTATTTCTAAATAAAAAAATTATAAACAAAACCCCAAACCAACCAAATGTCTAGCAGAAACCAACGGGGAAACAGTTGATACTGAGCGGAATTGCTGTGGAGCAGTGTCAGAGCAGTGCTGCCCCAGTATGGCTTGTACGTAAAGGAGTGAACGGCAGCAAATGACCCTCAGAGCAGGCACTTGGAGTCACAGGCCCAGGTGGAGGGTCCTTTTGGTTCTCGCCGTGGATGATGAGCTGCTCGTGTCCTTTCTCCATTGCAGGCATTTCAGATTGTGGGATAAACAAGAGTTATTAGATAACTTTGGGGAAACAGATTGCTTTCTCTTCTCACCACCTTGTTTTAGTGCCCTCAGCTGCCTGCTGACTTTCTCCTGGTTTTACAGTTAGGAAGCTAGCTTGCCCCTGAACAAGGAGTTTTAGAGGAGACCAGGGAGAGCCCTAGACTCCGCTTTCCATCGTCGTAGATAGTTGATGACCCTGAGTGAGCCTGGGGCTGCACACCGTGTGTCTGGTAACTGGCTGTGCCCGTCCTCTTAGTTGCAGAGCTGCTGTACTCAGTGCAGTGGTGTGAGGAACTCGACAACCCACCGCCTTTCCTCAGTGGATTCTGTGCGATGCTTCAAAGAATGGATGTAACATATGGCAACTTATCTGTGCTGGCTAATACTTCCAGCCTCTTGGAGCTGTTATTTAACAGGTGAGGCTCCCTTAAATTTGTTTTTAAAGCAGTCATTTGTGTATGGCTTTGCCAGTTTGTGCTTTTAATACTAAGCGCTTACTTTATAGCTTTTAAAGATGTGATTTAACCTTCTAGGGGAGGTACTTGTATTTTGCCTCTTACTTAATTCATGGATACATTGAGGTGGCAGAAGATGAAAGAATTAGAGGCCTGCAGACCCTGTTTAATTTGTTACATGAGACAAATTCAACCTGTACTTTAACTGTACCTGTGATTTAGATGTTTTTTAATGGGATAGCCTTGAGTTTTTCTTCCCTAGATGAGGAAAATGGATTATGAAAACAGCATTAGAATTGTTAGATGTTTAACTTTTTGAAATGACATTTTTCTTGTTTTAGTTTACCAGTATGAGGATACCAGACTTCCTCTCTGACACTGTTCCATACTAACATGATAGACATGGAGATGCAGGCTTTTAGTCCCAGCACTTGGGAGGTAGAGGCAGGCAGATCTCTGTGAGTTGGAGATAGCCTGGTCTACATGGCAAGATCCAGGTAGCCAAAAGAAGCCAAACCCTTTCCTCAGGGTTTTATTGGTGTTTCTTTGCCCTTCACTGAGACTCTCAGTTACTCTCTGGGAGACAGCCCTCTCCCAGCTCTGGCTTCTGATCTTCAAGTCAGGTGTTTAAGGTTATCTCTCCTCAAGGGTCTTGAGGTACTTTGATATTGCCCGGGAGTGAGAGCTCAGGTCCAGTTGTGAAGAAGTGCCTAAACTCCCAGTCCTTTGGAAATTAGTGACAGTTGGGTACAAAGTTTTAGATAACTCAGTGATCCAAATTTATTAAATTCTGTAAAAGGAGTCAGTGTTTTAAAATCCTAACACTTCAGAATGATTGATCCATAACTACTTCTATATATCTGTAGTTATCATCTGTGTTTTTGCCCTTTTTTTAGGTCTAGAAAAAATGGCACACTTTGGTCTCTTATCATTGCTAAGTTGATCCTTTCCCGAAGTATTTCATCTGATGACGTAAAACCATATTACAGAAGAAAAGAAAGGTATTCTCAATGAATATTCTTCCACTTTGCTATTTATTACTTTGAAGCTGACAGACTTGAATGGGTTTTGGTTGGAGTCACAGTTGTTCTGCAGAAGTAAAAGCTTGAGTATAGGGATTAACGGATTTTTTTTTAATGGAGCATTTCTGATTTGCCACATCATAAAATTTTATGCTTCTTTCAAAAGAATATTTTATAAAAGTGATTCCCTCAGAAATCCTTTGGTAGGGAGCTAGAGAGATGACTCATTAGTTAAGAGCATTTGTTGTTCATGCAGAGAACTTGGATTTAATTCCCATCTTCTGCTTGGCAGCCAACAACCCTTTGTAACTCCAGTTCTAGAGGATCTGACGCCCTCTTCAGGTCTCTGAAGGCACCAGGCATGCGAGTGGTGCACAAAGACATTTGGGCAAAACACCAGTACACATAAAATAAAGTCTTCTGGCCCGGGCGGTGGTGGCGCACGCCTTTAATCCCAGCACTCGGGAGGCAGAGGCAGGCGGATCTCTGTGAGTTCGAGGCTGGGCTGGACCGATAGCCTCCAAAACAATACAGAGAAACCCTGTCTCGAAAAACAAAACAAAACAAAACAAAAAAACCCAAAACAAAACAAATCTTCTGGTAGCAATACCTTTTATTTTCAACATACCCCTTTTTCTTTTTTTAATAGTTCCCTTTCTTGGCTTCTCTCTGGTCTCACAGCCTCTACCTTTTTGTTTCTTTCTCAGACTCATGTAGTTTTTATTTTATGTGTTTGCTTACATGGATATATGTGCCCTGTGTGTGTTTGGTGCCCATTCAGTCCAGAAGAGGTGGGTCCCTTGGACTAGACTGGAACCAGCCCTGTGGGTGCTGGGAACTGAACTGGGGTCTTCTGTATGAGCAGCCAGTGCTCTAAGCCTGAGCCATTTCTGTAGGACTGTTGTATAAAAGTATGTGCCAGAATCAAGTGTAAGACAGCAGAGTGTCGTGCCTTTCCTGCTAAACTCAACCTTCAGATTAATGCTTAGCTGTGGTTGACCAGCAAGCATTTTGAGTTTACTGACTTAACTAGAATTCTGTGTGTGTTCTGTCACTATAGAATTGTTAACTAAACTTCAAGACTTGATTGTTTTTCAAGATAGGGTTTCTTTGTGTAACTCTGGCTGTCTTGGAACTCGCTCTGTAAACCAGGTTGGCCTCCAACTCACAGAGGTCCACTTGCCTCTATCTCCTGAGTTCTGGAATTAAAGACCACCACATCTTAAATTTCAGTTTCTTTAAATCTTACAAAAAATTAAATTTAATTTGAGGTAACTTGATTCACTTATAGGATATAATACAAAGAATAAAAATAATGAAGAAAATGCCTTAATAATATATATGCCCTGTTACACCCATTGGTACTATTGTGAATAGTAAGTTTTGGGTTTTTACTGGTTTTGTTTTCTTGATGCTAGACATTGATGCCCGAGCTTTGTGAATGCTGGGTAAACACACTCCATTATTAGGTTATATGCAGCTTTGTGAATGCTGGGTAAACACACTCCATTATTAGGCTACATGCAGTCCAGCCCACTGGCATAATAACAGTAAAAGATTAAAAAAAAGGCATCAGATCTTGGAAAAGTTATAGATGCTCATTTCAAAAATGAGAAGCAGAAAAGATAAAAAGCAACAAAAATAAAAATAGCCATTTGGAATTAGCAATAATCAGTCTAATGTTGTTTTTGTTTTTTGTTTTTTGTTTTTTTGGACAAGAGTTTACACATTAGACTTACTTTCCTTTTAAATAGTCTAAATAACAGGATTTTGAGAAATAACTAATTGTTGAGTGACTATAATTACCATTTTCTCTCTGAAGTTTCTTCCCTCTAACAGAAGGTAATTTGCACACCATTCAGAGTCTCTGCCCATTGTTGTCCAAAGAAGAACAGAGAGAATTTAGCACTCAGGGTATACCTGCTTTTCTGGGCTGGACTAAAGAAGACCTCTGCAGTATTAACGGTCAGTTGCTGGGTAATAGTGTATCATGTTCATTTCTTGAGTTTGAAGAAGAGTGTCTTAATGTGTAAACCAAAGTTACCAGTGGCAAAGTGTATTTGAGCTCATTGTTTCCACCTTGTAGTTTGTCAGTTGTCAAGGGGGTAACGGTTAGGATGGGCGAATGCCTGCAAGAGTGACTGTCGCCTCTGTTTTGAACAGAAGTGCTAGAAGCCTGGAGGGAAATTTATTCCCCGAAGTATCCTATAATCATTTATTTTCATCTGCCACTTTTTCATGCAGTCCTGGGGTACCTAGGGCTTTCTGCATGCTAGACAAGCCCTCGGCTGCAGAGCAGCTGTATCCTCAGTCTTCCGCCTGTATAGCTTTTTAATGCTATGTCTTGTTTCTCAATAGTCAACCAACGGTTAGACATATGTATGTACAAGAATAGTTTGGGGGTTGGAGAGATGGCTCAGCCGTTAAAGGCTAGGCTCACAACCAAAAAATAAGAGTAGTTTTATTTACATAGTAGTATTTGAATGTTTCTGAACTCTCCACTGTGTTAGCTCACGTGTTTGATTTAAGAAGCATCTCCATGCTGTCCTTGCCTATTGTAGAGAAAATCCTGTTGTAACTGACTATAGCAGACCACTGTATACTGCAATGGGAATGGCAGGAAGGGGATTTCCACTGCTGCTCAGGGTCAGTGGCAGTTTCATAAGAAGGTTCATGTTGAGCATGTGTGAACGAGCCAGATGAGTGCAGATAGTTCAGTTTAGCCGACATTTAAGGTGATGTTGGATACTCAGAAGGTGGTTTTTATAGTAGGTTCCTTAGGAGTGAAGTTAATGAGCTGTTGGTATAGCATCATTCACATAGCCCTGTTTAGAAGTATTAAGTTAGGTAATGATCAAGAAACATTTTTGGCTTTCAAAATAGACCTTGTGTTTTTTGTTATTATGGCGTAAAATGTTTTAAATTTTCATATTGAATTTTACTTTATGAGGTTTGGACATCTTGCAATGTAAAAGCTTACCAGAAGGCATATATACTTTTTGAAAAAATGTACTAATTAGGAAATTCTGTAATTCTATATGTTCTATTTCCAACTTTAACTTTGCACTGGATAGCTTTACCCCCCTTCCCTCCCCCCTCTCTCTCCCTCTCCCTCTTCTTCTCTCCCCCCCTCTCTCTGTCTCTCTCTCTCTGTCTGTCTCTGTCTCTCTGTCTCTCTCTCTCTGTCTCTGTCTCTCTGTCTCTCTCTCTCTCTGTCTCTGTCTCTCTGTCTCTCTCTGTCTCTCTCTCTGTCTGTCTCTCTCTGTCTCCCTCTCTCTCTGTCTGTCTCTGTCTCTCTGTCTCTCTGTCTCTCTCTGTGTCTCTCTCTCGGATGTTAAGTACAGAAGGTGCCTGTATAGAAAAGGGCAGTGTGTAAAGTTCGGTACAGTGCATTCCCTGTGCCCTTCTCTTTTGTTCTGAACTACATGCTGGGTGGTTGTGGACACACACTTCTGCTCATAGCACTGCTAAGCTTATTGTAGACTAGCATAATACCTTTTAAGCAGATGTGTTTATTTGTTGATCTGTTATAGACAGAGCGTGTTGTGTAGTCCAGGCTTGTCTGGGTGTCAGCCTCCTCCTGCTTCCACCTCTGAGGTACTGATTGCGGAAGTGTGTGTCATGCCAGGCCCAGGCTCTTCTACAAGAGTTCAGCTTGTGCGGAACAGTTTTAGCTTTCCAAGGTAGACTCTTGTTTTTAGAAGCTGTTTAAGGTATATTTTCCTTTTCACTCTGAATTTTACTTTAGGAGCTTTTGGACATCTTGCCATTTTCAATTCTTGCCTGCAAACCAGAAGTGTAGATGACAAACAGCTACTGCATGGTATATTAAAAATTATAATAAGCTGGAAGAAACAGCATGAAGATATTTTTCTTTTCAGTTGGTAGGTAATACTTTATTTTTTCCCCCATATAAAGTGTGGACCCAGATTCTGTATTTTGTTTGCAGTTGTTTGGAGTTAACAAAATTTGAGTGGATACTTAAGACATCATTATGCATACCTGGTTTAAAATGGACTATTTTCTAATTGATTGTCTTTGCCTGTATCACAGTAACCTATCAGAAGCAAGTCCAGAGGTGCTTGGTGTAAACATAGAAATCATGCGGTTCCTTTCCTTGTTTCTGAAGTACTGCTCATGCCCTCTAGCAGAGAGCGAATGGGACTTCATCATGTGCTCCATGCTGGCTTGGTTGGAGGTAAATTAACCTGATGTGGCATCACCTCTGCTGGGTCTGCGTGCACACCTGTCTCTCTTAACTCCATACTCTGTCTCTAGTCATGATAGTAATTAGTTCCTCTGTGTAGAAAACATTTAAAATAGACCAGAAAAAGGATAGCAGTTTCATGAGTCCCAGGCATCAGATCTCCACTAGTTAGTTTGTTTGATCTTTGGGGTTGTTGTTGTTGTTGTTATTATTATTATTATTATTATTTTGAGACAGGATTTCTCTGTGTATCGCTAGCTGGCCTGGAAGTCAGAAATGGCCTGCCTTTGCTTCCTAAGTGCTGAGATCAAAGGCTTGTGCTACTGCTGCCCAACTGGCTGTGAAGTATGATCAAAATTATTTGTGAAAAATAAACATAAATTTTATAAAAGTATGTTTTTATATTTTACAAATGTTAATTATTTGTTTTATGAACTATTATTATAATTTATAGTTTTATAAATTGTTTATATTTTATAAATTTTATAAAATTTATGAAAGATAAAAGATAAAATTTATTGGGGGAATTAGTGTTTTTTTCATGAACCAAAGCAACTAGAATAATAGTAACTTGTGAGGGCTGAGAGATCCAGTGAGTCAGGGCTGATGTGGTCTGAGTCCAGTTTGCCTGGTTACTAGCTGGAGAGTTAGGATTTTAGCTCCCATCTCATCCTAAATTTCTTGGGCAGTGGTTGCGCACGCCTTTAGTCCCAGCACTTGAAAGGCTGTGGTAGGTAGATCCCTGTGAGTTCAAGGCCAGCCTGGTCTGCAGAGCAAGTTCCAGGAGGGCTACACAGACAAACCCTATCTCGAAAACAAAACAAACAAACAAAAGAGAATGTTTGACTTGTAGAGTTCCAAAGCATGTGTACTTAATGTATTATACTCGTCAGATGCAAATATTTTTTTCCATACGTTACAAATTTAAAAAGTTCCTTTCAGAATAAATTATTCATTGATAATTGTTTTATGTAAACATATATGACTTTCCTTTGTACTGTGTACTTCAACAACTACCTTTTCCTCTGCTTCCTCTTCTCCTTCCTCTGCTTCCTCTCCCTCCTCTTCCTCTTCTCCTTCCTCTGCTTCCTCTCCCTCCTCTTCCTCTTCTCCTTCCTCTTCCTCGTCTCCTATCTCTTCCCTTTCCTCTCCCTCTTTTTTTCTCTTCCTTCTCCTCTTCCTCTGATTCAGAATAGTGAAGATGTTCTCGGTGCTGTCTTGTTTGTGGTACTCTGGTAGCAGCTTGCTTACCTATGTCATTTCTGTTTCCTTAGACAGCCAGTGAGAATCAGGCACTATACTCTGTCCCACTCGTGCAGCTGTTTGCCTGTGTCAGCTTTGACCTGGCCTGTGATCTCAGTGCCTTTTTTGATTCAGTAACTCCAGATACCATCGGCAATCTTCCTGTAAATCTAATCAGCGAGTGGAAAGAATTTTTCTCTAAAGGCATCCACAGTTTGCTGTTACCTCTTTTGGTGACTGCTATCGGTAAGTGCAAAGGGGCATAATATCAAAGTGACAACTGAAGAATTAAATAAGCTTGGTTTCTTAGAGGCAGTGTCCATGCTGATGCTCCATGGTACAGATATAGGGAAAGATGACTTGGCCCCTAGAGACCGTTCATAGTTGAGCAGAGTACAAGACAAGAATTCCTCTTCAGAATTGTTTTTTTAAGAGTTGAGGGTAACAAATACTCATAATCAGCTTATTTCTAGTTAAGGTTGTCTCTAGTTGCAAGTTGTATCTAGTTTTCATTTGGTTTTGTTAGTGACATTTGATTTGGTTGGTGCACTTACGTTACTTTCTTTGAGGTGTGTATGTTTCTTCATTTGCTATCAGGAGAAAACAAAGACCTGTCTGAAACATCCTTTCAGAACGCAATGCTGAAGCCCATGTGTGAGACATTAACATATATCTCCAAGGAACAGCTCCTGAGTCACAAGCTCCCTGTGAGATCAGTTGCTGGGCAGAAAACAAACTTGCCAGAGCACCTCCAGACTTTGCTAAATACTTTGACCCCCCTGCTCCTCTTCCGAGCCAGACCTGTGCAAATTGCTGCTTATCACATGCTCTACAAGTAAGACATCTTCAACGGGATGAGTATTTTAGTCTCTAAAACATGCTGAGTAGTTATTTTATTATGTTTTATTCACCGAGCCACCTTTCCAGCCCCTGGTTGGAGTGAATGGAATAGTAATAGGGAGGACAAGTTTTTTTTTTTTTTTTTTTTTATGCGAAACCAGATGCCTTTATTGCAAGCCTCTTGTGTGCCAGGCCCTGTTCTCAGCAACTCCCATGTATTACCCTTCTTCACTCAGTTTGCCTTTGTGAGCCATAGACTTCAGATGGGTCATCTGTCTCTGCCCACTTCTAGGTTCCTCTATACATTGTAATTCCTTTCCTTTTTTTTTAACATTTTATTTTATTTTAAGTAGCTTGTTTTACATGCCAATCCCAGTTCCCTCTCCCTCCCCTCCTCCCGCACCCCCCGCCATCCCCCCATCCTCCCACCCTATTGCCAATGGGAGGACAAGTTTTTGACTTTATCGTTTTTTTGTCCCTGTGTAATTCGTATTTAGATAATCTTGGCCATAAGTAGTTGTTTTGGAAAATAATTATTAAAGATAAACTCACCACAAAGTGTGTCTTGTTGGCCTAAGGCACAAGTTAACAATTGACAGTTTGTTAGGAAGTATGTAAAAGTGTTGCTCTGTTTCTCAGATTGATGCCTGAATTGCCACAGTATGATCAGGATAATCTGAAGTCGTATGGAGATGAAGAGGAGGACCCTGCCTTGTAAGCATTTTTGGCCTGCTTGCTTTCATTTCACTCTGAGTTTGGCCTGCTAGTTGGCCACCAGCCACTGGGAATCTGTCTCTACCTCCCATCTTGCTCTGTGAGGCCTGGGACTACAGAAATGTGCTGCCACATGGAACCTCTTCTTTCATGTGCTCAGAGCTCCAAATTCAGGTCTCTAAGCTTGTCCAGAAAGTGCTTTACCCGCTAAGTCACCCCAGTCCCACTTTCCCTTTATGATTTGTCTTGCCGGATTGTTATAAAGAAATGCAGAAAACCTCTGACTTCAGGATTTATGCTAATTCTTTCTGCATACCGTTTGAAGTTCCATAAGGCAAATGAAATACAGAGTTCGTGTTAACTGTTCTCTCACTGTTGTTAAAACAACTTCACATGCATGGGTGTTTAGTTTATCACTGCACCACATGGGAGCCATCTGCCCTCGAAGGCCGGGAGAGAGCACCATGTCCCCTGGAACTGGAGTTACAGGTGATTGAGACTTGCCAAGCGGGTACTAGGAGTCAGACGTCAGTCCTCTGCAGTGGCACACAGTGCTCTTCACTGCTGAGTCTCCCCAGCCCCCGTATTTTCTCACTTAGTTGCTCATGAATCATAGTTCCGTGTGCTGCTATTCATAAAGACTTTCTTTGGCCATGTGGTAACTGATTCAGGTATCTCTTGAACCCTACTTTGTACACAGAATGCAAGTATAGAGGGATAGGTACAGTGTATGGTAAGCACATTGTGTTGTGGAATATTTGCTTACACTGTGTGAAAATGTGCCCTTCTGACTGGTTTAATAAAAAGCTGAATGGCCAATAGCTAGACAGGAGAGAAGAATAGGTGGGACTTCTGGGGAGCGAGAGAAACTCTGGGAAGAAGAAAGGCAGGGAGACGCTAACGAGACACTGAAGAAGTTGGACATACGGTACAAAAGAGAGGTGACCGAGCCGTGTGGCAGAATGTAGATTAATAGATTAATTTAAGTCAGAAGAGCTAGTTGGGAAAAAGCCTAAGCTAATGCCGAGCTTTCATAATTAATAATAAGTCTCTGTGTTGTTATTTGTGAGCTGGTGGCCCAAAGGAAAGTCTGTCTACAAAGGGGCTTATAATCTTGTGGGTGCTGCTGCTCTGTGCTAGGCTGTGTAATGTGCAACAGGTGCTGAGAAGCAGGGTGGACAGCACACTAGCATTGCGGGAGGCCACAGAAGAAACACTGGGTAAAGACACAAGGTGTGACTGTTCAAGATGCGCATGGGAAACTTTGAGTGTGTCACTGTTTCAGTTATCCAGCAAGCTCTGTGAGAGAAAGAATTTCTGTTCCCTGTTCCACTTCCTACATTGCCAAGAATGCTTCCTGGACTATAGCAAACTCACAGGTAGTTGTCATTTGTCCACTGAGAGTCAAAGTGCACTGCTGTGTACACAGCAGGGGAGGACATGGGGACAGAGCTCAGTTACAACAGTTAAGGAGCAGGATAAGAGGTGGTCTTAGGAATGGTCCTGGACTAGGCAGCTGGATCAGTAGGTAAGAGCCCTCTCTATGAAGCATGAGCACCCCAGTTGGAATCCCTAGTACCTACATAAAAGAGGCTAGATGTGCCTGGTATTCCAGATTTGGGGGTGTGCGTGTGTGCGTGTGTGTGTGAAGACACACACTTGCTGCCAGTCAGAGTAGCCTAAACAGTGAGTGTTGGGTTCAATGAGAAGACCATGTCTGAAGGGATAAGCTGGAAAGTGATAAAGGAAGAAGCATGATGTCCTCTTCTGGCCTCCACATGCATATGATCTGGGCAAACACATACATGCATACACCACACAGCCTGTGAAGATGGGATCATTAAAGATTTAGGACATCATTTGCTAGGACATGGTCTGCCACCAGTTGATTCTGACATGAGGGTAAGCATATACTGCAGAAAGAAGCAAGGCAGAGCCATTTCAGAAGTCAGATAAGAGTATTGGATGGCAGTGTGGAAAGCGATTTCAGACCTGATGTTTGTACAGTAGCAGTGACAAGAATAGGAAGGCTTGGTCCATGAGCTGGCAGAAGCTTGGAGAAAGCCTAGGCTCATGAGCTAGTGGCAGGGAGCCAACAGGGGAAACTAGCACCAAATGGAAGAACCAGGTTAGAGTGCCATGGAGAAGAGTTTGAAAGACCAATGAGGAGTAAGGTGATCCGGTAAAGAAAATGAATTAGTGTGATGTCCAGCTTCTCAGAAGAGATGCTCTGGTTAAAATGAAAAGGATCAGATAAGTTGTGATCATCTTTTTGACATGTTCTAATTGCAAAGTAAGTAGACAGTAGGAACCAGAAGTGGAAAGTAAGGCTATGCTCAGTGCCTCCTCCTTCCTCACAGTTCCCTGACCTACTTCTACATGAACTGCTTGCTTCTCTGGCCATTCTGACCTGCTTTCTTAATTGTACAGCAGGAAGTTGGGTGGGAGTCTTTGTCTACTGCAGTGTTCTGGTGTTTTGCCATCTAGAGTTAGTTTTATAGCATGGGAACACCTTTTTGGAAAACGGGACGTTTTCTTTTTGTAAGTATTTCTAATTTGTTGGTACTGTGTGATCATTGTCTCCCAGGTCACCACCAGCAGCACTGATGTCTCTTCTTAGCACTCAAGAGGACCTGCTGGAGAACGTCTTGGGCTGTGTTCCTGTGGGGCAGATAGTTACCGTTAAGCCACTGAGCGAGGATTTCTGCTGTGTTCTGGGATACCTCCTTACTTGGAAATTAATACTCACTTTCTTCAAAGCTGCCTCATCTCAGGTAAATGAACACAGGGCATCCTAGGGGAGGTGGAGGTGCTCTGGAATAAACCATGTGACAATTTCGGGCTGTTGTCCTATAATGTATTTCTTAAACGACCTTCCTTTCTGCCCCTTTGACTCAGAGTGTGGATGCCCTCATTTTAATCTAAACTTGTCCAGCCAGGTTCATCCACTTGCTGTCATGATTGTTGGTACTTTTTAAAAATATTTTTATTTCATATATGTTGATGTTTTACTTGCATGTATGTCTTTAAGGGTATCAGATCCCCTGGAACTAGAGTTACAGACAGGTGTGAGCTGTGATGTGGGTGTTAGGAATTGAACCTGGGTCCTCTGGAAGAGCAGCCAGTGCTCTTAACCACTGAGCCATCTCTCCAGCCCCCTGTTGCTACTTTCTTACTCTTCCAAATGCCCTCCAAATGCACGCCTCTTTCCCCTTGAGTGGATCTTGGAAATAGGTCTGGGCCATGTTCCCTCTAACAGAGTGTAATCAACTAATCTCTGCACTTTCGGGAAAGATCATGCTATGATTTGATTTTGTGCTGACAGTGATTAAGAGAATTGGAATTAGGTCTTGCTGTTTTGGAAGCCACCATCTTATTTTTTTTGTTGTTGTTGTTGTTGGTTTTTTGTTGTTTGTTTTTGCTTTTTTGAGGCAGGGTTTCTCCTTGTAACCCTGGTTATTGTGGAACTCACTTTGTTGACCAGGCTGGCCTCTAACTCACAGAGATCTGTCTGTCTCTGAATCCCCAGTGCTGGGATTAAAGTGTGTACCACCCAGTTTAGAAGCCACCATCTTGATGCAGATATTCAGTTGCTACATCACTCAAAACCCGTGTTGTGAGTTTGGGCTTCAAAAGACTACCCAGTGTCATGAGCTGTATTGCCTCTGCCAAAAACTTCAATCCAATGAAAATAGCATAATAATATCTAGTTACTGCAACAGCCACTAGATGTCTCTGTTATTTCACTTTTCAGAAGATCTGTTTCTCAGCCCCTCCTTTTCCTGCTCCTCTGCCTCTATCAGACTCTTTCCTTCTTTCATTTTTCAGATGGAATCTTGTTGTGTAATCCAGACTGCACTTCAACTCAAATCTGCTGCCTCAGCCTCCCCAGCCCTAGCATTACAGGCGTGTGCTATCCTGTACAATTTTTCCTTTTCTTTGGAAATACTCACACTTCATTTAAAAATAAGCAAACAACAACAAAAGCCCTTCTTTTTGTTTTGAGACATCATCTCTATCCTGTCTCAGCCTCCTGAGTGCTGGGGTCACAGGTGTACACACTCATTCCAGTGTCAGACTGGTTTGATCAGCTTTGGTAAGTGCCTTCTGTCATAGTCAGTACAAAAACACTTAGTTGAGGACTTCTTGTTAAAAGTGTGCTTAAACCAAGTGGTGGCCTGATCACAGAGATCCACCTGCTACTACCTCCCGAGTGCTGGGATTAAAGGTGTGCACCACCACCACCTGGCAAAATGGTCATGAGCTCTAGTTTTGATTCTCAAGATAGAAGCAGGAACTCAAGATTGTTCAAAAGCTTTTCTCTTTAAGACAAGGTTTTGTGTGCAGCTGTGGCCTGGTACTCAAAGATCTGCCTGCCACTGTCTCCAACATGCTACCATTAAAGACTTGCACCATGGGCCCAGCAACAACAGCATTGGTTTCTTTGAGATAATTTTTTTCATACAATATATTCTGATGAGGGTTTCCTTTGCCCTGCTGCTCCCAATTTCTCCCACCATCCCTCCCATCCGATCCACGCCTTTTCTGTTTTTCCTTAGGAAAGAAACAGGCATCTAAGGAATAATAAATATAAAGGATGGATCAAAAACAAATCAGAATAGGACAAAACAACCAAGCAAGAAAAAGAGCCAAAGCAAAAGCACAAGAAACATACACACACATTCAACACTCAGAAATTCCCTGAAAACTGAAAAACTGCAACCCATATTAGACACGACACAACGGACCTGTAAGGTAGAACAAAAGCAAAAACAAACAACAAAGTGCCCTGATTTAACGTTATGAGACAAACAAACAAAACCCTCCAGAGATGCCATTTGAGTTTATTTCTGTTGGTCATCTCTGCTGGATGGGATAGTTTGTTTACTCAGTGGGACTTTCTTAGAGAAAATTAAGGTTTTCATTTGCAAGTAGTTATCAATTGGAAATAACTTCTGGGTTAGAATGGGTATGTTGCCGACTTCTCCCAGCTCTAGGACCCAATCAATTTTGTGCATACCTGTGCAGGTCCTGTACATGAGCAGCATTTATTATTGAGCCTGAAATGTGAAAGGAGATGTACACATCAGTCAGAATCACACAGTGCATTATACCAATGAGCTGAATTCTGAAATGAACTGGGATAGGTTAAAAAAAAGTGTAATGGGTTTCAAATCCTGGATTGTCTTAGCTACTCAAAAAACCCTTAGCAAATTGGACTGAACTGGAAACAACCCCATGTACTTTCCCCGTCTGTTATTTTAACAGATCTATCTTCCTCCCTATTTAGTCCTCCTATTCTAGTCCTGGCCTATCTCTCCATAACACTATATTCTAGTTCTCTTCCTTCGGAGATCCTTTCCTCCACTTATTAGCTATTTAACCTCTAGTTGTTTGTATTGAAACACACAAATCTAAAGCTTTTAAAAGATAATGTCCACATATAATAGAAAACATGGGTCTGGATTACTTCACCCAGGATGGTTGTTTCTAGGTCAGTCATTTACTTGTAAACTTCAGAATCTGACTTTTCTTGGCAACCAAAATAAAACTCCATTGTGAAAAATATACCCTTTATGCATTCTTCCGTTGCTGGATCTAGGCTGTTCAATTTCTGGTTATTGTGAATACAGCAGCAGTGAACATGAATGGGCAGGTGTCTCTGTAGTAAGATGTGGGTGTGCCCTAGTGGGGTAGCTGGCTCATGTGGCAGGTCCATTTCTAGCTTTTTAGAAACCTCCACACTGATACCCGTAAAGGTTGAACAAGTTTGCACTCCCACCAGCAATGACCAAGTGCTCTTCCTCTCATCCTTGCCAGCGTCTGTCTCGTTTCTTTTATTGACCTTCGCCATTATGGCTGTGGGTAAGATGAAAACTGGCATTTTTCTGATGGCTAAGGATATTGAACATTTTTTTTAAGTGCTTCTCTGCTATTTGTATTTTATCCTTTGAAAACTCCGTTTTAGTTCCATACCCCATTTTTAATTTGGTTTTCTTCTTGATGTAATTTTAGTTCTTTGTATATTCTAGATATCCTTTATCAGATGTATAATTGGTACAGATTTTCCCCCCCATTCTTTAGGCTTCTGCTTTGCTTGACTGATGGTGTCATTTGTTGTACAGAAGCTTTTAATCCTCATGAGGTCCCATGTAATAGGTCTTTCTCATTAGACTTTCTTGGGCCACCAGCTCCCAAATAATGACATGGAGATTTGTTATTAGTTATGAAAGCTTGACCTTTAGCTTAGGCTTGTTCTCACCTAGCTCTTATAATGTAATCTGTTTCTATTAATCTCTGTTCTGCCACATGGCTTTTTACCTCTATTCCATTATGTATGTCCTACTTGCTCCATGTCTCACTTGTGTCTCCCATGAGTCTAGATTCAAACCTTTGTGTTCCTCTCTCTTTCTAGAAGTCCCATTTGTTCTCTCCTGCCTACCTATTGGTCATTCTGTTTTTTATTAAACCAATCAGAAGGTACCTTTCACACAATATGATCAAATATTAAGCAATATTCCGCAAATGATTATAAATTGTTGATCTTAGTGCCTGTGTTATTAGTGTACTATTCAGAAAGTCTCTCTCTCTCTCTCTCTCTCTCTCTCTCTCTCTCTCTCTCTCTCTCTCTCTCTCTCTCTCTTCCATCAGATTAAGCATATCTGGCCATCTGTCAAGGTCCTTGTTCTACTGGAGTTGAGTTTTTTGCAGTGTAATAGATATGGATCTATTTCATTCTATATACAGATATATGGGTTGGCCAATGCTATCTTTTCAAGATGCCGTCTCTTCTCCAGTATGTACTTTTGGCTGCTTTGTTAAAAATCAGGTGTCCATAAGTGTGTGGATCATCAGTTCTATTCCACTGACCAACATACCTATTTTTATGCCAGTGTCATGCTATTTTTATTACTATGCTTCTGTAATGCAACTTGAAATCTGGGATGGTGATATCTCAAGCAGTTCTTTTATTATTCAGGTTTGCTTTAGTTGTCCTGAGTTTTTTGTTTGTTTTTAATATTATGTTGAAGATCATTTTTTCAATTTCTGTGAAGGATTGTGTTAGAAGTTTGATGGGGATTGCACTGATTCTGTAGATTGCTTTTAACAGGATGGTCATTTTTACAATATTACTCCTTCTAATACATGAGCTTCTATCCAGTTTTTTAAAACGTTTATCTCATTTTTAAGTATGTATATATCAGTATGTGTTGTGGTATGAGCTTCTGAGTGTGGACACCTTTGGAGGCCAGAAGAGGGTATAGGATGTCAGATTGTGTGTAGCTGGAGTTACAGGTGGTTATGAGCTGCCTAGTGTGTGGGTTCTGGGAGTCACAGTCCAGTCATCTGCAAGAGCAACAAGTGGTCTTAATTGATCTTTCCAACTTTTTTTTTTAATGTCTCACTGTGCAGACCAGACTGACTAGGAACTTATTGTCTAGCCCAGGCTAGTTTTCAGCTTGTGGCAGTACTTTTGCCTTACATTTCCAAGTACCATGGTTACAGACATAATGTCACCACCACACCTGGACTTCCAAACTGTTACAATAAAATCACACCCACAGAGATGGAGTTACAGGCAGTTATGTGCTGCCTGACATGGTGCTGGGAACCAAACTGAGGTCCTCTGGAAGATCTGTGTACACTCTTAACCACAGAGCCATTTCTGTAGCCTCTTGATGTTTGTGTTTTGAGACAGTTTCACGTAACCAAGGCTGACCTCAAATTCACAAGGTGGTCTAGGATAACCTCGACCTTCTGAACTGCCTCTGCCTGTCAGGTGCTGGAATTACAGACGTGTGCCACCGCACCTGGTTTATGCAGTGTAGGATTGAACTGTGAAGCGCACATGAAGGGAATGCACTTCCTTGCTGACTGACCTCTGTATTTACGTTTATCTGTTTATTACTTGAAAACATATCATAGGCATCAGGATGCTTTATAGAGGCAACTGACCATCCGTTTTCATGTTGCACAAGCGGGGTTTATCTGATTGCTTTCTCCTCATTCATTTTCATCAGAGGTACTTGCCACGAGTCATGTGGCATGCTCCCTTAGGAGGCGTATTAGTGCCTGTGCTGGTGGGTTGTTGGCTTGGTAAAGGCTCATTGCGAAGGTGTTTTGTCTTTATGTCTTAACACCCCGCTTTAAGCTGTGAGGTGTGCAGCACACAGAGAGGAACCGAGCTGCGCTGTTGCAGAGACCAGAGTGCTGAAGCCGTGGAAAGCACGGCTGGGTTGTTCACAGGCAGGTAGTTACCAAACATGAGTACCACGCAGGGTTCTGGGCGTGCTCCCAGGGTGACAGGTTTTCCTAATTTTAATAGGCACTAGAAGTCCATACTTATAGAATTTCCTGTTTGGTGGTGAAGCAATCATGAAGACAATTTTGGGTTACTCATTCTTGTGCTCTGTAAAATATTTGATATAAAGTTAACCTTGAAAATTAGATTAGTTTTACTGAGGAATTTGCAAGATTAAAGACTGTGGTGTTGAGGGAATATGTGGAAGGGTATGAGTTAGTCATCTGTGGGAATAGCAACTACATATTGCCTCAAATAGAGCCTGTGAACCAGTTGTCTGTATTGATGGGGAGATGATTTGACAACTTATTAGAAGTATATATCTATCTAATAATAAGAAGGGCACACTGCTAGTTTATAAGGAAAAGTACAGTGCCATGTCATATAGCACATTTGGGAAATAAAGACATAGGTATCATTTCTAGGAGTCTTCCTGTGGTGGCGCTGTCAGTCACTCTCTGTTGCTCTCTGTCTTGTCAGTGTTGGAGAAGAGCCTACCATTTCTGGGCATGCTAGTGCTCCTCCACTGAGCTACATCGCAGGCTCACCCTTAGAATTCCAGATGTTGAGATGCATACACTTTGTGGTCTCATCGGATAGTCTATTGCAGTTTGACTTGTCTTTTGTCTTGGTTTAGTTGAGTTTACTAATACACTCTTTGATTTCCACCACCAGCTTCGTGCTCTGTATTCAATGTACCTTCGGAAAACAAAGAGTTTGAATAAGTTACTCTATCATCTGTTCAGACTCATGCCGGAAAACCCTACTTATGGAGAGACAGCTATTGAGGCATCAAATAAGGACCCCAAAACATTCTTCACTGAGGAGCTTCAGCTGAGCATTAGAGGTCAGTGTTCTACCCGTGTGCATCTTTCTTAAGAGACTCAACTGAGACCAAGTTGTCCTCAACTCCTGGAGGTGTGAGGATAACCCCAAGTGAATCCTCATCTGTGAGGGTGCTGAAATGCAGGCTTTTCCAAATTTACCTAACAGCTCAGATAGCTGGATCTTATGGATAAGGTTGGGAAGAATTCCATTTGTGTTTGAGCTTAGTATTCTATATGAGTTTTTGTTTATTTGTTTTGTTTTTTGAGACAGGGTCTCACTGTGGCCCTTCCTAGCCTGGAATTCTGTAGGCCAGGATGACCTCAAACTCACAGAGATCTGTCTACCTCTTTTGGGATTAAAGGCATGTGCCACCATGCCCAGCTACCTATATTTAATTAATAGAATAAAAATAAGTTTGAAGTTTGTGTTTACCTGGAGACTCACATTTTAGTTGAAGAGAGACATGTAGTGCACCTGGCTACTATATTGTCATATTATAAACTTATCTATGAAGAAGATCTACTAAAAAATCCTGGAGGATGCATCATAAGGTGTGAAGATTGGGGTGTTCCTTTTTTAAAAAAACTTTTTTAGGCTTACTTTTATTATATATATGTGTGTATGTAAGTATGAATGTATCTATATATACATGATGGTTTTGCCTGCATGCATATGTGCCACATTTCTGCCCACAGAGGCCAGGAGAGCATGTCTATTCCCTAGATTTGGAATTACAGACAGCTGTGAGCTGCCATGTGCATGCTGGAAATCTAGTTCCTTTACAAGAGTGACAAATGTTCTTAACCATGAAGCCATGTGTTCAGATCCTGGGACCCTTTTTGTTTGTTTTGTAAGTTAAGGTTTCTCTGTGTAACAGTCCTGGCTGTCCTGCAACTCATTTTGTAGGCCAGGCTGGTCTCGAACTCACAGAGATCTGCCTGCCTCTATGCCTCTACCTTCTGAGTCCTGGGATTAAAGGCGTGTACCAGTACTGCCCAGCAGCAACTTTGATAATTAAAAAAACAACAACCTTAATTGTTTCTTTTTTAAAAAATATACGTGTCCCATTTCATTTGTGTGTGTGTGTGTGTGTGTGTGTGTGTGAAACAGGATATTTCTAGACTTTTCTGTGTCAGTGTGATTTCCACTTCTATGTCTTGTCATTGTTGTGGTTCAGGTTGAGTGTGGGGGAGGATGCTAACACTCTTTGAGTTGGGGTCTTTCTCTGTTTTATGAGCTAACACATTGTGTTGAGTGATGATGGTGTCTTTCTAAGGAATATATTGTAGTCTGCTCTTCTGGGTGAGAAATACATACCCCTAACTTAGACTTTGTTTTTTTTCCTCAGAGACAGCAACTCTTCCATACCATATTCCACACTTGGCATGTTCAGTCTACCATATGACTTTAAAAGACTTGCCTGCCATGGTTAGACTGTGGTGGAATAGCAGTGAGAAGCGTGTTTTCAATATTGTAGACAGATTTACAAGCAAGTATGTCAGCAATGTTCTTTCTTTTCAAGAAATATCTTCTGTACAAACAAGCACACAGTTATTCAGTGGCATGACGGTTAGTATTGTCTTTTTCCAGAAAACAAATACCTTGATATCTCTGATTGCTTATGTCATAACAAATTGAAACCTTTGATTCAGAATTTATAGAAAATTATCTGCTGCCTTTTCTGATTCCTCTGTGTCAAGAAAGACATCGTAGGCATCCAGCTGACACTCAATACTTTGGGTGCCTTTTGACTGTTTAACAATGCTTTGGTGTATTAAAACCTAATACAGTTAGGTGCTTTCTACGAGCAAGTGTAAACAAACTACAAATGTCATAAAATGTCTCTAAATGTCATAAAGTGAGAGGCATCACTTGTAGCCTTTGCTCACCAGAAACACAGTATGTATGTGAGTCTAGAGCACAGACATCCATCTGCCCCTGCCTTCAGAGTGCTGGGATTACAGGCATGCACCGAAACACCTACTGTTTACATGCCTGGTAGCAGATAAATGATGTGTTTATCTCCTGTATCCTCCTAGGTAGTCATCAGCTGTAAGTAGATCTAACAAAGTGTTTTGGTTTTGGAATAATAGGAAACTATTTGCCAAGGAAAAAAACCACCTTTCTTGTATTGTAGGTTAAAGCACGAGCTACTACTCGAGAAGTAATGGCTACTTACACCATTGAAGACATAGTCATTGAACTTATAATACAGCTGCCTTCCAATTATCCCTTGGGTTCGATAACAGTGGAGAGTGGGAAGAGAATTGGGGTGGCTGTGCAGCAGTGGCGCAACTGGATGCTGCAGTTAAGCACTTACCTCACCCACCAGGTGTGTTCTCCCTACCGTTTGCCTGCCAGAGAAAGCGTAAGAAGAGCGGCTGAACTCCGTGTAATTGCTCTCTCTGCTTAATGTGCAAAGGAAAAGCTCTTGACCTGACACAGACGCATTCCTAAGGACGCGGAGCTGCCGTCTCGGCTGTAGTTTTCAAAGCTCTGTGGTTCATTGTCTGTTGGTTGGCGGGGATGGGCTTTATTGCACTGACCTTGCAGAGGATGCAGAACAACACTGGGATTAAAGAAGTCGAGGGAGTCTCTCAAGAGGGTTAGACTTATGCTCGCTTTCTCAGTTGCTTTTATTCCCGCATTTCAACATGCCTTTGAGCCTTAGCCTAATTGCAAATCTCCAGTTTTGTGTGTATGTTATCAAGTATATATTTTAAGTACCCTTCAGTAAAGGAAGTTATTTTAAAGCAAATTTACATTCATTATTGTAAATCAGTTGAGGTCAGATGATGCCACTACTGTCTGTTGAAAATTAGAAAAGCTGTTGTAAATGACTTAATTTCACTGAGAACCCAGAGCATAACAATTAAAAGTAGTGCTTTGGAAGGCTTTAAAGTCTTTTTCTATTTTTTAAGAATATTATTTTTCCAGTTTCTACATGTATACACTGTATGTTGAGCATACGCACTCTCAACTTCCCTCCCCGACTCCCTGTCCCAGACACCCGACACCCTCAGCCACCTCTCCTCACCTTTCATGTCTGTAGTCGAGTCCCTGTGCTGAGTCCAGCTAACGCTGCCTGCTGTGCTCGCTGCTGACTGAGCTCGTTGGCTTGACCTTGTGCAGTGAGTTCGTAAGTGCAGCAGCCATGCCATGTCCAGAAGGCAGCATTCCTCATGTCCTCTGGTGCTTACATTCTTCCTGCTCCCTTTCCCAGGGTGTTTCTTAAGCTCGGAGTGGTTGATTCAGATGCCTCACTGAGGGTTTAGCAGTCAAATGTCATTATTCTCTCAGCATTTTGACCAGCTGTGAGTCTCTATATTGCTGCCCACCTGAGAAAGGGCATCACTTACCTGTGTGTTTGAAACAAAATTGTTTGGAAGGAATTTTAGAAACATGCTTGTCATTTAGCAAAATAAAAGTAATAGGGCCGTGAGCTTTTGCTCAGGGTTAGACGCTGATGTGAATTCCCTCCCGTGAAGCAGTCTACCGAGCCAGTGAGAAAGCTGTTGTCCCCCGACAGTCTTGTCACTACTGTACCAGTAGACTGTCACAGCTTTCCTGGGAAGTCATTCGATAGCGAGGCCAGTGCTGGGTAGACCTGTGATGTCCTTCCTCTCTCAGCGGCCTGCACATCACCTTCTGGCACTGTGAGGCAGTGTTCAGGGCAGTTCTAGCCAGAGTGTTCTATGTTCTGCAACCGAGTGTGTATGTGTGTCATGCCTTATTTTCTAGTTCTGGTGGGCAGCCAGGGGACTGGTAATGGCCTTTGTTGTTTGGGCGCCCCTGGGACCTTGCTAATAAACCATTTATGCAAAGGCACAATTACATTAGATCTTTTAAATTACTTTTCAAAGAGAATACCAAGTTTGGGTGGGGTAGATAGGTAGAGGTAGATCTGAGTGGAGACTAGGGAAGAGCTGGTAGATATGTCCCAAATACACTGTGTGACATCCTTAGAGATGGATAAAAAGCATGTGCATCTATATATAAATGGTCTTAGAGGGTGTGGGTTTCTGTAAGGATTTCTCATGCTCCCTTAGCTTTGGTTCACCCACTTCCAGACTCCCGCTTTTCTTCTGTGCCCCTGCCTGAACTTCACTTAAACCTTTAACCCCAAGAATTTCCTATAAGCACTGTCTTTATCGTGAAAACTTACATTTTTTTCCTAAAAATTTAGAGATTATTTGAATCAATGTTTAGGAAAGCTAGGAGATAACATAACCAACCATGCTGTCTTCCTTCAGAATTAAGTTATCTGACTAAAAGTAGCCTCTGGAAGCCTTCAGTGTGCAGTGACGCTCTTTCCTCTTCACTAACAGAATGGAAGTATTATGGAAGGCCTAGCGCTATGGAAGAATAATGTAGACAAGCGTTTTGAGGGTGTTGAAGACTGTATGATCTGCTTCTCAGTTATTCATGGTTTCAACTATTCTCTTCCAAAAAAAGCCTGTAGAACGTGCAAGAAAAAGTTCCACTCAGCTTGCTTGGTAAGGCAAATTTCTTATATTTTTATGCTGTGTACATATGTGATACTTATTTGGAAAATGGTATGTAGGGCTGGTAAGATGGTTCAGCGGGAAAGGAAAGGCATCGCTGCCTAAGACTCGGCAACCATGGAAAGGTAGAAGGCGAGAACAAGCCTGATAAGAGTTGTTCTCCAGTCTCATGCCCTAGTCACTGCACATCCCTGTCTCGCAGACACACACAATTTAAGGGAAGATCGTATATGCCTATAGGAGGCATTAAGAAGTGAAGTTTCAAAATCTGTAAAAGATTATTAGTGATTTACTGAGGTGGAACATCAAAGCACTTTAATGAGTGGGTATTCTCATAGACCTCTTAGCACTCAGGGATTGACAGTTTTGTGAGATGTAGACCTCCTTTGCAGATGTGACTTGGGCCGTCCATATGAGAGGCTTAGTTTGCTCTTCGTAAACATCATATTGAGAATGACATTGAGTTCATTTCTTCATAGATCTTCCTTCTACCTTAGTTTTATGCGTGAGCCTAAGTATGTAGGGCCAAGAGATCACAGTGTAGCCTAGAAAGAACATTTACTTATGCTAATTTTGGAGATGGGAAGGCAAAATTCTTAGTATGTTCCCATTTTCATTTTCTCATTTACAGATTACCATATATATGTATGAATATATATATGACAAATATATTTATATATATGATAAAACCTTTAAAAATTTGTTCTAACATAAAACCTTTTCTTTTTCAGTACAAATGGTTTACATCTAGCAACAAATCCACTTGTCCACTCTGTCGTGAGACCTTTTTCTGAGTGTTTTTTAAGTTGTACGTTGTCCCTGCGGTAGGTCAAACCAGAGGCAGCGGGCTTGTCTCCGTCTTGAAGTACTGGCGTGCAAAAGGAAGCCAGTGAGCATGACAGAATTGCCATCTCTGTCAGTGTGACCTGCAGTCGGGTTCACTTCTCTTGAGGCTGCTTTGTAAATCTTTGGAAACATTTTTCTTTTACAAGAGAATATTACATATTTGAAAGAAAATATTTATATTAATGGTTAATCTCTTTGTATATTTAAAAATAAATATATCTCTTCTCAAAAATACCCTAAATTATAGAACTGAAATTTGTGAAAGCATTAGCTATATTATAACTTATAAATCATCAAGTTTGTTGGTCTGTGTTGTAGAACAGTCCAGGTGTAAAGCAAAATGAATTGAGAGCTGATTTACATGTATAGATAATACTTAAGATTTGGTAGTGATGGTGGAAAAATTAAAAATTATTCTGGGGGAGGGGAAAATTATTCTGGTTTTCACAGCTTGTTTTAAGGATGAAGTGACACTAAGCTATTTTAACATCCGTACTCAGCTGTTTGAAGCACACGCTGAAACATCACATGGAAGAATGAACTGTACTCAAGGAGCTCTGTCGAGAATTGTGCAATTTATAAATTATACCCATGACATTAACCTTTTGCTTGTGAAAGAATTATTTCTATATGTTAATGAGGTTCGGGTTGTAAATTTGTGAGTGAATTTGTTACTCAGTTTAGTGAGTCTCCAGAGTAGAAAGTTGAGGCAAGCAGTTATTTGATTGTTTGTGAAGTAAAGTGGTAGTTATCTATCAGAAAGGAACAGACAAGCATGCTTACTACAAGCATGGTAACGTGGGAAAGCCAGTAATTAAAAATATTGTAGGAGACTTTAAATGTTGCAAACAAAATTTGCTATCCTTACTGGCCACGGTTACACCAAATCAGGAACTGGGGAAGCTAACTAATTCTATGAAGGATTTAGTATTAAGTTAAATTAAGTCTTTGGTTTTTTGCTTTTGTTTTGTCTTGAGACAGGATTTCACTGTGTAGCTCCAGGCTGGTCTGGAACTCACTATGTAGACCAGACTAGCTTGGAACTCAAGAGATCTGCCTGCCTCTACCTTCCAAATGCTGGTATTAAAGGTATGTGCCACCAATCCTGGTGAAATGAAGTTTTAATAGACTGAAGTGTGTAAACAAGTAAAAAATTGCCTTGGCTACAGTATCATTGTCTTTAAAAACTATATCCAGAGTATGAGGTATGGAAGTTTGGATCTTAGACTAATTTTATCACAGTCTTCCATTTCATATCTAGTAGTTAGGGCACCTAAAAGGTTGGTTTATCTCTGCAAATGTCTGATTAGAAGGGTGCAACTCTTGTCAAATAAAATTGCTGCTTACCGTCAACTGGTCAACACGGCTGTTATTGAAATAGTATGAATTTGGTCAGGATTACAGTTCAGAGTAACAACTGTGTGGATTACAGATGCAGCATCGGTTTGTCTATCTTCTGATTTTTTTTCTGTGTAGTACTTATCTTACAGTCTTGAGGTTCAGAGACAGAGTGAAGTGTAGATATCAAAATTCTACTACCTCTTCTTAACCCCTTAAAACATTGTCTTACCTTTCTGTCTGCCTCTGACACAGTAATCTCAAGGATTGTGTAATCCCCCTGTAAAAGTTATTCTTTGCCTTTAAAAGTGGTTTTACAATAAAATTTTGTTTATAACCCTTCCAGTATTGGTTCTTCTTCTGACCCAGAGTCCAAGTAGAAGAAAGACAAAATAGCAGGGTTTTGGCTTCCAGCAGCCATGGGAGGCGGCAGGTTAAGGTAGGACTCTGAATACATTCTGTAAAACTTGTGTGAAGAGTTGGCAGCTCACTACTTTTGCTATGCTAAAGAAAGCCTAGAAGCAAGACAAATACAGAATTCCACATTCAGGTTTTATTTAGTTAGTTTTGATGGTACTTATAGACAGGATACGAGCCTGAAAGTTTAATTCTTTTTTCTCTCATGATTTAATATATGAATATGCTTTTCTGTGGTTTCAATGTTAACACTTGATAAGTTTTTATGGTGTGAATAATTATTGTGTCATTAAATTCTTTCAGATTACAAAATATTTCAAATATTCGTAAAGTAGTAATTAATATAAGTTCTTGTACTCTTCCCATACTGTTTTGCCATATTTGATTCTGGTTTTTAAAGAAATAAAATGTTACTCTTTTGTATTCTCTGACCCATTCTCCTTCCTTCCCCAGAGCTAGGTTACTGTTCTGAAGTTTGTGCACTTCCTTCCTCCTGGAGGCTTATACTTGATGCTGTGTTTTCACTCATAAATAATATGCGGCTTTCCTACTTGTCTCATCTTTTGCTACTCGCTCCTTCACTTAGCTGCTATTTAGCATCATCCCGACCAATCCTCCTAATGCCTATTTCGGCCATTTTTGCTAATTTGAGCAAGTGCTATAGGGTATATTCTTTATCACCTTTCTTCAGCAAATGCAGCAGGTGCTCTGGACGCAGGACTTACAGTAGAACTCCAGGTAGCAGGATGTGTAAACTGCTGGTTACATGATGTCACATTGCTCTCTCACTTGACTACATGGGGCATCTAGTACAATAAGAGGGTTCTGGGTCATACTTGTCAGTCGTGCTTAGTCTTAATGAAAATTTCCAATTTCTAGTGGGAGAGTTGTGAGCTAGGCAAGCATTGTACACCTGCACTGCATCTCCTGTCATCTTTGTCATGATTCATATTTCCCTAACTATGGGGAGACCTAGTTTCATTCATTCTTGCTGGTCATTATTTTACAAACATGTCCATAATTTATGCTTATTTTTCTATTAGGCTACTTGTATTTCTAAATTAATAGTCACATAATGCTCTACTATCTAGTCAGGCATATTTTAATAGCTTGTCTTCAACATGGTGTGTAACTTTAATTTTACAGAATTTTCCAATTTAATTAAATTGATCATTCTTTTCCATTTTGTTTCAGCCATATTTTTCATCTTAATGTTTTTATTATTCAGGGTTCTCTAAAGGAACAGAACTTATAGAATAAATGCATAGTTTAAAATGGCTTATAGACTGTTGTCCAACAATGGCTGTCTACCAATGGGAGGCCTAGTAATTGTTCAATGCATGTGACTGGGTGTCTCAGCTGGTCTTTAGTCTGTGTCAGAACCCAAAAGTAGGCTCTCATGCCAGTGAAGGAATGGACTTGCCAGCAAGAGCAAGTGTCCTCCTTTCCGTGTCCTTTATGTAGGCCCCAGCAGAAGGTGTGGCCCAGATTAAAGGTGGATTTCCCATCGTAAAAGATCCAGCTTTAAAGTGGGTCTTTCTACCTCAAATGATTAAGAAAAATCCTGCATAGCCGTGCTTACCCACTTGAGTTTTAGTTAACTCCAGATGTAGCCTGTTGACAGCAGGCATCACAACATTCTAAAGTTTTGTTCCTTCCCGGCCACTAGCTCTTCTGTCCTCACCCAGCTTTACCTTACAGGTCTATAATGCAACTCTTCTTTCATTTTTTCTTTTCTAATTAGAGGAAGAAGGAATGTTACCTTTCTGTGGTGAACACCTTCAGTGTCTATAATTTCTCTTTCCATTTGTAGGTGTTCCTTACAAAAGGTCTTATTCGGGGCATTCATCTGTTTCTGGTAGCTTTGACTTATTTACTGTGAACTTTAATATAGACTCCTTTGAGTATCACCAAGGCATCCTGTAATTGTGTCTTTGATAGATTCAATAGGGTACTTGAGGGTAAGAAACAGCTTAGTTTCACTGAATTAGCATATGAAGTCGTGGTTAACTATGGCATTTTCACGTGTCACTACACTATTTCATTTCATTTCTTCTCAACATCGGCAGGAGACATGGAAATGCTTTCTCTCCATAGCAGCCTGGTGAACATAATGCATACCAGAGGAGGCATGCCAGGGCTTTCTTTCTCAGCTCCTGTTCTCTAACACAGCACACACTTGGTATGGACCAGGCCAGGCCCACACTGATGGAGACACACCAGTGTTCCTTCCAGCTGCTGTGCTATAATAATGTGTGCTGCTCTTGGGCAGGCGCTTGAGTCTACCTGCCAGCTGTGAAACTGTAGCTGACATAGGTTGCAGACAAGGTAAAATCATTGATCCTGTACATTCTTGACAGTTCAGTGTGGTGGAGTTTCCCCTTTGGAGCCTCCATTGGGGCAGCTTGCCAAAGCCAACAGGTGTTCACGCAGCTGTCCACTCCCCAAATGTGGCACATGGGCAGCAATACCACAGGTTGAAAACAAGTGTTCCTGAGCACCTGAGAGGTCTCACCTGCAACCTCCTTCCCCACTGAGCTGTTCTGGCATTCTGGCCATGTGGTCCAGCAAATTCAGTGGAAATGGCAGACAAGGCTCTGTCAGGCCCTAGGATAAACTGCAGTTGCTGGTCTTTTGGATTCTGGAGCAAGACCCTGCTAATATCACAACTGCTCTTGCTTTAAGCGATGGCTGTCAGCCTGACACTGTATCTTGGCAGATATGAATAGAGAATATTGATCACCATGTTATCCTCACTTTACTCTATCAGGAACTCTGAGGATTATCATGTGTATTATTTGAAAAATTTACATATATATATATATATATAATGTATATTAGTCATAAACACCCCTCACCCTCCTTATATCTCAACTTCATTCACACCCTACTTTTCAAATTATAGACACATGACTGGAGAGGTGGGTTACTTGCTAAAAAGCACTTACTACTCTTCAAGGGGACCTGTGTTGGGTAGCTTACGACCACCTGCAATCCCAGTTCTAGAGCATCTGACACTGTCTTCTGGACTCCGTGGGTATAGGCCCACATGTGGCAGATACTCTCACATACACATCTTTACAAGGTTATATCTGGCTGGGCATTCACCACGCCTTTAATCCTAGCACTTGAGAGTTAGAGGCAGGATCTCTGAGTTTGAGGCCAGCCTGGTCTACAAAGTGAGTTCCAGGACAGCCAGGGCTGTTACACAGAGAAACCCTGTCTCAAAAAACAAAAAACAAAAAGGGGAAAAAATATTTTGTCTGTGTATTCATTTAAGTCACTGAATTCAGTCAGTGCGTCTATATCCATATGGATACAGGGTTATTCACAGGGTGTAGGCAATGTACCAGTAGCCACCCCTAAAAGAAGTATCTCAGAGAGGGAAGGTGGCCAGAATCCCTGCAAATTGTCATCTGAGGTCACCTCCATAGGCGTGTGTGGCTGGACTTTTTGGATGACATGACTGGCTCTGGTGGGCTTTTATGGATGTCTAGAGAGAAAAAGACACCTTCCTGACAGCAGTCATTGAGTGATGTTACTTTGTCCAAAAAATGAAGCCACACCTGTCAGATGCAGTTTTCATCCTGTTTATGGTACTGTTTAATATTGCCACTGTATAAAACAAACGCCATCACAGGAGAGTGAAAGTTCTCTTATTCCTGCAGCTTCCCTCCCAAGCCTTTGTTATGTGCACACATCAATTCTCTGTCCCAGGTGGCTTTTCAAAACAGCATGTATGGGATAAAATTCATCTGTTGCTTCTTTGCACTCAGTTGTAACTAGGCACCATGGAACCTCTGGCTCAGGGTCTCCAGTGACCGGTTTCATGACTGTATTCTCTGGACGTAGAATGGATAGCTGAGGTTTAACTAGTATCCTTTCTGATGGACATTTAGGGTGATCTTATTACTTTGCTATTGTAGCTAATGCTAAATCAAATATCCTTTCATATGTAAACATAATAAAACGTAAATTATAAATAGAATATATACATGTACTTGCACACATACAGAAATATCCATATACCTGAAAACCACATGGCCCAGCTTAACATCTTTTTCTTTTCAGGGTTTATTTTGTTTTCTGTGTGTGTATGTATACCACGTGTGCCTGGTACGATGGAGTTACCGGTAACTGTGAGCCATCATGTGGCTGCTGAAGACTGGACCCCAACCTCTGTACTAGCAACCAGCGCTCTTAGCCGTTCATCCAGCCTCACCTTTTCTCTTCTTTTCTTTTCCTTTCTTTTCTTTTCAGACAGCGTTTCTCTGTGTCGCCCTGGCTGTCCTGGAACTGTAGACCAGGACTCTGTAGACCAGGCTGGCCTCAAACTCGGGTCCGCCTGCCTCATCTCTTGAGGGCCACCACCACCCCGACTCCACCTTTTTTCTTTGTGAACAAATTTATGATAAAATTTCTTGGTCAAAGAATGGCATCGGTCTCAGACCTAGTGAGCGCATTCAGCTTCAGGCAGTTCTCGTGTACTTTGGTGGCTCTTGGGACACTAGGGCTTGCTGAATCTGAGGACTGATAGGAGTTCTTGGCCTGCTTGTCTGCAAAGTGCTGTGGTCCCCTGCAGACCTTTTGTCTTCAGTATTTTAAAAATTTCTTCTAAAATGAAAAGAAAAGATAAAATTCAATCAAATCATTGGTGATATATATGATCACCAATCAACTTAAGATGATAAACACATCAAATTCCTCTGATTAAACAATGTATATCAAATAAATGCTGACTCAAGCTTGAACTTCAGAGAAGTGAGACTTATTTTTAAGATGTTCTGGGGATTCTGAACAGACTTTAGGGCCCGGTCTGTAGTGGTGGCCATTTCAGACTACACAGGACCATTAAGTTACCCTGGTTATTACAGCAAGCGATCACATTTTTAGCTGGTCAGTGCCAATTGTTGCCATATATCCTTTCTGGGAAAGGTCACTGAGAACATGGACAACTGAATTCTGACAGTACCCAGAGAGTATAAATAAGTTTACTTCTTTTGGAAATAAAATGTAGGCTGGAAAGATGACTCAGTGGTTAAGAGCACTTCTGGCTCTTCTACAGAATCTGGTTCAAGTCCCAGCACTCACATGATAGCTCACACCCATCTATAACTGTACTTCCAGGGGATCCAGTGCTTTCTTCTGGCCACCTCAGGCTCTTGTACACACCTGGTACACATACATACATTCACATGTGTACACACACACATACAAATACACAACTAAAGAAAAACCTAGAAAAGACAAAACTGGACTAAGAAGACTGAACTATAAAAATAGCACCAAATAACTCCTTCACACACAATGAATGGGTTATGTCTTTATCAGTTAGCTGAAAGGATCCATAGACCAACTCCCCCAACAAACACTGCAGGCCAGTGCCAAAGCTATTGTTTACCCTACAGTCCTGAGGGTCAGACTGTATTGCTGGAGACTCCAAACTCAAGAAACCTAACTGGTACTTGACTGGAAATTTTGTCTCTACTCGCTAGTGTTCATGGTGCTGGAAGGTCTACACCCTTGCAGGGGAAAGTAGTCTTCAGTCTCCTCCAGCTCTAAAGCCTGGGAGCAGCCTGCCTGCAGCCTCTTGTACTGCTGCACGTGATGGGAGTAGCGTCTTCTCCTTCTAGTCTTGTGATTGCTGGAATGTAAGACCTGCCCAGGAGATGGAACGCACGCATGCTGAGGGTGAACTCACAGAAGCCAGTTTGTGTGTGAATATTAGTTCACGAGGGGCGAAAACTGCCCTGTCCTAAGGAGACAATAGTTTTAAAACATGAACGTTTTACCTCTTTCAAGTCTTTCTCCTCTTTCAACATGAACTTCTGCTACATTAGTTGTCAGTGATTATACTGTTCAACAGCCCAGGCTACTTTATAAATTACAGGTTTCTACACATTGGTTGTCAGCAAAGCAAAGCAGTTTTTTGTTTTTTGTTTTTTTATTACCTGGGTTGTTTTCTTTTATGGTAACTAAGTAGAACAGCCCTCTTGGGGAGAGGAGTTCTGAAGCCAGAGGGAAGAATCTGTCCATGACTTCCCGACCGTTTCTGCCACCAGCCCAAGCCGCTTCTATTCCGTGACTTCCTACCTGTCACCAATCAGAGACTTGATTGAAGTTTCATTGAGATTACAATCCTTTTGACATAAAACATCACCAAACAAGAACATATTTCCAAACAAATGAACCTTGGCTTCTAAATTTTTTCTTCACTGACTGGTTTTCTGAGAATGAGACCATGAACTAACCACCCTTGCTGCACACACGGGCTCACGCTGTCATTATAAATATATAGAATGTAATGAACCTTTGTCCATTTAGTTTTTAGCCTCTTATTGGGTGATTTGTGTTTGTGTGGAGACAGGGACTCACTGTGTGGCCCTGGCTGGCCTGGAACTCAGAGATCTGCTAGCCTTTGCCTCCTGAGGCATGCACCGCCACACCCAGCTATTGAATGATTTTTAAGACTATATCTTAAGGGCTGGAATTATTGAATCGAGACACTTTTAAAAATTGTGCTTATTGATTTGTTTTGCGTGCGTGTGTGTGTGTGTGTGGACAGAGGACTGTCTTTCGGAGGTTCCTTTCTACGTGTGGCCCTGGGGACTAGGTTCAAGGGCAAGCACCTTTACCCACTGAGCCCCCTTTGGCCTGGACTGAAGCATTTTTATCACAAGGTTCATTTGAGTCTTAAGTTTGTGTGTTAGAAACTTAATCCCCTAGTGATATGCCGATGGCATTTGGAGGTGGTTCAGTAGGTGGGGTAGGAGGTCATGAGGGTTAGTGGTCATTAAGAGAGCCACGCTTTTGGAATGTCTCTTTCTCAGCATGTGATGTCTCCATCATAAGGCAGCACAAAGGCCTTGGTCACAACCATACCCCAAGACTGGTCTCAGCCTCCAGACTGAGAGGAATCCACACATTAATTAGACAACCTGTGGTATTTCATTACAGGAGTAGTGAACAATTCTAGACGCTGTAGTGCTGTCCCCTCTGTGACTGACTGAGGAATAGCACTGTCCCCTCTGTGACTGAGGAATAGCGCTGTCCCCTCTGTGACTGAGGAGTAGCGCTGTCCCCTCTGTGACTGACTGAGGAGTAGCAATGTCCCCTCTGTGACTGAGGAGTAGCGCTGTCCCCTCTATGACTGACTGAGGAATAGCGCTGTCCCCTCTGTGACTGAGGAGTAGCGCTGTCCCCTCTGTGACTGACTGAGGAGTAGCGCTGTCCCCTCTGTGACTGAGGAGTAGCGCTGTCCCCTCTGTGACTGACTGAGGAGTAGCGCTGTCCCCTCTGTGACTGAGTGAGGAATAGCGCTGTCCCCTCTGTGACTGACTGAGGAGTAGCCCTGTCCCCTCTGTGACTGAGGAGTAGTGCTACCTTCCACCTTGGAGTGGAAGTGAGTATGACACTTAGAAGTTCTGCCAGAGAACCATCACCCAAGAATACAACAGGCGCAATTAAAGGGGCCAGTGGTGTAGATTTGGCCCAACTCCTCACCATGGAGATTCTTAAAAGGCCGGAATTGGTTGCACACTTTCAATTTCTGATAATGTAAAGGGATCAAACCCATGACTTTGAGGAGGACACCACTGGTGAGTTTATAGTTGATTAGAAGTATGTTAAAATTTGCTTTATCAATTTGTTATTTATGGTAATGGATCCTTTTAAATGCCGTGACTGATCTGGGTAAGAATTCTGACAAAATGAACCATGCATTGTACTTCCATGGAGTCTGACAAAATGAACCATGCATTGTACTTCCATGGAGTCTGACAAAATGAACCATGCATTGTACTTCCATGGATTCTGACAAAATGAACCATGCATTGTACTTCCATGGAGTCTGACAAAATGAACCATGCATTGTACTTCCATGGAGTCTGACAAAATGAACCATGCATTGTACTTCCATGGATTCTGACAAAATGAACCATGCATTGTACTTCCATGGATTCTGACAAAATGAACCATGCATTGTACTTCCATGGATTCTGACAAAATGAACCATGCATTGTACTTCCATGGGTATTCGTTTCCTTCTGTCACTCACAGTATCTGGTACTGACAACCTCTGTGTAGTCAGAGGGGTGGTGTTAGCAGATACCGAAGCCAGACGAACTTCATCTTGTCTCACAAACAAAACAGCTGGAAGCCATGCCTACTTTGCGATGGGCCTTACCTCTTCAGGAGGAGTCACTACATAGGGAGGGTTAAACACCAGCAGGTCAACTTTCCCCTTTAGTCTGGGCAGCAAGCCTTGGACCTGAAGGCAGCAACAATACAGGTTAAGTTGGACTCTGATTTAAATAAGTAAGTCTTTAAAAATACCCTCAAGCCTGGCAGTGGTGGTGCATGCCTTTAATTCCAGCACTAAGGAGGTAGAGGCAGGAGGATCTCGGCGAGTTCGAGGACAGCCTGGTCTACAAAGCAAGTTCTAAGACAGCCAGAGATGTTACCCTGTCCCGAAAAACCAAAAAAATACTTCATGTTTTCAGTGGAGGAAAGTACTTATAGACAAAATATTTTAATTTTTTTATGCAGATGCAGTTTATATGAACTTAAGCTAATGATGAGTAAAGTTGTGAGCGTGAACAGATATTGGATATGGCTTCTTCTCAACAGCTAATGTGTTCACACTGGGTTCACTTTTAGAATTCTGTGAAACATGTTCCCTGTAGATCTGTGAAGAGCTTTACACCTGTCTCTGCTAACTCACACAATGATTTCTTGTAACTCATTGTAACTTGTGTGTGTGTGTGTGTGTGTACACATATGGAGGTCAGAGGACAACCTTGGTATCTTTCCTAAGGAACTTGCCACCTTGTTTGAGACAGGGTGGCCTGGAGTTCACTGTTGGGCTAGGGAGGTCAGCTGGAAAGAGTCTAGTTGTCAACCAGTCTCCACTTTCCATTTAGCGCTAGGTGGAAGTGTAAACAGGACACCATGCCTGGGATCTCAGTTAGGTCCTTGTAAGGCTATACCAACTAAGGCAGCTCCCCAAATCCCAAGGGAAATGTTTTATACGATGACATAGAATGTATCTGAATAACACAAAACACCAGGGATGGACTCTGTTTTTGCTTCATTTACTTGTAAATATTTGACTGGCATCAGAGAAGGAAGCATTGGGCACAGCAGTCAGAGACTGCAAACAGCCAGCATTTGGTTTATGAAGATCTTTGAATTTTTCTATGGCTCAGTTTTCTATGGAACAAGAAAAAAAGAAAAGAAAAAAATCCACAAATTTGTGTTTGTGTGTGTGTGAGAGACTCTAAGCTACTCCATTTCCAATGACACCATCTAAGCACTGGATATATGCTGAACTGGGTTATGAACACTGGTATTCATATATTATGAAGTGTTATCTGAGAATTTCCTGATCCAGATTCCTATAACCCTGTTTTAATTACCCCGATAAGCCTGGTAACCTGTAATCCAAAGAGGACCCCTAAGACCTGTTTTTTGAGGCTATGCTTGTAGAAGTAATTATTTTTTTGGCTTCTTTAAAGGGGAGAACAATAACCTGTACTTGTGTGTGTGTGTATGTGTGTGCGTGTGCGGGTGCACGTGCTTTGTTTTCAATTTCATAAAGAAATTAAGTTTCTTAAAAGAACTACAATTTTCCATAAATCCATAAATGCTGGATAAGGAAACTAGAGAAGATTTTGCTTTGTGACTCACAGTGGCTCCTGAAATACTATCCAGCTATCCAGTAACAACTGTAGGCTGGATATTACACAAAGAAGAGAACAAAAATCTTAAACTGTTGTGGGATATATGCTAAGGCTCTGAACCCTAGTCTGCATTTGCGTTAATTAAATAAACTCCACCTTGGGTCAGGAGGTAGAGCTAGCAGATAGCTGACACAGTAATCAGAGAGAGGCCGAGGGCATCTGGGATATGGGTAGAGATGCACAGGAAGTAGTAAGGAGGACTCTGCGTATGGCAGCAGGGGTGGGGTGTGGGAGGCTGGGTGTGTTTGGTTTGGTAGAGTGGAAGGATGCTGTGTTTGGAGAAGCCAGTGAAGAGGAATGGTCAGCTAGTACTTCCTCACCCTCTCTGAGTTAGCAGGTTTTCACTCCAGCCTCTGACTCCTCAGTCTTATTGATAAACAGAACAATACAGCTTTAGTTAAAACTACATCTGATGGCAGGGGCAGGAGGCACCTGCTGGGCAGCTACCAGAGAAGTGGACCAGTGACTGTGGAGCCACAATTATTGTCTGAAACAGCAGTAGACTCAGGCACAGCTGCTGTGCTGGAGATAAAACAATACACTGTTGAAATCAAATTTATTTAAATAAAACCAAGGGCTGAATGTCTAGTACAGGTTTCTCTAGCTAGGCCTAGTCAGTTTCCAGCCTTAACATCTCCAAGAACTGAAAAATGAGGGGCCCCCGGCAAGTGTTAAATTCATGCAGCAAAACACAGACTTTATTAGCTGTAGAGACACTTACGGAGGGCCTTTAGGTTAAATGAGTCAAAGCTGTGGTTTTCTCGCATGAAACACGATATTTTGCCAACAGATAACATGAAACAGGACAGCATGATGTCAGCAAAAAGACAGATGAGGACTATCAGCTACTTCACACAGCAGGTAACTGAGCAGGCCTTACTACCATACAACTCAGAATAACTGACACTGAGGAGTTGTAAAACGTATTTGGTATGCACTAACAATGTAGAGAAATAATACATAATGTGCACCTTTAAACACTGTATTCTAAAAACTAAAAGTGAAGAACAATAATTCTGCCTTTTTAATTTTCAGAAAGGGGGTCATACTATGTAGCCCAGGCTGGCCTTAAACTTGAAATCTGTCTTGCAGTCTTGAGTATCTGAGTAAGCCACCATGCCCAGCTGGTTGCTACTTTTTAAACATGTAGTCTAAGCTAGAGAATGGGTTCGTTTCATGTGACAGCTGTAACAATTTCTGTAACTGGAATGTTAAAGAGTTGACTGTAACACGTCTGCCGAAGCCTGCCTCTTACTTCTTGCTTTGCCAAGTCACAGTTTAGTTCAGAGTCAACATTACTAAGGAATTAGCTCCAGGTGGAGATCCTCCAGTCATGTCCCTTAGCTGCTGTGTGGTTTCTAGAGCTGGACAGGAGGCCCATGCTGTAATCCTAGAGATATTTTTAGTAACATTTCTGCTTTCAAAGACACCTCAGTGTCCATATCTGTTTCAAAAAAAAATTCTGTCTGAAGTTTTGCTATCCCATGAAAAACCAGATGTAATGTTATTTACAGACAGGGGAACAAGAAGTCCTACATCACCATGCTGATCTAGTGTGAGTAACCTAAGCCCCTTTCTCGACACTAGTTTTTGTTTGGTAGGAAAAGAATTTCTGGTCTCTTGGGGTTAATTCTAAGATGCAAATCTTTTGTAAATGTGGACCAGCAGTAGGGAAGCAGCCTGTCCCCATCAGGGTAAGAACACGCTGGTCAAGAAGCACACAGAGCCGAGTGTGATGGTGCACATTAGTAAACCCGGACCTTGGGAGATGAAGGCAGGAGGATTGGTAGTTCAAAGTCATCCTAAACAAAACACAGTTCAAAGCTACCCTGGACTTTTTGAGACTTTTATTTCTCATCAACCCCAGAAAAGCAACACAAAAATCATTTTGTATCTTGTGTCCATCTGCTGTACGCTATTATGAGTTTTGTTTCTGAACAACAGCATTTCACTGTTATAACTAAAAATACTCTGCAAATATAAAATTATCCAAATCCTACTAATACCCTTAAAATATTTTAACTGAAACTTTAACAACTGAACTTCTTTAAAAAAAAAGTGGAGGGCTGGAGAGATGGCTCAGAGGTTAATCGCACTGGCTGTTCTTGCAGAGGACCCTAGTTCAATTCCCAGGACTGACATGGTGACTAACAACCATCTGTAACTACAGTCCCAGGGGTCCAATGTCCTCTGCTGGCCTTTGTGGACACTGGAGGAATGTGGTGCAGACACATACGTGCAGGCAATATTCCCTTTCCCTCAACACACACCCCCACGACAAATAAATAAAACTTTTTAGAGTGGGGATGTAGTGGTCTGCTGGGGAGGTAGAGGCAGGAGAGACTAGAATCAAAGGCCGTCTGCATCTACACGGAAAGTTCCACGACAGACTGGCATACGGTGAGACGCTGTCTAAATAATGAACAGCAAACGGTGGTCAAAGCTGCCATTTGTTTCACTTGTCCCCAGGACCATGTTTCCGTGTTTCTGCTTACGTCTCCTTTGAGTTGATAGGACCATAAGTAGTCTGAATAAGGTTGGCATCATAGGCTCATAGGGCCCTTTTGGAGATGTGTCACTGCAGGTGGTTTTTGGAACTGATGTTTCAAAAGCCCAAGTCAGTCCCAGTCTCTCTCGCTGTCTGTCTGTCTCCTCTCTTCTCTGCTTTTCTCTCCACCCCCTCCCCCTCCCCCACTTCTTCACAGCAACAGAGAAGTAAAAATAACTAAGACGGATACTTTATCTCTTCTCAGTTTCCACTCCAGCCTGGACAAGATCTGTGTGGAGTGGGACTGGGGGACTATGACCCAGGTCAAAGCCACTCTTCATATGCCAGTCCTCAGACACGGGACCCAAGATGGCCCAAACAATCCTCATTCCAAGTATAGTATTGAGATGCTGCTTCTCACAGGGAGTTGCTAATAAATAAGACACAGAAATGCAAACATCCTGTTACCATGAGGGTTACCATGAGGGTGTAGAGTGCCTAGAGACACCAGAGAGACACTCAGAGCTAAGAAAGGATACACTGTATCGTTCCTGTGTTAGCTGTGCCTAAAGCTTTTACAATTTAAGCACGTGTGAACTGGATACAATATCACATTTGGTCCTGTTGATGGTCAGAAGTTAATTACTTGCGGGATGCATCCTTCTTAACTCCATTAACTCCAACATCTACCTAATACCAAACGGTCATGTTTAAAAAGATACAAGTAGCATACAGACTGAGCTGGATTTAGGAGGGAGGGAAGAAGGGAGTGAGTGAGGGTGTGTGTGTGTGTGTGTGTGTGTGTGTGTGTGTGTGTTTGTGTGTGTGTGCATACAAGTGTTTGTATATAGATGTATATATACATATATGTATGTAACAACAATAAAAAAGGTCATGAATTTGAAAGAGCAGGGAGGGGTATATGGGAGGGTTTGGAGGAAGAAGGGGCCGAGGGAAATTAGGTAATTATAATCCCAAAAATAAAATTTTCAATTAAAAATAAAAATAGGTAAAAAAAGAGTTCAGGTCATCTTCAGCTATATAGTAAGTTTGAGGCTAGCCTGGGCTACATGACTCTGTAAGACTTGTCTCATAAAAACAAGAAAAATTAATTACTAACATTTATTTGCACTGAAACTTGTTGGCCTTCAGTTAAGTGAGAGGTACTACTGAAGAAGGATTAAAGCTCACCAAATCTGTAATTACTGGCTGAATGTGGACTCTGTTGCATCGTGCTGTCTCCAGGGTACAGGCAGCTGCCTGGGGGTTGATGTCAGTGCACCTATAACAGAGAAAGAGTTCAGGATAATGTGCAGAAGCAAAGCTGTTAGTTATTAGGAATGTCTTGGTTAATTCTACGTGGCACAGACAAAAATTAGGAAAAGAGAACAAAGGCTTGTTATACTGATGACAGACACTGCTAAAAGAAAATCTGTTTACCCTCACCCAAAGGAATTTATTAAGTATAGTTTAAGCACCCCGCAAAATGGAAATGGAAAGAAATTACTGATAGGAAACTGCTACACAAAATACATAGGAAATAAGAAGCACATTTGTTCTGTGTACAGCAAAATTTTCTGATGTCCATTTCCTGGCCTTTGTCTTCTCAAGTTCTCTGCAAAGAAATTTAACTTTCCAGCTATTTTCTAACTATTTACCTGAGGAAAAAAAAATGATTCAAAGCAGAGATAAGATTATGATGCTTCTAAAATTACAAAGCTTGTAATAAACATGGAATTATAACTGGGGGTGAACATAATCTGTGAGTTAGGTGATTACTGACACACTATCAGAGACATTGTCTACTTATCGCACCCACGCTGCCACAGTCTTAGTAACCCAGGATATTACCAACGAACATCACGTACTTACATGTACAAGGCCTGAGGACCTATGATGGAGGCCAGGAATGCAGACACCACACCAGACCCTGCTCCTACTTCAAGGCATATTTCCACTCTAAGAACAAAAACCAAGATACTTAGCTCATTCCCGTAAAGACACTCTCATGCTATACAATGCATTTCTCCAGCAGCATCATTCAGTTGCAAATACACGGGAATATAAGGGAAATTTACAATTTCTGGCAACCACTTGGTGCTTACTATTGCATAGCTAACCCTGGTAATAGTTTGGGTGTGTTACAGATTGTCAATCACCTTGAAGTACTTAAATAAACCAACCAGCATATTCTAGGAGTAAAAGTCCTCCACCTACCTAAACTGACATAGAACAGACATTCTAAACTTAAAAATCTTTATATTGCTTTCCAATAAATTTATTCCCTCCATCAGTGTACATGCATCAAAAGCACCACTTAATTGCCATGACTAACGGCCTTGATGACATTTATATGAATTCCTGGCACTTAACTTTTCAAGCAATACTCAAGAAGCAGTTACAGGGTTTTTAGCTTTGGAACCAGCCACATATCTGAGAAGCCATTAGTGGGTCATTCTACAATCTGTGAATCTTACCAGGTGGCTTCTTCTTGGAAATAACCATTACGGTCTCATAAATAATTAGAATTCCAAGCCTTTGTAACAAGGTCAGCGCCATTTACAGCACAGTCTGCAATGCAATGTGTAGTTGTAAATCTTTCTGGGCTATTCTGGGCATACAAGTTACGACCCAGTGTCCCGTAAGATAGAAATGCTCCAGTGTCTATGCCGAAGGACTGATTTTAAGAGCGTTTCATAGACGAGAAACATGACAAAGCTTAAGAGGGATAAACATGTTGGCTACTTTGTTCTGGAGAAACCCAGTTCAAATCTTGGCTATTAAGTTAAATGACCCAAATCCTTTCGGCAAGAATGTTTTACTAGATTGTGTGTGTGTGTGTGGGGGGGGGCATTCACGGTCCTCAGTATTGCAACTGAACGTCCAAGGACACCCTGCACGAGTCACTTCTGCCTGCCTGCACGAGTCATTTCTCCTTCTGCCATGTGGGTCCTGAGGCCTGAACTCGGGTTCACAGGCTTGGTAGCAAGCACATTTGCCAGCTGAACCGTCTTGCCCGCTCTCCACTCTATTTCTTCCACTGAAAAGTGAACATGTAGGCATTCACTACTTTTGTCATTAAAAAGTTATGGGCAATACTTCAAGTCAAGGCCAGTGAGGCTCCCACACGAGGATGCAAGCAACTACTGAAATCTTTCAGAGTGGTTCCAACTACATTTCTAACAGCTCAACTGACTATTCGGGTTCTCGGTTGCAGTAACATTTCAGGCGCCCGGTAGTTAAGACACGGCCACCGGCTGTCCCTTGAGAAGGCTGAAGGGGGTTTAACATTTCACTCCTTCATCGCCCGTGGGAGGATGCTCTTCGTGCACTAGGGAGGTCACTGAGTATCGGGAAGCAGCAGCGTTTCCGGACACGCATTGATTCTGGCCGCTGCAGTACGGCTGCTCTCAGAGCACTGCGTCCTTCAGAGTAACAGGGCAGGGTGACCACGGGCCCCGAGCACCACCAGAGCCGAGCACCAACGCCCGCACGTTCACCTCGCTCTGCTGTCAATCACCAGGAAGCGGGCCGACCCACCACTTCCGGAGGAGGCAAGACTTCCGGCTGCCGCCGCTAGGACACCCCCGCTCTCTCCCGCTGCGGCGCGCGCCCTCCTCGCACCCGGATAGCTCGGCCGCCGCCGCCTCGAGCGCGTCCAGTAGCAGGAACGTGTCCTCCGAAGGCTCGTACACGTCGCTGAAGGCTCCGTGACCCACGTGCCCGTACAGCGGCGTGGGGAGGCTCGGCGCCGCCATCTTCCCCTTCCGCGTCCTACCGGCCTGCGTTGAGTGCGCACGCGTCAGGGGTTGCGCATGCGCTTTGGTCGGACCCTGGAGTGGTTTGAGTCGCGATGTTTTTTATGTCAAGTCAACCTGCAGGGCTGTCTTAGAACTTTTAAATAGTTACAGATTCTGCAACCCCTAACATCAGCTTTCAACTTCTGGACATTTTCCAACTACCTTAATATTGAGCCTCCTGCTATTTTTTTTATTAAGGTGACTGCCGATTTATTCTAATATTTGGAAAATTTCTTTTTTTTTTAGTTTGTAAGGATTTGAAAAAAATAAAGATTACTAGGTTTACTTTTTGTTAAATATCTGAACTGTAATTTCTGATCTATAAGATTACAACTACTTTTAATTGTTTTATTTTGTTATGCAGTCTCACTCTGTAGCCACGATTTTCTTGGAACTCACTCTGTAGACCAGGCTGGACTGGAACTCACAGTAATCCGCCTGCCTCTGCCTCCCGAGTGCTGGGGCTAAAGGCTTGTGCCACCGATGCCCAGCTGAGATTATGATTTTTAAAATTTATTATTTCTTATTTGATTATTTCAAGCATGCATAAAATTTATTTTGGTCATTTTCATTCATTAAGATAGCTTGGAAGCCTGTCTTAAAAAAAAAGGCTATAATTTGGAAGTCTGAAGAAGTGCTTAAGTGGTTGAGCTCTTGTACTGCAGAAACCCAAAGTTTGGTCTCCTGCACCCTTGTCTGGTGGTGCACAGCTGTCCATAATTCCAGCTCCAGGGCATGGGTGAGATTCCCGCGTCAGTGGAATGGGACCGCTGTGTATCTACATTCACGCAGGCGTGAAATAATAATAAATCTTTTTAAAATGGTGGGGCCTGGTGGGCGGTTCTGCAGTTCAGAGTGTTAGGTGCTCTCCCGGAGGGCCAGCGTTTGGTTCCCAGCACCGAGTCAGGTGGTTCACAACCGCCTGTAACTCCAGCGCCAGGAGATCCCACATCTTCTGTCCTCTGCTAGCGCCTGCACGCACGGGTGCATAAACACACAGATACACACGGGTAAAATTCAGATATTTTAAATCACATTTACTAACATTTCCATGTTCTTTATTACAAAAGTTGCCATTTTAATTTAACTTGCACCGGCTGGTTTTGTGTCGACTTGACACAAGCTAGAGTCATTAGAGAGGAAGGAGCCTCAACTGAGGAGATGCCTCGGTGAGATCCAGCTGTAAGGCGTTTTCTCATTTAGTGATCAGTGGGGGAGGGCCCAGCCCATGGTGGGTGGAGCCATCACTGGGCTGGTGGTCCTGGGTTCTGTAAGAAAGCAGGCTGAGCAAGCCATGGGAAGCAAGTCAGTAAGCAGCTCCCCTCCATGGCCTCTGCATCAGCTCCTGCCTCCAGGATCCTGTCCTGTTTGAGTTCCTGTCCTGACTTCCTTCAATAATGAAGAGCAACATGGAAGTGTAAGTCAAATAAAATCTTTTCTCCCCAACTTGCTCTATGATCATGGTGTCTCTTCACAGCAAAAGAAACCCTAAATAAGACATCACTTACAAGGTTTTTTTTGTTTGTTTTTCAAGCAAGGTGGTATAATTTTCTTTTAAAACTGTCAGAGCTGAAATGGCAGCCACACAGCTGTTTTGTTTTGTTGTTTCCTGGATTATGCAGTCCAAGTAGGTACAAATTTGACATTTTCTGAAACATTTGTTGGAACTCATCCCAAGCTGGCTTCCCTTGATGCCTTTTCTAATGGATGTATTGCTGGCATTTGCGACATTTTCTATAGCTTACATGCTTCAAGTATTTTGTACTTTTTTTTTTTGCAATTTCTGAAGTTGGTTTAAAATTAAACATTATAACCTAGCTTTTAAACTTGAGGAATAAACTGACAGAAATGAGGATGGCAAGAGGCTCAGCAGGTAAAAGACAGGCACTGCCAAGCCTAAGCACCTGGTTTGGGTCCCTGGAACTCACACAGGGAAAGGAGAGAACCTATTCCTACAAGTTGTCCTCTGACCTCTGGGGGTGTGGTGGCACATGTGTGTACAAACAAATGTCAAAGCTACAGAAATACCTTTAAAAGTGCCACTAGAATCGGCTATTAGTATTTTCTCATACATCCGTAAAATACCTTTCAAATGCAAGAAATAAAATGAGATGGCTGTTCTTTTTTATTGAGACAGGATTTCTCTGTATTGTTTTGGCTGTCCTGGAACTTGCTCTGTAGACCAGGCTGGCCTCGAACTCACAGAGATCCTCCTGCCTCCGCCTCCAGAGTGCTGGGATTAAAGGCAAGCACCACCAATGTCCAGCTGACTGTTCTTTCTTACTCAACTTACTGTATTCTGTGACCTGAATTTTTCTTGAAGTTTTATTTGCTTTTGTATATATGAGGGTTTTACCTGAATCTGACCCTCTGGAACTAGAGTTCCAGACAACGGTGAGCTGCCATGTGGGTGCTGGGAACCAAACTCAGGTCCTTCGGAAGAGCAATAGGTGCTCTTTACTGAGCCATCTTTCCAGACTCTGATTTTTATTTTTTTAAGGTTTCAGGTTTTAACAACTTATTTATCATACTTTTATGTGTGTTACTGCTTTGCCTGTGTGTATGTGTGTGAACCGTGTGAGTGGCTGGTGCTGGAGTAAGTCAGAGAGGGCTTTGAATCCGTAGGAACTGAAGTTATTGATGGTTGAAAACCATTGTGCGGGTGCTGGGAATCAAATCTGGGACCTCTGCAAGAGCAGTAAGTGTGCTTCACCACCGAGACATCTCTCCAACACCTGAATCAAACAGAGATATTTTAATTTTATGCAGATGGGTGTTTTGCCTCCATCTATGTCTGTGCATTTGTATGTGCAGTGCCCAAGGAGAATGGGTCCTCTGGAAGTGAAACTACAGGCAGCTTTGAGTAGTGGGAGCTGAACTTGGTTCCTCTGCAGGAACAGCAAGTGCTCTTAACTGCTGAACCATCTTTCTCATCCCTAACCTGAATTTCTTGGAAGCTTCTTAGGGATATAGTGTGTAGTCATTTAACCCATTCTTTGTACTTTTGCATTCATACATTTGTAAGTAAAAAGTTTTGATAAAGTGTATTTTAGGCTGGGCGTTGGTGACACATGCCTTTAATCACTGGGGAGGAAGAGGTAAATGGATCTCTGTGAGTTAAGAGACCAGCCTGGTCTACCGAGCAAGTTCCAGGACAGGCTCTAAAGCTACACAGAGAAACCCTGTCTCTAAAAACAACAAAAAAAGCGTATTTTAAAAGTTGTATAACTGGTAAGAGGTTGCATGTACACACACAAACACACAGAAAATGTTTTAAATGTGGGTGGGTGATTTGACTGCATGTATGTCTGTGTAATGGTGTTGGATCTTACATCTCCAGCCCTGCACACATTGTTTTTCAATTTCTTTTTCACTCAAGATTCGTAAAACTCGGGATTTTAAATTGCTTTGTGTCTGTTTGCTCTGTATACGTGCATATGTTTGTGTAGTTGTGTTCCATGTGTGTATGGATGCAGGATGAGACCAGAAGATCCTCTGGAGCTGGCGTTTAAGGAGGTTGGGATCCGCCCCACGTGGGTGCTGGGACCTGAATGTGGGCACTCTGGGAAAGCAAGAAGTGCTCTTATCCTGAGCACATCTTCAGCCTCAAGTAGTGTGTCGAGCTCAATGCTTTTAGCCACCATGCAGTGTTTTCCTGTACAAAATCCTCCTGTCTGGAATGCATAAATGCTTGTTGACAAACATTGACTTTTCCTCATGCTTGTCTGCTATGATTCTCATGAATAACTTCTTAATTTTCTTCTACTGCGGTACACACAATTTCTGGTGTGAGATCAGTTAGTTTTCAGTTCTGGGTGTTGCCCCATTTCACTCTAAACTAGCATACTTATTTATACTCCCACCCTCTCTCGGTAGAAGATTTCATTATTTGATTTAATAGTGTTAGTACTTGTTTTAGACTGAATTGTTCTGGTCACTGATTGAGGTTAAGCATATGTTCATATGTCCATCATGGGCATTTCTTCATTCATGACACATCTGTACTTTTGTGCTTACTGGACCCTTTTGGTGGTGGTGGGGTAGTGAGACGGGTATCATGTCTCTCTATAGCCTTGGCTGACCTGGAACTCACTACGGTAGACCAAGCTGGCCTCCAACTCAGAGAGATCCCTCTGCCTCTGCCTCACAAATGCTGGAATTAAAGGCGTACATCACCACGACTGGCTGCCCCTCCTCCTCCTCCTCCTCCTCTTCCTCCTCCTCCTCTTCTTCCTCCTCCTCTTCCTTCTTTCTTCCCTCTTCTTCCTCTTGCTGTTGACTACTGTGTTTTCTGATCTGTTGCAATCATGCCATATTTAAAGAGGTTTAAAATTAATCATTGTAAGAGTATTTGGCTCCATCACTGGTCATGATTTTGGTGACATGGTGTTAAGATCACATACCAGTTATCCATTAACTGTGGTTAAGGTTTTAGTTAGGAATATATGTGTATATACATATGTGCGTGAAAATAAGAATGAAAAAAGAGGCCAAGAATGAAGCAGAGTGGGGATGGGTACATGAGAGGATTTGGAGGGAGGAAAGGAATGGGAGAGATGTAATCATATTATAATCTCAAATATTAAAAAGATTTAAAAACTGCCAAAATAGCCCCCAAAAGAAAAATGTACAAATGACCTAACGAGATAGCTTATTAAGGAAAATGTGCAGATGACAAGCATATGAAAGGCATTCTCATGTGTCATTAAAACTGCAAATTAAATCAAGCACAAGACGCTGTGAGTCAGGGTTCTCTAGAGGCACAGAACTGATAGAGAGAATATATATTAAAATCCTTATTAGATTGGCTGACACTGTACAGTCAGGTTAGTCTGATAATATCTCCCTCCACTCCTGAAAGACTGAGAGCCCCAGAGCTGCTTGGTCCCTGAGGCTGCATTCCTTAACAGTGCTAACCTGGAGAGCCGGGTTCTGATACCAGTGAAGGAGCAATGGAGACAACAGGGTAGGGCTTGTTAATGACACTGGGCCAATGCGGGCAAACACAAAGCCTTTTATTTATCCTACTATCGGGGCTGCTACCAGAAGGTTCTACCCACATCTGGGGTGAGTCTTCCCACTTGAGATAACCCGATCAAGAAAATCCCGCACAAGTGTGCTTAGCAATTATCTTAGTTTCTTCCAGATCCAGTCAAGTTAGCAAGCATGATTAACCATCATAGATACTATTACACACTTACAAAGAAGAAAATAAAATCAATGACAGCAAATGCTGGCGGGGATGTAAAATGGCATAGCCATTTGGAACACTGTTCTGCAGTTTCTTAACAAAACTGAATTTTACTGTGACCCAGCGATGACATTCTTTGCTATTTACCTCAATGCCCACACCAAACATGCACACAGATGATGTAGCACCTTTATTCACAATTCCCAGAGCTAGAAGCCAGCAACATCATAAAAAAAAAACCTGCAGTGAACGTCTATCCCCTCATACATCAAGAGAGATACAGATGTACAGTTTTGCTTGTATCAGCCCCTGAGATTGTCAGGATGAGTCCTCATCTACCGCACAACTTTACAGCCCCATCTTGAATATCTGGTTGCTTTGTACATACTCCATCTCAGAACTTGAATCTGGGCTTTTTTTTTTTTTTTTTCGAGACAGTGTTTCTCTGTGGCTTTGGAGGCTGTCCTGGAACTCGCTCTGTAGACCAGGCTGGCCTCGAAATCACAGAGATCCGCCTGCCTCTGCCCCGAATCTGGGCTTCTTAACATAAAGATATAATAGCCCCGTGTCCTTTTCTCTGCATGGTACCTGTGGTGATACATAGGCTCCTGCTCTGAAGAAACAACTCTGCAAATTGAAGTGTGCATTCAGCTCCCATTGGCACAACAGATAGTCACGTAAAAGCGGGAGACTCTCAGTGTGTCCATACTTGGAAAATTAATTCTTTAAACCGAGTCTAAAGATCTCTGCAGGTGGTCAGGTCTTAGGAATTTAGGAGCCGGTGACGTCACTCTTGGCCGATCTAAAATGTTGTCTTTGGCTCCTGTGCCCTGCATGAAATCCTGTTAATTATGATTGCTTTTCCTACTTATAATTCCTTTTGGAGATTTTTTAAATGAAACATTTATTTTTATCACTTACATAACCACATAAAATATTTTCATTGGTGTGAAAATGTCCAGTCATTGCCAAGCTGATTTCATTTCAATTTCTTGAAGCTATTGGAAGGTTAATACATTTCAATGGTGCTTGTGCTGTAATGTTAAGTCACGGGTTACTAGAATTCACAGTAATTTTCATAATTCCATTGTCTTTGTCAGAACAACGTATGACTGACCATTAATCGCCTTCTCTTTAAGAAAATGAGTGGAATTCATTTTTCTGAAGTTAACGTTTTCATGAAAATGTTCTGCATGAGTACCCATCATCTGCTTTTTAGCACAGGGGTATTTTAGTTCAGAATTCACTAAGTGAAACTCTACCTGCTTATAAAACTAATACATTTTAAAGAAAACTAGAAGTGTCTCTTTTTTCCTCCTGAGATGGGGTTTCTCTGTATTGTTTTGGAGGCTGTCCTGGAACTCACTCAGTAGACCAGGCTGGTCTCGAACTCACAGAGATCCACCTGCCTCTGCCTCCTAATTATGCCACCACCGGCTGACCTAGAAATGTCCTTAAAAGTGAAATTAGGCAAGAAAGTTATCTTATTACTTAGTCGTTTAGTTTATCCTTATGGATATCATTGAAGAAAACAATCCGACAGCCAGGCATTGTTGTAGAATATTATTTTAAGGTGTGTTACTTTTGTTTCTTCTCTGAAACGTTTGTTTAATGATGCAAAGATGTGCTTGATTAAATAAAATCCACCTGCAGTCAGGAGCCTGGGTCAGTAACTAGCTGACAGGAAGTTCTAGGGAGGAGCCAGGCAGAGCCAGGGTGGGAACCAGTCAGAGAAGGGCAAGAATGAGCAGGAGGACTTCTTGAGAGGCCTGAAGAGGTGAGCTAGGTGAGCTGCTTGCTGTTCAGCCTCTCTGAGAAGCAGGAATCTACCTCAACCTTTGAATCTTGAGTTCTTTTGCGGGACAGAGATTTAAGTAAGTTTCCTTAGTTGCTTTGAAAGAGTCAGTGCCTTAGGGAACAGAATCCCCTCAGGCCTCGGCTCTTGGGACCCAGTATAGGCAGAGTTTGCAGTTGCTGAATAGGATAGCAGTAGCTTAAAAGGCAGCAACAATTAAAAAAGAAAAACAACAAGGCATGGCGGCTCGCATCTGAAATCCCACAGTTCAGGAGGCTGAGGAGAAAGGTCTTTAAAAGTTTGTGTTCAGCCTGGGCTACAAAATGAATTCTAGGCCAGCTTGCTATAGGAAGGCCCTATCTGAAAACCATCAAACAAGCCATATATAGTCTCTCCAGACATCGTCTTGATTGTTTAGCTCCAAAGCTATATTTTGAATTCTCCTGCCTCTTTTCCCTGGAGTCGTGGGTTATCCGTGTGCATTGGGTACAAAATGCCCGTTGGATGTTGTACATGAAGGACACATTTCGAGGACCCGAGGAGTAAGCTTCGGTAGAAATTACATTCTGTGTGGTCAGTTTCACGGTGCATGGAAGTCACCATTCACTGTAGAGGAGCACTCACGGGAGGGGCAGTGGGATTTCAAATAATCATCCGGGTGAGTCAGAGAAGCATGCTTTAGCATTAGAATTATTGCTGCAGCCATCTTTCTGAATACGTAGAACCTCAGCGTAACAGACACTTGCTAAGAAAGCAATAACCCAGTGGAATCACGTGACTTTTGAGCCTAGCCTTTAACGGCTGAGCCATCCCTCCAGTCCGAATCACCTATTTTGTAAGCCAACGTAGCGGTTGCCCATCCTGATGTGATAATGAAGAGAAATATTAGAAATAGCTGCTGTTGTTGTAATACCCTACCACATGATCTAGCAATTTTACATTGGGTTTATATCCAAAGTAAATGAAATCCTTATCCTTTCAAGAGACTTGTGCACCTATGTTCATTGTGGTACTATTCATACTAGACGTAATATGGATCCGACCCAGATCCAGTGAATGAGTGAATGAAGAAAAGCATATTTATAGGACAGAAGGCTACTAGGTCATATAAACAAATGAGACTGTCATTTTTAGCAGTGTGGATGGATCTGGAGGTCACGGTATTAAATGAAATGGGCCAGGTACAGAAAAATCCCACATGTTCTCACTCACTCACACTTTAATCTCCTTCCAGTTTCCGTGACGATGCTCCGACAGAGTGTCTTGGAGGAGGAAGGGTTTATGTTAGCACACAGTTTCCAGCTACAGCACACTAGAGCAGGGAATTCAAGGCAGCCAGCAGGGACTTTTGAAGCTGCCCCTCACATCCGCAGTCCAGAGCAGTGGAAGAAAATGGAGCGACACTCACTTGTGAAAATCCAAGAAGGGCACCAAACCCAGAACGAGGGCCTCCATTTCCCCCTTGAGGCAGGCTCCTTCCTGAAGCTCACATCTTCTCAGCTAGGCTGGGGGACCCTCCTGTCTCTCTCCTCCTTGGAGCCAGGGGTCACAGGGATGCATTAGATACCTAGTTCATTATGTGGGTTCTGAAATCCAAACTCTGGCCCTCATGACTGCACCGCATGTGCTGTTAACCACCGAGCAGTCTCTCCATTCTGTTTTTTTATCTTATTTTCTTTTGCTCTTTGTTCTTTGCTCTTTGGGGGTCCTGACATCCAGCTGTCAAATAAATCGCACAGGGGGCCTTATTTTTATAAATGCCTCCCGCCCAGATTTGCTTGGCTTATTTCTAGCCGGCTTTTCTTCAATTATCCTGTCTACCTTTTGCCTCTGGGCTTTTATCTTTCTTATTTCTGTATGCCTTTCTTTCCTTTTTACTCTTGGCTTGCTGTGTAGCTGTGTCCCTGATGTCATCCTCCTTTTCTTGTTCCTGTATCTCTTGCTTCTCCATCTCTCTCTTTCTCCTTCTGTTTATCCTCTCTGCCTTCCAGCCCCACCTCTCCTTTCTCCTGCCTAGCTATTGGCCATTCAGCTCTTTGTTAGACCAGTCAGGTGTTTTAGACAGGCACAGTAACACAGCTTCACGAGTTAAACAAATGCGACATAAAGAAAGCAGCACATCTTTGCAACATTAAACAAATGTTGCACAGCAGAAACAAATGCAGTACATCTTAAAATAATGTTCCACAAGTCCATCCCCTGCCGGCTTTTTAACACAGCAGCAAGAGTTGTCAGTTCAACACAATGAATGTAAGAATTGACTAGTTGGGTGGTGGCGGCGGCAGCACATACCTTTAATCCCAGCACTTGGGAGGCTGAGGCAGGTGGATCTTTACAAGAGCTAGTTCCAGGACAGCCTCCAAATCCAGAGAGAAACCCTGATGAGGGAGGTCAACTCAATATAGAAATTAATATATTTATTTACCAGAGAAAGGACTTATGCACAAGCTGGATGATCAGAAGTATGGCAGAGAGAGCCTACTTTTTCTTTCTCTTCCTTTTATTCTCTCCTGTGTCCATAACTTTTTGTCCACGCCCCTTTTGGGTGTGGACTATATTGTGAGCTCACCGCTACAAAACCCCTGTCTTAAAAAGCCAAAAAAAAAAAAAATGACTAGCATAGCACAAAATTCCCAGCATGTAAAAATGACTGACAGTTGAAGAGATGGAAATACTTCTATATTGAATATCACTCCTTGTACTCGCATATTGAATCACCGTAGGATAGTCCATAAGTGTACATATCATGTTTCAGTAAAAGCAGAACTCTTTTGTAAGGTGGACTTAACAGTTTAAGGTGTGAATAATCTGAGCTGGGCACTGCTTTTCTCATAATGCTAAGTATCTGTTGAGTTGCTTGTTATTTTTTTAAAGTTTTTTTTGTGTGTTGTTGTTGGTGCTTTTTCTGAGACAGGGTTTCTCTGTGTAACAGTTCTGGCTGTCCTGGAACTTGCATTATTGACCAGACTGCCCTCGAATTCACAGAGATCTGCCTGCCTCGGTCTCCTGAGTGCTGGGACTAGAGGTGTGCACTACCACACCCGGCAGGAGATTGTTGTTCTTAACGTATGTGCATGTCTCTCTCTTCCCTCCGTGTGTATGTCACATGTATGCAGGTACCTGAGCAGGCCAGAAGAGGGCGTCAGATCACCTGGGACCGGAGCTAAAGGTGGCTCTAAGCTGCACCGTATGGATGCTGGAAACTGAGCTTGGGTCCTCTGAAAAAGGAGTCACCTCTCCAGCCACTGTGGTTGATTTACTTTGACCCTCACCACCCCCTGCCCTCCAGGTATGACCTGCTCTCTTAGTCTGGCTCTACTGGCACTAGACAAATGCCACAAACGTGCAAAACCTTTCCTTAGCAATACCAAAATACTGAGAACATGATGAGACAATACTAGGGTGTTAATAAGATATTTTCCATTTCTTTCTAATGTGGCTATGAGAAAATATAAATATGCATGCTTTGTTTCTATTGGGCAGGGTTCTTCTGAGTACATGATTCTGTGTATGATCTAATATATATATATGTATATAATTAATTCCATATCAGTTATGATCAACTAATGATTGGCCAGTGGCCTTATCGGTGGAGTTAACAGATTTATTTAAGAGCATTGTATGAATTTCAAAGAGAGTATCTCCATTTAGAAACCTTCATATCCTCTCAGAATCTGGTCTCCACAAATCCTAAATTGAATTGTGGCTGTTAAGCCAGATTTTGAAAGTTAAAGACCTGGAGGGAAAGCCTAAGGGGTTGTGAGAAGTACTTTTGGCAGTGGAGAGGTGGCGGTTTTGGATGAGAAGCTGGGAAGGCTTTCTGTGGTAGAGGAAGGTGATCTTTGCACGTGTTTTGCTGATCTCCTTTCCCCCAAAGGATGGAAAGGTGGTCTGTAATATGAAGACATTGTTACTAAGAAAACATTAATCGAGGTAATGTTTCTTTGTAAAATCAAAAACATATTTTTCCTCTGGCATAGGAATTCTCACAGGCAAGGCGTAGAATTAAAAAAAAAACAGAGGAAGATTGCTGGATAAAATATCCTAACTGAAGTCGTTAGGAAAAGGCCAGGGGCTTCTGGATTCATTAACACAAGTGTATCTGGATGGGAACAGTGTAAGCTGTCAGAGAGGTGACTAAGTCAGAGCTGCCTAGACAGTGCCTGTCTGTATGGTTCAGGGGTACAACTGGTAGGGTGACTTGGACATTTGGCCTTTTATTGACAGGCTGCCAGGGTAGTTTTGAATCAGTTTAGATGCTTTTGCCTTCTTGCAAAGGCTTCTGGGTATCAACATCTTTCCATCCTGAGGAAATACACTACTTTTGAAATCTAGTTATTATTTCAGGCACCCAGCCAGTATACATTGTTAGACAATTAGTGTTATCTGTTTATATGGATAAGAAATTTTAGGACTATAAGGAGGATTTGAGGAATTATATTTTGGATGGGGGGTTATCTTAACATCTAGAGTAGAAAAAGAATAAATGTATATATTATATATTTGATATAACTATATGTGTATGAACTGCCCTGCAGGCTTGAATCTTGGGTTCTTGTTCTCTGGCTGCTGGTTCTATTTTGGGGACTATGGATCCGGTAGGAGGTGAGCCTGGATGGCAGGCGTAGGGCACTGGGGAGTAGGCCTGAGAAGGTTAAAGGCAGGCCCTGGTTTGGTCCTCCTCTCTGCTCCCTGGGCCACAGTGATCTCAACAGTTGCTGCAGCTCATTGCCCATGGACTAGAACGCTCTACCTTGCCTTCCCAGTCACGGTGGACCTGCAGCTGTCTCAAACAGTGAGCCCAGGGTAACCCTTCCTCCCTTAAAGTGTTTCTGTGGGATTTTGTCACAGAAATAAGAAAAGTAACTATCTTAATACAGTGCACGAACAAATGCTTAATATAAAAACTACAGAGGCTCACAGTCTGACAACACACACACACACACACACACACACACACACACACACACGAGAGAGAGAGAGAGAGAGAGAGAGAGAGAGAGAGAGAGAGAGAGAGAGAGAATTGTACCAACCTCATACCTTCAGTGAATGCATGCTGTAAATGGCTCTCAGTGGCAACACTTCTCCCCACTTCCTGCTCCATTGCAGTCTTTTCCGCGCTGTGGGTACTGCACACAAAGCACCTAGTTGGTGTCAGCGTTGACTTGCTTGGCTGCTCTGGAATGAAAGGGAACCTGGAAAGGTTCCCACGTCCTGACAACACCTGTGCACCTTTACCGCTGTGGCACACGAACAGGGAAGCACGCTTGTCTCTTCAAGGGGCACTGTCACTGGACGGAAGTCAGCTGTCAGACACAATATCCTGAGTAGACCTCCGCCGGCATGTCTATTTCTTGGAAATGGGTGGTAGCATGTGCATTTTTTTTTTTTGGTTTTTCAAGATTAAGAAAGCATGCCGTCCATTACACCCATTTAGCTTTCATGCTTCAAAATAACTGCCCCGATTTCTCAGCAAACCTGAAAGTGCCTGTCTCAAATCTAGGACGGTTTTGCAGTTTGGAGACTGGGCACTGCGTAACTGTCCTCCTGAAGTGGCTAAGGCATGAGGCTACTCCAGGACACACCGGCTTACCTGCCTCAGGCACTTCTGGGACTTGTTGGCTTCCCCAGAGCCATAAATTTTTTTTTAATTTTTCTACATATATCATGCCATGAACTGTGTGGCCTTCTGGGACTTCAGCTGCTTGTAAAAAGGCACCACATTTTTGTTGGCTGAGGTACAGGGTGCGAATTGCTCATCACTCTTATATAGCAACTGGAGACCTCTTTTGGGGTCATTGGTTAACCTGCAGCAAGGGCAGTTAATGAACCAGTGACAGAAATGCTAACATTACTTTTAAATATGTGAACAAGGATTTCTGAAAGCAACTGGCAACCTAGCCAGGGTGGGAACACTGAGAGCCAGACTAGGAAATAGCAAGAGCTTTGTTCTTTTCTGAGGCACACAGGACTCATCACTATCTGTGGAAAGAAAGTGATCGGGGTCAAGCACCTTGAGTAAGGCAGAGGTTAGAAACCCTGGCTCGGCTTGTCCTAGGCAGACTTCATTGCGTGGGCAGAGGAGTCTCTGAAGAGAGGCTTGCTGGCTGCACTGTGAGAACTTGAATTGCTTGCACTTATAAGCCCTACCATGCATTTCTATCATTGTATTACATTTAAAAATTGAACTTCTTGGTGTTATAACAATTATGGATTCAAAAACACCAATGACAAGTCTATGCTGGAGAGGATGTGGAGAAAGGGGGACACTCCTCCATTGCTGGTGGGAGTGACAACTTGTAAGACCACTTTGGAAATGAGTATGGCAGTTTCACAGGAAAATAGGAATGAGTCTACCTCAGGATCCAGCAATTCCACTCTTGGGCATGTACCCAAAGAATGCCCATTCATACAACAAGAGCATATGTTCAACTGTGCTCTTTGCAGCATTGTTTGTAATAGCCAGAACCTGGAAGCAACCTCGATGCCCCTCAACCGAAGAATGGGTAGAGAAAATGTGGTACATTCACACAGTGGAGAAAAAACAACGAAATCTTGAAATTCGCAGGCAAATGGATGGAACTGGAAGAAGCCATCCTGAGTGAGGTGACCCAGGCACAGAAAGACAAACAGGGTGCGCACTCACTCATATATGGATAGTATACATAGAGCAAAGGACTACCAGCCTGCAATCCACACCGCCAGAGAAACTAGAGAACAAGGAGGACCCCAAGAGAAGAACACATGGTCCCCCGAAGAAGGGGAGGAGGACAAGAACCCCTGAGCAAATCGGGAGCACAGGGGGAGAGAGGAGAGAGGTGGGAAGGGGGGGAGAGAAGAGGGAGGGGGCGGAGAACAGGAGGGATCAGGAGGACTGAGACAGGGGAGGAATAGAGGGGAGGAATAGAGGGGAGGACAAGAAAGGAGATGCCTTGCTAGAGGAGCCAGTGCAGGTTTGGAGAGAGGTCTGCCACTGGGGAAATGGTAGGGGATCCACAGGGAGGACCCCAACTAAGAATTTAGGCAGTGGTGGAGAGGCTGCCTTTGAAGCCCTTCCCTTGGTTACCATTCCTAGAGCTTTCATCCAGTGGCTGATTGAAGCAGAAACAGGCACCTACAGCTAAACACTGAGCCCTGGAATCCGTTGTAGAGAAGGAGGAGGGATGAGCAAAGGAGCCAAAACCGTGCTGGAGAAACACGCAGAAACAGTTGACCTGACCTAGTGAGAGCACGGAGACCTAAGTTGTAAAGCTGGGGAACCAGCATTGGGCCGAACCAAGCCCTCTGAAGTGGGTGCCAGCTAGGAGACCAGGGCAGTCTATGGGACCTCTAACAGGGGAGCCAGTGTTTATCCTTAGTGCACAAATGGACTTTGGGAGCCCATTCCCTATGGAGGGATACTATTGCAGCCTAGATACAGGAAAGAGGGCCTAGGCCCTTCCCCAAATGATGTGACAGATTTTGATGGCTTCCCGTGAAGGGCCTCACTATCCTTGGGGAGTGGGAGGGGGTAGGTTTGGGGGATTGGTGGGAAGGATGGGAGGGTGGGAGGGTGAGGGAATGGGAGGACTAATATATAAAATAAGATTGTTTCTAAAATAAATTATAAAAACAACAACAAAAACCAATATGGATTCATTAAACTCAAATATTTAAGACTCATACTAGAATTACAGATCATGACCTTTTCTGTGAGGTGAGCTCTGATCTGTGCAGACTAGTTTCTGACACTAGCTAGGGGAGAATCTCAACTGTGAAAACGAATCCATAAGGTCAGCCTGTAGGTAAGTGTTGGTTGATGACTGATGTGGACAGCCCAGCCTATCGTGAGTGGTAGGACACCCTGGGCAGGTGGTCACGGGGTGTGGGAGAAAACAAGCGGAGTAAAGCCAGGAGCAGCAAATGCATAAGCAGCACGCCTCCCTGGCTGCTTCTTCAGTTCCTGCCTTGAGTTCCTGCCTTGACTTCCCTCAGTGATGGAGCATGACCTGACAGTCGCACGCTGAAATAACCCTTTCCTTCCATCTCAAGTTGAGTCTGCTCGTGGTATTATTAAATGGAGCCAGGGCGCCAGATGTCTTTTCTTGGCAAGTCTCCCTGAATCCTAATGGCTGCAGCTGTACCCGCTGGCCTGTTGAAGGATCAACAGGCAGTGGCCCCTGTGGACCTGGCTGTGGAATCAGCAGAGCAGATACTCAGTCCTCGTTCTTTTTTTTAAGATTTATTTATTTATTATGCATACAGTGTTCTGCCTGCATGTATGTCTGCAGGCCCAAAGAGGGCACCGGA